ATGAACACCATGATTGGAGTTTTGAAGATGCTCATTATCATCTACGGATGTAACGCAAATAGGTTAAGTTCGTATAATATTACTAATATAGATAAAGGCGGAATATATTTTGAACATTTAGGTAAAGTCAACCATTACGATAGCGAATGGAATATGATTAGTTATTTGGATATTTCTGAAATACATCAAAAGATTGATTTAATAGATAACACTTATAGTAAAACAAAAGAATTATGTAATCATCAAAAGTTTAATAATTTTTCTCTTTGTGAAACATCATCTACAGTACTAGATCAAATTATACCTCAACTCTATAGTCAAGAAAACATTTTAAAGGAATTAACTGGTAGAACAAATACAGTTCATCGAGTAAAACGATCTTACATTGATGGTATTGGAAAAATATTTAAGGTTCTTTTTGGTACTTTAGATTCTGAAGATGCCGAACGATATGACGAGGCTATTAACAATTTAGATTCTCATGAACACGACATATTAAGTTTATTAAAGACTCAAACTAATGTTGTTAAAAGTACTCTTTCAAATTTTAATAATACTCTTACAGATTTGTATTCTAATGAAAAAATTTTCAATAAAAATTTAGATATTCTCTCTAATTATACAAAAAGAGTAAACACGATAATTTTTGATATAAATTTAAAACAAGATATTGATGAACATTTGTCATTGTTAACCTTAATTACTACAAAAATAAGTAATGAAATATCAACCATCATAAACGCAATCCTGTTTTCAAAAAATAATGCATTACATCCATTAATTATAACACCTGAACAGTATATTACAGAACTCAGAAAAACTGTACCATATTTGCCATTACAAACTAAATATCCCTTAAGTCTTTCAATTAGTGAAGCTTCTGAATTATTGTCATTAGTAGACTTAGTTTCATATTACATGAATGGTAAACTTGTATTTTTAATTAAAACCCCTTTAATAACACAAACTAATTATGAATTGTATAATGTTGTTCCTGTACCCATTAGAAATAATGATAATACATTTGTATTCATTTTGCCCAAAGAAAAATATTTCATTATATCCAGTAATAAAATGCATTATGCATATTTTAATAATTTAGAACATTGTAGAAAATTAAGTCAGAATTACATATGTAAACTTAACTCACCTTTGTACTCTGTTCATGGAAGTCCTACATGTGAAACTCAATTAATGTTTGGAAATATAAAAGTTCCTAATGAATGTGATACTAGAGTGACATACGTTCTTAACGAACAATGGTATAAGTTATACACTAACAATAAATGGTTATTTGTCATTCCTAGGAAAACTATTGCAACCATTAGCTGTAAAGATAAAGAGCCTATCGATTTTGATCTAATTAATACAGGCATATTGTCAATGACCGATAATTGTAAATTATATACTGTGAACATAATTTTGCAAACTGAAATAAAAGGTCTAATTAGTGAATATAATTCTGTGTTACCTTCGATTGACATTGTGAATGATGATTGTTGTAGGAAAATAAAAGATAAAAATATATCAAAAATTGAATTTATACCTTTAAGATCTCACGATAAATTAGATTTGGAAAGTCTTAAAATAGCCAGCCATAAAATAAATAAAGTGGAAGAAATGATAACTAATTTGGAAAATGAATCAATTTATACTAAGATAACAAATAATGCGTACTTTATCTATATTTTCATGTCAATTGTAAAAGTATTGTTTTGTTATATAATATACCGTATTGGAAAATATATTTATAAACGTAAATTCTTCTGTACTAATCGAGGTAGATTATTAGCTCTCGAAGATTCTCGAAATTGTTGTGCTAGAATTACTAATTGTATTACTTTAAGAGTGAATAATAGTAATAATACTGATACTGAAAGAGATGTTGAGTTAGAAGACATATCCTCTACAGAAGAACCGGTTTTGAAACCACTAAGAAGGAGCAGTAGAATTGCTCAATTAAAAGTAAATTAAATTGTTAATGTAATGAAATAAAATAAAATGTAATGAAATGTAATGTAATGAAATAAAATAAAATGAAATAAAATGTAATGAAATGAAATGTAATGAAATGTAATGAAATGTAATGAAATGTAATGAAATGTAATGAAATGTAATGAAATGTAATGAAATGTAATGAAATGTAATGAAATGTAATGAAATGTAATGAAATGTAATGAAATGAAATGAAATGAAATGAATTAATTTTCTTTATATTTAAAATAAAATATAGATTATAAGTACCAAATGTATGATAATTTATAGATTTAATATTAATACTATATAAGAATAATTGTTTGTTAAAATTACTTTAATGATTTTGTATTAATTGATGAAAAAAAAAATGTACACATAATTTAAAAGACAATGTATTGTCTTTCTTAACGGGGGAGGATTGTAATATACAGATAAATAACTACAGTGATGGAAAATTACGTATTGTTCGTTCACAGCGAACAAAGAATATTGTTATATGATAAATATGTTAGAAGAAAGTATCTTAACTAAATAGAGCGATTACAGCTTCGTTTGCTATTGATTAAATAATGAGTTATTATAAACTTTGGATATTTACCTAATGGTCACTATGCTAACATATGTTTGTAATCTTATATAAGGACCTCCCACCCTTAAGAAATTCAGTTGTTGTTATTGTTGTTGTCCAGTTGCAGTTGCTCTACAATTACTGAGCTGTTCAGTAGCTATTATCATAGTGCTAATCTCTAGTCTAAGTCAATTTTATACTCTTTATTAAAACTTATAAATATTCTTCGGCGATCTTTTCTTCTGACGACCCGAACATTACAATTATATCAAATTTATAAATGCACGACATTTGTACATGATAGATGTTTAAAAAAAAGTTTATATGAGGGGGGGGTCCTATAAAAAGCAGTAGAATCCAAAACGAGAATTTAAAAAAAAAATATTGTATTGTATTGTAAAATCTTTATTGTACATAATTCACATTGAACATTGATAAATGATTTAATACACAATGGCGGACTTATCCCATAAAGGGATCTCTTACAGTCGACCTTTGAGAAGCTGAAAGAAAACTGTAGAATGTACAAGGGTAATGACCGTACAATTAAAGATAAACTAAATAATACCCAGTAAAAAATTTAATATATAATACAATAAAAACAGCTCTATATACCTACATATGTAAATAATAAAAGTATATGAATAATAATATAACATTGATATATATAAATAAATAAAAAATGTTTGTTCAAGCATTATACAAAAACTACTACTCCAAATCAGGTACGGTTTTCACAGGTCTATTTTAAAATCTGGTGTATATTTCATCTCGATACGCCAACAAGAAGCGATTTGTTACATTGGATTTTTTTTATTTCTGAAATCCACGTGTATGATGTAGCGAGCGACAGGTTAGTTCATTTTTATTATTATTAAAAAATACTTGTATAATAATATAACAATAACTTACATTTTATCTTATTATATATATATATATATATATATATATATATATATATATATATATATATATATATATATAAACACTTAAATGAATTTAATAAAAAATGCAAATGTATATTTTTAGTATAGCGAACAATACACATGTATAAATTTTTATCTCAATAAGAATAAATGCATCATCTGGTAGATGGCGGTAGGCGGCAATATAAGATTTAGTTGTCAACTAGATGATCAAATATACCTTTATCATCATCATCATTCTGTTGGCCACAACAAAATATCAGATAGATAGATAATTTATTTGCATTACTTACTTACACAAATTACAACATAGATATATAAAAAAAAACGAGATAACATGATAAAAAAAAAAAAATATATATATATATATATATATTATATATATAAAGCTAAAGCAAAAGTTAGACATTCCAGCAAGTTACCTCTCTGTTCCATTTGTCTGCTAGATAGACTGTCATATCTGTCTGTTTACTGTATGGATAATCTGGTAGTATTGTTTCATTGTTACCCTATCCCCTTTGGCCGCAACAGAATATCAGCGCTCTGCTCTTTTGAGGGCGAAGCAATAAACTGAGTTGTGACCATTTTGCATTGTTATGGCACACGCAGAAAAGGAAAAATTGTACTTGGCTTTATGTATTTTTTTTTATCATTTATGTTATCTCGCTTTTTATGTATATCTGTATATGTTGTAATTTGTGTGCTGTAAGTAATGCAAACAAATTATCTATCTATCTATCATCAGTCCTCAGGAATGGCAACGCATGGGGGGTATCATGAGCGAAACGGTATACTCTGTTATGTCCATGGTACTGCTCATGTCTATAGGCGACGGTTACCACTTTCCATCAAGTGGGCCGTCAGCTTGTTTGCCATTCTAAGTTGCATAAAAAAAAATCTTCTTGCCCTTGTCCCAATTATTATTTGTGGCCAGAGTAGTATGTTTTTCTTTTCCATTCCTCTCTATTTATTATAACTTAAATGTCGACCGGAGTTTTGTTTCGCAAAAAAAAAAAAACATTTAATAGTCGTAAAATTAATAAAGTAGCAACACTAGTGATTAAGACAAGATTATATATATAACTAGAACTAAAAATATTTGCACCTACTTTATATTATCAATCTTCTAGAATGGCGAAATCTTTAATTATTATATTTTTGTATCAATAACTCCCTTTATCAAAATAGACTACTATGTATTATTACTATTATGTATTATTTATTTATGTATCTATTAATGTTTTAAGTATGTGACGTATTTTATAAAATTAGGGTACGATGAGGCTGACATAGGATAAAAGCCTCTAAATAAAAAAGATATAAAAAAAAAATATATAGTCAATCGATTTAAAAACAAAGACGATTCTCACTTCGATTGTATTTTTTTTTTGTTTGTTACCTTATAACTCCGTCAGTCGTGAACCGATTTGAAAAATTCTTTCTTTATATGGTAGGATATACTTGCAGATAGTAGAAATGCTATCGATATCGGTTCACTAGTTTAATTTATAGACAAAAAGAAATTAGTCTTGTCACAATTACAATCGGTTTTTTGTGGGGCACAATTTTTTATTATTCCAATACATTTTTACTATCGAAATCCAAATTTTTTGTGACATAATCTCTTATAAGAATGTTATTTCATGATACCTGTTTTAATTCGCTTGCAGAGCACTTTAAATGATCAGTCGGAACCATTGTAAAATGTCCAATTGTTTTTTCAAATTGTCAGATATCTATGTCTAAGAACAAGGAATCACATAGAAGGAGTGATAAAATTGTCAATTCATAGCAGGGTAGTGTATAGAAAATGTTATACGGCCATATACCCTTCCAAATTTAGATACAACCCGCTCGCATACTTTCTACATAAACTGTGTCGAATATATAATCTGGTAATGTAAAATTTGTCATTGACCAATAATTGACATATTAAATATTTTTTATACACTAGCCTGATATGAATTGAGAAAAATAGCAACTGGTGGTGTATCTATCGTCCTCTTTTTACTAATTATATTTGCATAAGAAGAAAGGAGGCGACCATATGATTTACAGTTTTTATTTTATCATTCCTACTATGTAATTCCTTGTTGTCCTTGTCTATGTACGTTCTTAAGGTATAATATTGCCGGTATGAACAAAACTTTCAAACATCCGTCGAGTCTGTAATGCTCTTAGTCTATCTCTGTTACAGTCGTCTGTTAAAATCTCCGGATTCAACATGACTTCATTTTTGTTATGAGCCAGTCTCATTTCTGGTTTTTTACTGCACGTACCGTCGTCTAGTATGAGTCTTTTATGCCAGTTATTCTCTTTGTTCATTTCATCTTTTTTCGCAATCAAACGTTTCATTATCTGTGGTAGCACAGTCGTCTTTTCATCCAAACTTGGACCTTTAGTAAAATTCCTTTTATCCTCGTCACTAACGCGGATATTTTTTTTGGCGTATTGTTTTGAATTCTTTTTAATTGCGAGCGTTCTAAATTCAAAAATGTCTAAACCGGCACCTTGGATTGGATAGCAAAATTTGGCGGGTTCGTAATACCTCAACGGATTTTGTATATCAATTTTACTTTTTAATTTTGTATCCACTAAGGAACTGTATAGTGTTAACATGTTATAACTATTCAGAGAAATTTTAATCGACGCAGGTGATGTCCGAACTACCGTATTTGTATCTTTTGCGATCCCTTTCACAGTCTCCCTCAACTTTTCAGCGTTATCTTTAAGCTGTTTTATGCGAAGGCTCTCGTCACATTTCTCGTATAAAACATTGTCTATCAATTCTTCATCTATGTCGTCGAATCTGTCCATATCTAATTTCGGTATTAACATTTTTTGTTTTTCGAATAGATCGTCGAAAATCTGATCAACCATACGTGCTCTTGGAACGTTTTCTTCTACGATTGGTCTATTACAATAATCGATCAGTGTATTTTGAGTTTTATAAGGAATGTTCGTGTTATTTTTACTAAATTCAGTTGTTTGCGTATTTGCAGCGTAACGTTTATCGTTTGAGACTGTATTAACTTTGTCATAATCTTCATATTTGTCAAAGAAACTTGCGTAGACTGCTCTAGAATGGTCCTGCACATCTGAAGCCGTCACAAGTATGTTTTCATATAAATCGATCAGGTCGCACGCATCTTTGCTGCTTGTTGATCGATTGATTTGCGTCGTTGAATGTTGGCTAGTAGAGTTTGTTTTTGATGAACTAGAGTTTGTACATTCATCATCGCTTAGACATATGAGAGGCGTATCATCGATCGTTCCCGAATCATTATCATTATTTTTAATTTGTGACATAGTATCTGTTTTAGGTTTCAATACTACATATAGTTCAAAATTTTTAAGTAGAGTTGGAGTTATCAATTTATCAAGAATAATACCTTTCTCTTCTTCAGTCTTAAGAGGAACTAATTTCGGTGGATTCATAAGATTTGCAGAGAAATTCGTGGTCATTGCTAATTGTCTGTAAAGATAGAAAAAAATAGGGTTATTATGTTTTTTTTTTAAATGCCTGATAATAGAATTCAACCCGATGGTTTCCAGGAGGGACCACGTGAAAGTCGACCTGACTAATATGCTAGCAATGTACCTATATTGCTAGCAATGGGACTAACAATCCGCATTATTAACAATCCAGTGTTATCCCCAGTTTTTTTTTTTGTTGGTAGAGGAAGGAACGTAGAAGGGCTACTCCTCATGAAAAAGGATACGTGTAAGGGCTCATTAATGAATGCTAATCCGTGACTCTGGAACTCCGAGTTATAAGCCGATACGAGTCTAATAGAACTAACTAGTCTCTTCCAGGGGGAGAAGTGATTCTTCTATTCTATTCTATTCTATTATATTCTAGCAATACAGGGTGTGTCAGGTCGGCCTCCTCGTGGTCCTCACTGGAAACTATTGTATTCAATTTCATGTGAGTTCTCACTGGTGCCCCGCCAGTGTATACCGTTAGCGCAGACGGGGTGACCGTCCATTTAAAAAATCCTGAATCACGTTGTACTGTCTTTTTTAGTCATAATATTTTTTTTTATACAACTTAGAATGGCAAACAAGCTGACGGCCCACCTGATGGAAAGTGGTAACTATAACTATAACTCTATCAGTTGAAAACTGATTTGCGAAATTCTTGTTTACCTGAAAAGATTGTTCCTATAGAAGCTTTATTAAAATTTGTTTTAATAGTTTAATTTTTAAATCAAAAATTACTGGGATTTTTTCAGAACTAAAGTCGATTTTATTTTGTAGAACACAATTTAATGTTATTTAGTATGTGTCTGTAATCATAAAGAAAATTATACCATACGAATCAAACATTTATCTATGATTAATTTATTAGGGAAATTATTTATCAATCATATTAAACATTAATATTAGAGGGAGACTTTGTACAAAAGTCGATTGCTTGGGTATCTCTGTCCCATTCGTGTTTCAACCGCGAAGCAGTTGTGTTTGCATGGCTATGGGATATGGCGTGAATTTACTGGGTACAGAGGAATAACACCTGAGTCCTCAGGAATGGCAACGCATGGGGGGTATCATGGGCGAAACAGTATACTCTGTTATGTCCATGGTACTGCTCATGTGTATAGGCGACGGTTACCACTTTCCATCAGGTGGGCTGTCAGCTTGTTTGCCATTCTAAGTTGCATAAAAAAAAAGTTGGAGATCCATTATAGAATTGTTTAGAGCCTTTCCCAAGCTGCGAGAGAAGTTATAAATTATGCTTGAAATGGCGGTGCATTGATGTAACAAAACGATTTGTAAATGAAATTAATATTTTGAAAGATAACAACGTTAATACATTCTAAAATAAACGAACATAGAAACTTGTTAGTAAAATAATCTCGGACAAAGATACATAGAGTATACAGTTCATTTTTTAAAGGGCCAAGACCGGAGTCGAAAACAGTCCTAAATACATCAATAAAAACAGACCATGTACACTTTGCTCCTTAAATATATGGCCATTTCGATAGTGGTAAGCACACAATGAAATATTTCGTAAACACACGACTATTTCTTATTCCTTTAAAACCAATACTAGTTACATTACATCTCGACATTTCATCATTTCGTTTGCCATGTGGTCCTTGCGTAGAATGGGCGAATCTTATCCTTTCACGTGGGTGTCGTAAGAGGCGATTAAGGAAATTTAAGAATAGAGAGATGAACAGCATCCCTGGTTTTCTACTCCTAACAATGGGAGTACCAGTCCTATTGCTAGTATATAGTGTCAGGTTAACCTCCACGTGGTTCCTTCTGGAAACAATCGTGCTGGATTCCAAGTGTATTTATCACGATGGGCTAATTGAACCGCCTTTTCATTCTCACTTTCATCTTATCCCTCGCTGATGCTCAGCCAGTGTAAAATAAACATAAGTTTTAAAAATAATATTATTTTAAAAATTATTGCTTATTAATTTTGGACATCGTAAACGGAATTTATACTTTAATTTTTAGGTATATTAATTTCTTTTTTAATTTTTTTACGTAACATGTCTTAATTTTTTTTTATTATGTTAGTTTCTTTGGTTCATAATTGGCAAAAATATGGGTGAAAACCAACATTAAGTGTTTCAGAACTGAAAAAATGGCTACTTTCGATAAAAAAAAAACAAATATTTTTTAAATAATACCATAATAAAAATATAAAAAAAGTCGTATAATAAAGTAATTTGATGTTTATTCTTTCATATTACAGCGTGACGTACAATACTTTCCACCATCAATGATTTTTAAATATCACAAACCCGTCTATTTATTTTGTATCTGCACATTCACCATATCTACCTATATAAATACATATAAACGCTTATCTTTTCTTCAATTACAGTAATTACCTTAAATACTTATATAAATAAAATATTTAAGTAGATATAGAATGATAATCAGACAAAGCTTACCATATAATCAATAGGAATGATCTTGTAAAATTATGGTTGAAACAATCCATCTAAAAATGGCGCAAAAAAGTATAGCAAAGCGCATAAGTTTGCAGTTTTGCATTATGTGACTTTGTACGTGTAATCCATTACGTACAGGATCCCCACACACAATTACAGATAATTTATTTAATTACACTATTGCAGGACAGGAATATGTCGAGGCTAAGAGACAGTTTCGTACCACTTTGCTGAATTACTGATTACAAATTCAGTCTAGATAATTTTTAGACAGCATAGCAAGCGTACAAATTTTTTATTAATTCAATTTACACTTTACGCTTTTTATAATAGAATTTAATTTTCAATAATCGATATAGAATGCTTGTGTATCAATACTTAGTTTTTATTGAACTAGATAGATGGTGCTAATCACTATAAATTGTTTATTGTTTCCTTTTACATTAACAGATGTCTCTGATAACATTTACCTACCATTTATAGCCTGTTTACATCAAAGAAGTGATAGGATCAAGTGTGAAGTGCAAACAATAAATGAAAAAAAAAATCAAAATAAAAGTAAAACATTGGCGTTGTTGTGTGATAAATGCAAAATGTGAAGTACAACTAAAGATCATTTGCAGGTTGTTTATTTCAAAACAATAATTACACGTTCTCTACGTAATTTTTTTTATAGGTGAAAATGGAATGGTAACCCCATCTGTGTTATAGTGAGGGATGATAGGCAAAGATGAAAGCAGTCCAATTAGCCCATCGTGATCAATTCCAGAAGAGTTAACCATGATAGTTTCTATAGAAAACCCCTTGAGCTGTTAGATCCCTTTACTAACAATCCCATTCCACCCTCACTACATGATTAAGTGCAAATTGTCAGAAATAATGATATTACATAACTAAATAATATATAAATATATTACATATATAAATAACTACACTACTAACTACTACTGGGTTGGCTGAAAGAGATTTCTTTTAGAGATAAGCCCTACCTTAGAATTTAAGCGCATCAAATAATATATTACACGGCACGATTGCTTCCTAATTCCTAAACTAACTAAATTCACATTCCTTATTCAAATAGCGCCGCAAATTTTACTTACAGCACTGTTTGAACATACGAGTATACTATTGAAAGTGTGAAATAATTCTTTAGTTTTTCCATCGGTTATTATCTTTAATTATTTCACCATTATACCATAGATGCTATAATATAAAAGCCACCTCTCCACATTCACTGATTTCCTGTAACGTATTTGAGGTCGTCGCTTATCTGGCAAAGGGATCTCTTACGCCTCTCATTTGCATGTAGCAGATGAGATCTCTAAATAAATTCGTCATTTAAGAACCTTTCCTCCCCACCAGTTTTCGGTTCTTCTAAGCCATACGGCCGGTCCATTGCCTACTTAGCTTTGAGCTGTATTCGTCACTTTGGTTTTTCTGCATATGTCCCAATTTCGGTTTCTATTACGTGGCTTAATTTTGAGCATTAACTTTCCAATTTCTTGCTGACCAATTTAAAGTTTCCGTATAAGAACTACTAACAGTGTTATCACAAGTAACATATATTGATTGAAGAGCTTTGTCTTCATACTTTCAAGTATTTTCGCTACGGTTAAGGTTCCATCTCTACTTTTTGAGTATATTATGGTTTTCTGCCGTGCGTTTCTATAGACACTTTTTTCCACATACAACTAAACTATGGAACCAACTCTCAGCAGCAACATTTCCGAATAGATATGACATGGAAACTTTTAAGTAAAAAGCGTATTTCTCTGATGTTGCGAGTGTCTATGATTGGGAGTAATCATCTTATATATATAAAGTAAATGACAAGCAGACGGATATATAACAGTCGTCTATAAATATGAATATCACTGTGGATGCCCCATAATAATAATAATAATAACCCCCCCAGGGGATTGAACCTTGACGTGGTGGGGGGGCTTAAGGGAAGGAGGTACAAATTAGTAGTCAGCACATCTAGACTAAATACCCCATTCGGAAGGAACTAAGCTACAAAGCCTGCACAACAAGGCTACCCTTCCTACTAATCATCCCAAATACAAAACCCTTATGGAGCAGAATATTAAAAAATACAATTTACGGTCGCTGCCCGGGGGTCGCCGGGGCGCACCTGGAGCCGGTGCTGGGTGCTACAGTTTACGGGACACCGGTGACGAGGCGCTGAGCAGGCGGGCACTCGTTACACAAGATGCTACAGCCGGTCGTCGGGAGTTGAACAGGCGGACTCACGACGTAGAAGCTACAGCCGACATTATAGACGACGACTCTACCTCTTTATACTCATCCATTCCTTCAACCCCTCCTTCGTATATGACAAAACGAACTTCATCATCTAGTACACTTGATAGTGTTGTGCAAGAGGCCAATATTGACCATGTACTTGCACCCACATCAAGTATCCCTCGTAAGCGCAAACGATGGACAGTTGAAATGAATAAATTCATACTGCGCACTTATCTTTTATTAACATCACTAGATACTGACAAAAATGCCTATTTAGAAGCACTCCATCTGAGATTTATAGAAAAATACCCACATATGCAAGTCAGCCGTCAGAGAATAGGTGATCAGCGCAGAGCTATTTTACGAAATAAACTTCTTCCACAAACAACAATAAATGAAATTTATATGGAAGTGACAGAAAAATTACAGTGTAACCAAAACAATATAAACCAAATCACCAATGAACATTCACAAGTATCCAATAACATAAATCAACAAAATACTACACAACAGCCCACGCAGACATCTCAAATAAACTCAGAAACAGGAAATAAGCAAATTAAACAAACCCGATTAAAATGGACAACTGAACACAATGAAACCCTAATGCGATTATACTATCGAATCACACTTTTGGAGACAAATAAAACTGCTTATAGGAAGAGCTTACATGAGAGTTTTATTACCCACTTTCCATCACTCGCTCATTTGAGTGAACAAAGAATAGCTGATCAGAGAAGGGCTATCATAAATAATAAATATATAAGTGAAAACAGATTAAATACAATTGACAAGAAGTGTCTGAAGAGCAACTCACTCAATCAAATCAAATCAACACAGATAATCTAAATCCTGATACAAACACTACACATAATTTTGTCAATGATAATATTGAAATAGAAATAAATAGCATGTATAATATAGAACAAAATGATCAACAACTATCATCTCCAATGAATACAAGAAACCTAGAAAGAGACTTGAAAATTGACCAACTTTTCGAACAAGCATTGCAATACTATAAATTTACTAACCCAACATCCAGAACATATATACCTAAACAAAAATCATCATATAAATTTGCGAAAATAGTTGATTACATAAATACAATAATTATCCCTGAAAACATCAACAACAATACAGACTTTAACACTCTACAGACTATTATATATTGTGCAGCCTGGACGGCCTCTAAAGCTAATGGGGCAAAATTAGAGTTGAGATCAACAGATAAAGAAAAAATTACTCAAAAACAATACAAACCGAGCTGGCAGAAACGACTAGAGCATAAGGTAAATGACCTCAGAGCAAAAATAGGTAAAGTAACACAATTTATTAACGGAAATAGAAATAAAAAGCTTAAGATACAAGTAAATAAAATAAAAGAGCAGTACAAAATCCATTCCATACATGAATCACCAAATACATGTTTTACACATATATTAGACACACTGAAACAAAAACTTTCAGTTACATCGGGTCGGCTAAGAAGATATAATGCATGTACACTAAGAAAACAACAAAATAATCAATTCGACACTAACGAAAAACAATTTTACCGAAACATTAAACAAAATACGACAAACACACAACACAATAATAGCAATGAGATTGACACACCCAACCCCGAAGAATTACAATCTTTCTGGGCAGAAATATGGGAACAATCTGTTCGACACAATTGCTCTGCTGAATGGATCCAAAAAGAAATTAACAAAAGTGATATAACAATAGAACCAATGGCATTTGAACATATTCCGACAGATATATTTGAAAAGGTACTTCGTAATTCATATAATTGGAAATCACCAGGTTCAGATTATATACATTGTTATTGGTATAAAAAATTTACAAATACTCATATCCATTTACTTAACTACATAAACAATTTTATCCAAGACTCTAATACGATGCCTTCCTATCTAACAATGGGAATAACATTTATGATACCAAAAGACCACAATGACCGTAAGAATCCGTCCAAATATAGACCTATAACTTGCCTACAAACACTATACAAAATACTTACTGCCTGCATAGCTGAATTAATATATCAACATGTTGACACTAATAATATTTTGAACGAAGAACAAAAAGGATGCCGGAAATTTTCTCAAGGATGTAAGGAGCAATTAATTATAGATTCAGTAATACTAAAACAAGTTCATAAAGCTAAATCAAACTTACACACTATGTATATTGATTACAAAAAGGCATATGACTCAATACCTCACACTTGGTTAGTACAAATCTTAGAAATGTATAAAATTCATCCAAAAATAACAACTTTCTTGAAAACAACAATGGCAAACTGGACAACACAATTACAACTTAAAACCCTCACAGCTACAATACAAACTATACCGATCAAAATACAACGAGGCATATTCCAAGGAGACGCCCTCAGCCCACTCTGGTTCTGTTTGGCTCTAAATCCTCTCTCAAATATGCTTAACTCTTCTTCAGTAGGATACCCTTTAAACTATAAAGAAACTGATGATCAGTCTTCAAATATGAATAAAAATGTATTAAACCATTTATTGTATATGGATGATATAAAGTTATATGCCGAAACCGAAAACCAACTGAACCAATTAACGAAAATAGTAGAACAATTTACAAATGACATAAAAATGGAGTTTGGATTAGAGAAATGTAAAATAAATTCCATTAGGGCAGGAAGTCAACACCCATATAACTACACATTAGAATCAGGAGAACAAATAACATCACTTAGCGAACAAGAAGTATATAAATATTTAGGTTACAACCAAGCACTTTTTATAAACCATAAAGAAATAAAACTAAAACTACAGCAACAATTCCGACACAGACTGAATGCGGTATTAAAAACCCAACTTAATTCCAGAAATATGATTAAAGCGATAAACACGTATGCTATACCCATACTGACTTATTCTTTCGGCATAATAAACTGGACCAAATCAGACCTAAAATCATTACAGCGCACAATCAACATAAATATGACAAAACATCGTAAACACCACCCTAGATCTTGCATACAAAGATTAACTCTACCTAGAAAAGAAGGAGGCAGGGGTTTGATTGATATCGTAAACTTACACAACACACAAATTTCAAGTTTAAGACAATATTTCTTCAGCAAAATGGAATCATCAGCGCTTCACAAATCCATAGTACAAAATGACAATAAATTGACACCTTTAAATTTAAAAGATGGAAGTACACAGACAAATGAGACGCTCGTCAACAATCAAACTAAACTGACGGCGTGGTCTGAAAAGTCCTTACATGGGAGACACCGACACGACTTATGTCAATCTAATGTCGATAAAGAAGCATCGAACGCATGGCTAAGTCGAGGAATTTTATACCCAGAGACTGAAGGTTTTATCATAGCTATACAGGATCAAGTCATTGAGACCAGAAACTATCAGAAATATATTACAAAAACACTCACCTCTGATACATGTAGAAAATGCAATAGCTCTCCAGAAACAATTCAACACATTACAGGCTCATGCAAGGCAATAGTACAGACAGACTACAAGCACAGACACGATCAAGTAGCTTATATTATTCACCAAAACCTAGCACACAAGTACAATCTAATACAAAACACACATACTCCATATTACAAATACACTCCACAAACTGTGTTAGAAAGCGCGACATATAAGCTATATTTTGACCGAGCCATACTCACTGATAAGACCATACATTACAATAGACCAGACATAATCTTACAAAATAAAACGAATAAAATAACTTACCTAATAGATATCGCCGTCCCCAATACACATAACATCCAGAAGACAATAGCGGAAAAAATAAGTAAATACACAGAACTGAAAGACGAAATAACAAGACTTTGGAAACAAGAAAAAGTTTATGTGATACCTATTGTCCTCTCAACCACAGGAGTTATACCCAAACATTTACACCATAGCCTGAAAGAAATAGACCTGCGTAAAACACTATATACAACACTACAAAAAGCTGTAATATTGAATACATGCAGAATTGTTCGAAAATTCCTGCAAATAGAAAACGAAACATTTAATAATACCACAGAGACATAACATGTAATAGTTGCATACACATAGCCATAGGTGCGTGAGCATGCACATGCATATGCATGCATGGGCGCGCACACACACACACACAAAAACTCACACACTGCACTTACTTGGTCTCGGCCCGTAAGTGCAGTATACGCAAAGTAGCGTATATACCAGCTATAGCTGAGTAATAAAGTTTGCATAAAAAATAATAATAATAATAATTTTCTGGAGAAAATAGACGAGGGTTTGCATAGAGAGGTCATAGAATGTGACAAAGGATTCACCCCTCTTTCTCTGGCTAAAGAGGACTGGCGAAAACCCGAAGTTTTGGGTACTTCTCAGCGGGAGGCCGTATGGAAAGAGAAGGAGTTGCACAGAAGGTTCTTCAAAGCCCTTCACGGGCCGTACGTAAACACGAAGACCTCCGTGCACTGGCTACAGTTCGGTGATCTCTTCGGAGAGACCGAGGGTTTTGTCTGTGCAATACAAGATCAGGTGGTTAAGACGAACAATTACCGAAAGCACATTCTGAAGGATGGCACTGAGGACATCTCTCGGGCATGTCGCCATCCCGGAGAGTCACTCAGATATGTACTTTCGGGTTGTTCAGCTCTTGCCAACACTGAGTACTTGCACAGACACAACCAGGTAGCCAAAATACTCCATCAAGAGCTAGCTCTGAAGTACGGCCTCGCGAACGAGAGGTTGCCGTACTATAAGTACGAGCCCCAGCCGGTCCTCGAAAGCGACAGCGTAAGGCTCTACTGGGATCGATCCATCATCACGGACAGGACCGTTCTTGCGAACAAACCTGATATCGTGGTGATGGATCGGGCACTCTCGAGGGTGTTTTTGGTGGATGTCACCATACCGCATGACGAAAACCTCGTGAAAGCCGAAACCGAGAAGAAGAGAAAATATCTCGACCTGGCTCACGAGGTGACCGAAATGTGGGGGGTGACATCTACCGAAATCATCCTAATCGTTATGTCGGTGAACGGTCTTATCCCAACTAGTCTCGAACAACATCTCAGACGGTTGGGATTTAGAGGCTTCCGGGAAAGATGCAGAAAGCGGTGCTCTTAGATTCTGCCCGCATTGTGCGCCGGTTTCTCTCCCTGGGGCCCTGAACCCCGGCCGACTGTGCTTCTGCCGGGGGTTAGTTGCCATTTCCTCTCCTTAAGAGGGGAGATGAGAATTTTAGTGAAATTTAAAAAATAATAATAATAAACTCTTTATTGCGCACAGTAGAGATGTATACAAGGAGTATTTATACAGAATGTGCATATACAAAAGGCGGCCTTATCGCTAAAAGCAATCTCTTACAGACAACCTGGCATAAAGAATGGATAAGTACAGAGAGAAAGGTAGATGGCGCAAATCAGACACAGTAAATGCATAAAAGGAATCAGACAAAATGCAAAAAATTCTAAATATAAAAATAAGATTACAATACATAAACATACATATATAATAAAAATAATAATACATAAACATACATATATAATATAAATAATAATACATAAACATAAATATACTAAATAGATCAAGATAAATCACACATAGTAAATGTCAAAGCAAATTAGAGAGATAGGTAATGAGATTTTACCTGCATCTTGAACGAGGCAAGAGATTGCGCTGATCTAATAGAAAGAGGTAAGGAGTTCCAGAGACGGATAGCTTGGATAGTGAAAGAATAGGAATAGAATTTAGAAGAATGAATAGGAGTTACTAAACGAAGGGATCTCGCGCTGCGCAATGTACGACCCTGAGAATCGACATGAAACTCAAAGCACATTTTGAGGTAATCGGGAGTTGAAGGATGAAAAAGAATAGTGTAAAGAAGAGATAGGATGTGCCAGTCCCTGCGAAGGCGAATTGGAAGCCACTTGAGTTGATTGCGGAAATCAGAAATGTGGTCATATTTGCGAAGATAATACATTGTAACTCCTAGACTACCCATCTGTACTGATCTTAAAGGGGTTGGCGGTGATAAGGTCCAAAAGGGGCGCCACAGGATCATATAAGGAAAGAAAAGGGTCACTATATGTTATAAAAAAAGAATGTATCGCTGAAGACTATTGTATCCTATACGTGTTAGATTTCGAATTCGTAGAAGTAATAGTTTAAACATAGTAGCTAATTTTGAACATATATTCACTCTTAGAGACTCTATTAGACTATTATTCCATTTTACGCTGATGCTTTATCGTTTTTGGTCTATTTGAGAGTCTTTGGTATATAGTATTAACAAGAACATGTGCAGTTGTTAATAGAATTATTAAGTCTTACTTAAAATATTATATGTCGGGTCATTAGTTTCAATTTGTTGTCCAATCAATATGTGCAATGTATAGGATGAAAGGGACAGGTTGGCCAAAACGAAAACAGCTGATTCAGATGAATGGTCTGAATCAGATGGCAGATTATTTTCCCATCGGGAATGCACCACAGCCATAATTGCTGTTTTTGGTATTGATTATATGAACAGTGAAATATATTCACTATAAAATATTATTATTTCTTTATATTATAACATATGTAAGATTACATGAATTTTAATGAAAAAACAGGAGAATTTTTCTAAAATTTTCCATAAAGAATTTCTATTGATTTTCAGTTCAGAATAATGGTTAGAATGCAGTGTTTCAATTTTTGCCAACCTAGTCTTTACACCTGTATATGTGGGCTCATTAACCTTAATTATTTCATGTCCAATACCAGTTGATGATTCTTAATATTTTTATAATTAGTGGTATGAACCAATACTTTTACTAAAACAATGTAAACTTGCCCTACTGTACTTTATAGTGCGCTGTTATCATAGTCATAGATTAAATATACCTGCCAATAACTTCATGATAATTTTATTCTTGAAGTAAGTACCTAGTTTTTCGGCGTATATTTTGGCATGTTTACCATAATACTGTGAACATCTGAATTGTATTAAATACCTCATGATTTTTGCCATTTTACCAGTAATTTTCATTAATGTTGGTAGAATTCTAAAAAAAGTATTTCCTAATTAGAAACTTATCATAGATTAAGAAAAAAAAGGGCCTATCCTTGATCTATGCGAGCCCATAGCTTGCCATAAATTAAAAATAATCTTACCTTATTTTCTACCTACTATTTTTTACCTTATTTACCAATTGTACCTAGAAGTAGAATGACACATTTTACAGAATTAGGTATTATTTTGCTAAAATCCGTTACACTTAATCAATTTTGCTTGGATTAAATAATGGTTGGCGGCTGATAACTAATATGGAAGGTCGTAGAGCTACTACTATTAATAGTAGTGCTAATAATACTAGTAGTCAATTAAAAATGTACTAATATAAACCTACGTATACTAATGAAAGATTTACTAATGGTGGTGGAATTAAAGAAAATAATTATAACCGTCTGATCGGAGAATGTCTGAAGTATTATCCTTAGTCTATGTTCATGGTTATGTATAATCTACACCAGTTACTGATAATTTTTATTCAAAATGTCAAATTCTTATTGTATGTCAATGGGGTCAATTCTGAGGTGCCAATTTTCTAAAGTTATCTCTTAAATTAAAATTTCAATTTGATATAACAGAGAAATCTTAATTGTAAGGAGCAATATTAACTAGTTCTCTATAAGAGTAAAGTTAAAATTATTACAAGTTTAGGTTATGATGGTCCATAAAACATTAATTTTGCGAAACAATTAAATTACAATATTTGTATTAAGAGATAAGTTTAGAGAAATAGCGCCTCAGAATCGACCTCAATATTGTTTAGCCGATTTAACATTGTTTTGTCGGATTTCTTTTTTTAATTTTGTCGTATTTGTGTTTTATTGGATATCTATTCGATAATTTTTGTAAAAGAAGACAATAGACAAGGGATTTAATAATAAGATTTGTATATAATAGTAAAGAATAAAACATAAATTAGAGTTTCGGACATTGTGTGGAATAAGGATTCTGAAAATTCTTTTTTTAAATGGAGAAACTAATGTAATTATGCTTGTGAATTTTGGAAGCCAGCAGCTGTGAAGGTATTGGATCTATTTTATTTCATTTTACAAGAACAGTATTACTCACACACAGTAGTACTCAGAGATTTCGTACAGTCGTTTGCCAGGACAATTCTCTCCCTTTCATTTTTCAATTATTCAGTAAGAAATAATTATATTATATTAATTAAACCGGTGGATAGACATTCACAAATGCATTGCAGGGAGTCAGTGGATGCAGGTGGCTCAGGACCGTTCCTTATGGCAGTCTATGGGGGAGGCCTATGTCCAGCAGTGGACGGGTAATGGCTGAGATGATGATGATGAATTAAATTGATCACTGGCATATTAATTGTACAGTTTACAAAAAATTCTGTAATTGGTTTATTGTCAAAAAATATGCTTAATTATTATTTATCAATAAACTGTTGAATATTCACAGTAAATTCATAAATTAAATATATAAAATAAAACATATATTCTGTTAAGAAGAACAGAGTTGGCCAAGCAACTACCTGCCAGATGGGGACTTTGTACAAAAGTCTTTTGCTTAGACTCGTCTGTCATATTTGTGTATCTACCATGAAGCTGTTGTGTTTGCATGGCTGTGTTTCCGTTTGAAGGGTGGGACATGACGTGAATTTACAGGGTACAGAGGAATAACACCTGAGTCCTTAGAAATAGAAACACATGGGGGGTATCATGGGTGTATTGGAAGATCGTAAAGCTTATCCAGTTGATGAAATAAATAAATATAATAATATGTATCTAAATATAGACAATGGAGTCCAGCTGTTCCCGGTTTACCGCAGCTGAGGGCGGTGCTCGGCTAGCTGCGGCCGCTGCTGAGAAGAACATCCTTGTGGTAGAGCATACGGCATTTATTTCAACACGGCTGCTATATGAGGACGCCTACAAGATACGAGGGTATGTAGCTTGAAGGTCTACACTATATGTGGTGTAATAAATGCTGATTTTTTTTTATACAACTTAGAATGGCAAACAAGCTGACAGCCCACCTGATTTAAAGTGGTAACCGTCGCCTATAGATATGAGCAGTACCATGGACATAACAGAGTATACTGTTTCGCCCATGCGTTGCCATTCCTGAGGACTCAGGTGTTATTCCTCTGTACTCTGTAAATTCACGCCATATCCCACCCTTCAAACCGAAACACAGCCATGCAAACATAACTGCTTCACGGTAGAAACACGAATGGGTCAGAGGTACCTAAGCAATCGACTTTTGTACAAAGTCTCCCTTAACCCTCTGCACTCCAGCCTAGTAATTCATAGTGGATACCAATAACTTGTTAACTTATCAATAACTTATTATAATGTAAGCAAAATGAACATAGTATAAACACTATAAGATAAACACAGAGGATTTTTTTTAATGGATGATAATGGAATGGTAACCCCACCCGCACTATCGGTATACACTGGCGGGGCACCAGTGAGGCATGATAGGTGAGGATGAAGCAGGTCAGTTAGTCCATCGTGACGAATTCAACAAGAATTGTTCACAATGGTTTCCAGGGGGAACCACACGGAGGTCGACCTAATAAGGTATATTGCTAGCAATGGGGCTGTCAAACTCCATTGCTAACAATCCTTTTCCCCCCAACACAGAAGATTTCGCTTACCTAAGTATTAAGGGCGCTGAGTCAGTAAAACAGCTGTGTCGTCGTAGCCGCGACAGTGGATTTAATGTTTTTTTTTTTTAATGGGTGATAATGGAATGGTAACCCCACCCGCGCTATCCGTATACACTGGCGAGGCACCAGTGAGTGATGATAGATGAGAATGAAAGCAGGCAAGTTAGACAATCGTGACGAATTCCACTAGAATTAACCACGATAGTTTCCAGGGGGAAACGCGTGGAGGTCGACCTGATAGGCTATACTACTAGCATTTACCGCACCCCATTACTAACGATCCCTTCCCCCCATGCATTTAATGTTAGCATTTTATTGTCGCAAATATGGCGACAAAGGAGTGCAAAGGGTTAATTATTAATTTAAATCATTACACCCTCTTTCAGTCCACGCTACTCTCTGATCGCACTATATTCTTCTTGCAGTAAACTATCAGCAGGTCGGCAGAGGTCTGTGCACGTGACGCGCGCGTCCCGCGTGGACATCCTCGCCTACGACTACCGCGCGCTGACCGATCTGCAGCTGGTCGCCGCTCACAAGTATGAGGATGTGGTAGACTGGCGCCAGGAAGTGGAGGACGGCGAGGTCAGTATTATAGTCCTAGTTTTGTTATTAATTATTTTATTTTATGTAACTTAGAGTGAGATAAGCTGACGGCCCACCTGATAGACTGTAGTAACTGTCACCTATAGACATGAGCAGTACTGTGGACATAACAGAGTATACTGTTTCGCACATGTTACTCTCCACGCGTTCAACCGACTTAAAAATAAGAGGTTCTTAATCGGTTTGTCCTTTGTCAATAGTTATTATAAATAACAGATACAACGAAAAGAAAAAAGAAAGAAATATTAATATCAAGTAAAAATTTTTTAATAGATATTTCTTTTTATTTTGTATTTCGGTTAAAGGGTGGGATATGGCAGTGAATTTACGGGGTACAGAGGAATAACACTCGAGTCCTCAGGAATGACAACGCATGGGGGGTATCATGGGCGAAACAGTATACTCTGTTATGTCCACGATACAGCTCATGTCTATAGGCGACGGTTACCACTTCCCATCAGGTGGGCCGTCAGCTTGTTTGCCATTCTTAGTTGCATAAAAAAAAGTAATATAAGAAAATAGATCTGTAATCTCAGTTAGTTAATTTGTTAATTTTTTTTTATATTTTTTTTATATTTCTTATACATTTAATATTTTCAGGTATTGGTGTGCACATCAGAGGTACTGAAGCGGTTACTAGAGGAAAGGATACTCAGTATGCAGGATTTAAATATCCTTATTATAGATAGCTGCCATGTAATATATAAAGATGACAATCTTAAATATGTAAGTATAACAATAATAATGCCCATGTAAATCCCTGCATAGAATAGGCCATCCCCTTCCTTTCCCGTGGGTGTCGTAAAAGGCGACTATGGGAGCATATGACAGAGGGATGGGCAGCGGTGTCCCTCTTAAAAAACATCTAAAGAGTGGCTGCGGTTGCCAATCTGTCTGCCAAGCGTGGCAAATCCTGCCAAACCTCCCTAGTAGAGGCCTATGTTGACCAGGGTACAGTTAATGGCTGATGTGATGATGATGAGTAATATTGGTACACTTTCCCGTGGGTCTCGTATGAGGTGATTAAGGCAATTTAATAGTTTAGGGATGAGCAGTGGCGTCTCTCTTAAAGCATCAAACTCTAACTGCGGTTTTCAACCTGTCTGCCAAGTGGCGGGCCTCCCCCTTACCCCTGCGAAGCTGCGCTATCGGTATACACTAGCCAGGCACCAGTGATGCAAGATAGGTGAAGATGAAGGTAGATCATTTGGCATATCGAGGCCAATTCACTACAAAGTAACTATGATGGTTTCTAGAGAGACTGCATGGTGGTCGAACTGGAGTATTAGTTTAAAAGAGTCTTATTGATTATATAAGAATTTGACCTTATTCTATCACCCGTCTCTTTCAGATCTTAAAGCAATACAAGATGTGTGAACAGGACAGCCAACCTCGAATATTAGCGCTTACATACCCACTGTTTAGTTCCATGAAAGGTGATTCGAATCATAAACAGAACAGTGAAAACGCTACATCATCTGCTGACTCTGGTGACACCACAGAGAATGATACTAAAACAGATGATAAATCAGAATTGAGCATAGATAACAAAGATGCAATGCCTGATACAAATAGCGATGATAATTTAAAAACTATTAATGATACAGAAAATAAAAATACAGAGGTCATAGATAAGTCTGAAATAAATACAATAAATGATAAAGAGGCTGATAAAAAAGTTAATGATTCTAAAATTAATGAAGCGGATAAATCAAATGTAACTTCAGAATCAGATGATGTTGAAGCAAATACAGATAATAGAAAAGAAACAGAGACTAAAGCCATAGACAACGAAGCTAGTACAGATAAAAAAAATCCAGAGGAGTCTGCAGAAAAAGTTGAGAATGAAATTGGTGTATATAAGAACTATGATGACTTTGCAATGTATGAACAATTGGAGTGGAAAATTGAGGAGTTGGAGAGAGAGCTGTGTTGCCAGATGGATTTGGCTGAAGACATCGATGGCGGGAAAAGGTAGGTTTTTATATGAGATTTAGAATGACAAATAAGTTGATGGCTCGTTCGATGGAAAGAGGAAACCGTTAACTGTAGGCATGAACATCACCATTGACATTTGTTACCAAATATTTATTTAAAATATGTACTTAACGGTCAGTAAAACTATGTACTTAACGGACTCAATACCGACGGTTTTCTCTACCAGTCGACCATTGGACAAACAGAGAAATAATTAGGCAGTGCATTATTAAAATATGTGATATTTCTTCTCTACCTTTCCCGTAGTTGTCTTAAGAGGCGACTAAGGGAGGGCGAGGAATGGGCAGTGAAGTTCATTTTAAAACATCTCCAAAGTTTAACTGCGTTTGCCAACCAGCCTGCCAAGTGTGACAATTACTAGTATTATATGTGCATTTCTTTTTATATATTATTGTTACTATAATTGTCACATATTTTTCACCACATCTGCCCTGTTTTTTATACGCTTTTTGTTCTTACCTAGTTCTGTTCTTAGCTGGTAGAGAATGCCATATGGCATTAAGCTCGCCATTTGTACAAAGTTTTATTGTGCAATAAAGAATAAATAAATAAAAAAAAAAACATGTTTCAGATTATCAATGTCCGTAACCAAGCTGATGGAACTGATCATAGAGCACAGTCCTCGTCCACCTCTGGACCAATTGCCCGAACCGTACGTAGAATTGGAAAGGTTCATGAGGGAGGCAGTGGACGATGCTATGGCATTCCTGTATGAACATAGGTAAGTCTGTAAACCAATAATAAGCTATGTGCCGTGTGATCCCGGCGTAGAATAGGCCACCACTTCTTTTCCTATGGGTGTTATGAGAGACGACTAAGGAAAGCTGATGGATGGGCAGCAGCGTCCCTCTTAAAACATCTCTAAAAGCCTAACTTCCCCGCTATTGCGGTGGCCGACATAAGAAATGTGTCGGCCCTTTACATTTATCTATTTACTAACACCATTTTATATTTATTGGGAACTAAGGAGAGGGGAGAAAACATACACAGACCCCCCTATGTCGGCTTAAAATCAAGTGACCCAGAGGTGGAATCCTCCGGAGTGGAAGCCAGGGCAATGAGGTACGCCCCGAGGCCCTTACCTCGCCCTACCAATTGGCTGGACAAGAGATAGCCCGATTATTTAATTAAAGCCTAATTGCGGTTGCCAACCTGTCTGCCAAGCATTGTAACTACTGGCAAAACTCCCCTTATGGGGAGGGCTTGTGTCCAGCAGTGGACAGTTAAATAATAATAATATAATAAAATTACCCCAGTCGGTTGAAACAGTATTTCCGCTTGCGCTATCAGCGTAAACTAGTAAGATAAGGCGTTGATGAAGTCAAACTAGTTGCCTCATCATGAACAATTTACCAGGAATCTCGATAGTTTCCAAGGAAGATGGCGTGAAGTTTGACCTGATGGTATATTGCTAGCAATAAGGCTACTAGTCCCCATTACTAACAACCCCCCCCTCTCCATTAAATTCTATTGACTATAACAGATAATGTTTGGGGGAAAGGGATTGTTAGTAATGTAATCTACCAGTTACAATATACCCCATCCTCAACCTCATGTTCGACCTCCACGTGGTCCCTCCTAGAAACCATCGTGCTGAATTCCAGGTGTATTCATCATGGTGGGCTAACTGACCTGCCCTTTCATCCTCACCTATCATCCCTTACTGGTGCCCCGCCAGCGTATACCGTTAGTGCAGGTGGGGTTACCATTTTATTATTATCCATTAAAAAAAATGTTTTATTATATTTCAGATACGACCTGACTGAGATATATGGGGAGGACATGTATGACGAGGTTAAGGATATTCCAGATCCGAGGATCGTTCCTAAGCATTTATTTAGGCAGTTTCTGTACATACTGGACGAATTAGGTGAGTACAGTGTAGTTACGGGCAATTGGCCATGACGGCAAAATGAGTTCACTGCGAAATAAGTGGATACTCCTCATAAAAAGAATTCAATATTCATTTTTGTCCGGAGCGGCAAAATATTCTGCTCGAAGGCCTGCAATTGCCCGATGCGGCAAATTTAGTTCACTGCAATTTCGAAAGTCTTTTTAATACTGAGATTTTCATAAACGATTTCTAGTTTATAAAGGGTGGAAATTAGAGATGCCATGAAGTCCAAACTCGGAATGGGCTATCCCATCCTTTTCCATGGGTGTCGTTAAGAGGCGACTAAGGGAACTTAATACATAGAGATGTTGCATCTCTATGCATCTTTTATTAAATGCATTATGGGGAGTGTTCTGAGGGATTGCTTAGCTTGACCCCTGCTGCTGAATTTCACCACTATGAAAATTCCATTCCAACCATCTGGATGAGTGGCGGTCCTCCACCGTGCGTTTTACAAGGCACTTTCTTCCACGCACAACCACTCTTTGGAATCAACTTCCAGCAGCAGTATTTCCGAACCGATACGATATCGTAAACTTCAAGAAAAGAGCATATTCCTTTTTAAAAGACTGGCAGCATACCTGCAATGTCTCTGGTGTCGTAGGAGCTCATGGGCGTCTGTAGTCACTTACCATCAGGTGAGCCGCATGCTCGTTTACCCCGTGTTATAAAAATAGTATTGTAATTTTAAAATCAACTTAATAGGTCTCTTCATTTCAGGCCCGTATTCAGCAGACAAAGCGGCTTTTTCACTACTCATGAAACTAGAAACTCTTCGCATAAAAACACCATACGAACGCCACTTCCTATTGCTACGCCTCTGTACCACGGTATTCGTCAAAATACGCTGTTACGCCGACTACATATTTTCGTCTTATCCTTCCGATTGGGACAAAATAAAATACTTTAGCACGCCTAAAGTGCTTCGACTCGTCGAGATACTGGAAAAATTTAAACCTGACACCCCTAATGACGGTTTGAATAAGAATAGCAAAGTTGATAGTACCGCTAAAATGTTGAGCGACATTGATAAATGTGATTTTGTTACGTTGAGCAACAAGATCGAGGACAGAGTCAATACAATCGAGTCTAATTTGAAGGAAATAGTGCTTGATAGTGAAAGTGATTGTAAAGTTGATAGTAAGAACGATAGTGCCATAAATAGCCTCGATAGTGTCGATAATAGTTTGAATAATGTTGTTGATAGTCACGGAAATAGACTTGATAGTGACAAAAGTAAACGTGATATTGTTAGTGATGGAGGCAGTTTTGATAGGGACGGATGTAGACTCGATAGTTGCGGAAATACACTTAATAGTGATGGAAATACACTTAACATTAGTGGAAGTAGACCTGATTGTTGCGGAAATACGTTTAACGGTAGTGGAAATACAGTTAATAGTGGTGGAACAAAACTAGATAGTGAGAAAGGTGATCCGCTATGGCCATCCCGACGTACGGGACCGCGGTCTAGGGGCAGGGGGCGGCAGGCGAGGAGCAACGCCGGGAGAGTCCAGCAGCAGCAGCAGAATCCTGACGCTCTATGCGGCGTCATGTTCATGAACGAGCCACTGATGGCGAAGATCATGTTCTACTTGATTGTGGTAAGTTTGTTTTTAGAGATAGAGATAGAGAGAGATAGATAGATAGAGAGAGAGAGAGAGAGAAAAGCTTCGTTTAAATCCTTACTAATATTATAAATGTGAAAGTATGTGTTTATTTACTTTCAATTACATTTACTTACCAACCGACTTTAAAAAAAGTACGAGTTTGCCCACATTTACTTATGTTCGTTATTATATAGCATCGTAATTTATATATTTTTATATATTCGTTATTATATAGCTTCGTAATTTATAAATTAATCTTTTTTTTTGTGCAATAAATCCTATCTTTTGTGGAACAAACCCTTTCTTTTATGGGAAAGCCCTTTCTTTTGTGGAACAACCCTTACTTTATTAGAACAAACCCTTTCTTTTGTGGAACAAAATCATAACAATTATTGAGTGTGTACATATATGTACAGGACATGTCCCGCTGTAACCCGGCGCTGTCGTACCTGCACGCGCAGTACTGCGCTGCCGACAGCGAGTCCAGCGAGCCCCGCGACTGCCAGCGGCAGGGCAAGAAGCAGGAGGACGTGCTGAAGAAGTGAGTTGGACACGTTACTGTTTATCTTTCTTCTAACAGCCCTCTGTATTGAGGGCTTGACGCCGGAGAATCGGCAATTTATGTGTGATATATTTAGGTATTAAAAGCAGTGTAGGACGGCCCCGACGACTAGAGGGGGAGAGGGATTGTTAGTAATGGGGACTAATTGCTAGCAAGCCTTGTCAGGTCGACCTCCACGCGGTTCCCCTGGAAACCATTGTGAATAATACTTGTTGCATTCCTCACGATGGGCCAACTGACCTGCTTTCATTCTCACCTATCATCCCTCACTGGCCAGTGTACACCGATAGCGCAGGCGGTGTTACCATTCCATTATCAACCAAAAAAAAGAGCCCCTGCTAGATGGAGTGACAACCTGAAATGCGTTGCAGGGTGTCGATGAATGCAGGTTGCTCAGGACCGTTCCTTATGGCAGTCTATGGGGGAGGCTTATGTCCAGCAGTGGACGGATAATGGCTGAAATTATGATGTTTAGGTAGGTATGTCATATCGTCCCGGCATGGGACATCTGTTTCTTTCTCGTGGGTGTCGTATGTGGCGACAAAGGAACCCATTGGTCGAAGGGACCCTTTGATTGAACCCTGTCGAATTTCTATTAACCTGAAAGACCTGGGGGGAAAGAGATTGTTAGTAATGGAGACTGAGAATCCCATTGATAGCAATATACCCAACTAGGTCGACCTCCTCGCGGTTCCGCCTGAAAACTATCATGGTTAATTCCTGATGAATTTATCATGATTGGCTAACTGGCCTGTTTTCATTTTCATCTATCACCCTTCACTGGTGCTCCGCCAACGTATTTCCTTAGCGCAGGCGGGGTCACCATTCCTTTTTTACCCATAAAAAAAAACCACGGTGGTTTCCATAGGGAACCGCGTGGGGGTCGACCTAATAGAGTATATTGCTAGCAATGAGACTGTAGTACCCTGTTACTAACAATTCCTTTCCCCCGATCAGCCTAGATTTCCCCTCGGCACCTAACATATATCTATCCATTTTTGATTTACAGATTTCGAATGCATGAATGCAACCTACTCCTTGCCACGTCAGCGCTGGAGGAGGGCATTGACCTGCCCAGGTGTAACTTGGTACTCCGCTGGGACATGCCTTCGTCGTAAGTGGTTTTACTTATATTCTAAACTAGGTGTATACCGTGGTTTTGTTTGCGTGAATCAGTAAGTAAATAAAGAATCGTATTTGTTATTAATTAATCATATTGTGCGAGAATATAAGTGGACAGTATGTACGAAAAGTTTTTTATATAGATCCGAGAATGGTAAAACCGACAAGTTGATTTAAAGGTACTAGTAAACTACCTAGATTCAAACTTAGTTCAAATGACTTTTACCATTTGATTAGCGTAAATTCCTTTTACAACATACTCAGATCACTCAGTTCCCTAAAGCGTGCTAAAGTTACCTGAGGTTACCTCGTAAATGTTATAGGAACTAAGGGTTTCGATCATGAATCCTCCGACAGGCGTTTCAATCTTGAATTGTCTTTTTAAATATTTAAAAACGACACGAGAAATTATCTTTTGCGTAGTTTTTATGAGCGACAACGACAAAACTGTTCTGTTTCTGTTTTTAAGAGCAGACACCAACAACCTTTTTTTTTATCTTTCTACCTCCAATTAAAATTATTAATTGCCACATACAAGAATGAAATGTTTTTATGAATTATCGAGAATATTGCCATGTAATTGTTACATCTAAAGTGAACATCACCAGAGGGAGACTTTGTACAAAAGTCGTTCGCTTGGGTACCTCTGTCCCATTCGTGTTTCAACCGTGAAGCAGTTGTGTTTGCATGGCTGTGTTTCAGTTTGAAGGGTGGGATATGGCGTGAATTTACAGGGTACAGAGGAATAACACCTGAGTCCTCAGGAATGGCAACGCATGGGGGGTATCATGGGCGTAACAGTACACTCTGTTACGTCCATGGTACTGCTCATGTCTATAAACGACGGTTACCACTTTCCATCAGGTGGGCCGTCAGCTTGTTTGCCATTCTAAGTTGTATAAAAAAAAACTTGTTATTGAATGAACATATATTTACACACGCAGTCTGACATACATTAGTACATATATGTGTACATGGCGGGCTTAATGCTAGAAGCATTCTCTCCCAGTCAACCATAGGGAAGTGTCAGAATACACGAATGCGGTACTAGTAATTATTGATATACATACATACTAAAATATACATATATAAACGAATAGACATATATATACATAACAAATATACTTACACATATATATTTTTTTTTAAAGACGCGTTAGTCGGTAGTCTCTTAATGGTATCAGGATTGGCATACATTGTTGTTGCCAACCCGTTTGCCGGGCGTGGTAACTACTGGCAAAACCCACCTCAGGGGGGAGGCCTATGGCCTATATTCAGCAGTGGTTTTTTTTGATGAGTGAAAATGGTATGGTAACCCCGCCTGCGCTAACGGGATACGCTGGCGGAGCACCAGTGAAGGGTGATAGATGAGAATGAAAACAGGCCAGTTAGCCCATCATGATGAATTCATCAGGAATTAACCATGATAGTTTCCAGGGGGAACCGCGAGGAGGGTGACCTGGTTGGCTATATTGCTAGCAATGGAATTCTCAGTCTCCATTACTAACAATCCCTTTCCCCCCGTTCAGCAGTGGTTAGTAAACGGCTGATGTGATGATATAAAATACTGACTTTGTATGTATACACCCGTGCTATGCCGGGGCGAGTGGCCCGTGTGTCTAACAGCTTGATGGTGGTCAGGTACCGGTCGCATGCGGCATGCCGCGGGAGGGCGCGGGCAGCTCGAGCGGCTGCGGCGGCTGTGTGTGCCAAGAACGAGGCCTCGAAGTTACTACGCTACGTCGCCGTCTACAGGGAGCTCGACCAGGTAGCGTATGACATACAGGGGGTGTTCTTTACTATCAGTGCGTGATAATGGAATGGTAACCTCGCCCTGGTGGCGGGAAGGGATTGTTAGTAATGGGGAGGTTAGTTCCCATCGCTATCAATGTACCTTATCAGGTCGACCTTCACGCGGTTCCCCCTGGGAACTATCGTGGCTAATTTATCGTTGAATTCGTCACGATGGGCTAACTGACTTGACTTTTGATCCTCACCAATTATATCCTACTGGTGCCCCGCCAGTGTATACGGATAGCGCAGGCGGCAGTACAATTCCAAAAATTGTATACGCTGACAGGATATCTGTGAGAGACAATAGGTGAGGATAAAAGCAGAATAGTTAACCCCTCGTGGCAAATTCCATAAGAATTAACCACGAAGATTTCCAGGGGGAACCGTATGGAGGTCAACTTAAAAAGGTGTAAGGGCAATAAGACTATTGCTAGCAATACAACTGTTGATGGCGAGCTGTTCAATAATAGGAAATGAAGACATAAGGCATGGCAGTGGAATTACATGGTACGGCGGTATGGTATCATGTGCTCGGAAATAGCAACGCATGAGGGGATCATGGGTATCACAGTATATGTATATACAGATGCTGATCATATCTACAGGTGACGGTTACCACTTTCCATCAGGTGGGCCGTCAGCTTGTTTGTTATATTCTAAGTTTTTTAAAAAATATTAATGAATTTAAACTCTCACAGATTATAAGTCGCAAATGTGGATGCGGTATACAAGATGAACCGCCTCAAACAGAAGAAGACCACGCCGATTCCCTCACATTCCTCATCAAACCGTACACACCGCAAGACAAACAAGAGAAGACAAGTAAAACTACATTACAAATAGAACAGAAGGATGTAGAAAAAGAAAGAACTTTAAATGATAGACTACAAGTATCTGATGCTAACGTAGAAAAAATAATTTTAGAAAAAGATACAAATACACCAAAATTGGCAACTGATACTGCATTACACATAGAAGAGAAAGAGAGAACTTCGAATGATAGGCTTCAAATTGTATCTAATATTAACGTAGAGGCAGATACAGTTTTAGAGAGAGATGCAAACACACCAAACTTGGATGTAAGACTTGATGTCAAAAGTATTAATAATGATCAAGAATCTCTTAAAGACAATACAAATATTGATAAATCAAATGTATCACTTGTTAATGGTATTGAAAGTAAAGACATTCCTAGAGATAATCAAGATAAAGCAAAAGCAATATTGCCAAATGATGCTAAAATAGACGAATTAATAGCAAAAAATGGTATAATCGAGTGTAGAAGTAAAGCGGTTAAAATAAACGAAACACTAAATGGTTATATTGATCAAGGAGTTACCAATATCAATAATGCAAATAATGTAACCAATAAATTTGAAATAAATCATTCTGATGTCAAACATCAATTTGATAATGCAAATAGTGACAATGAATTATGCAATATTTTAGAAAATGTAAATAAAAATGATTCTAATACATTAGTGACTGATAATAATGAGCAAATAGAAATAGATGTAGCAAAAGAAAACATTTTAGGGGACAATATTGATGATAATACTAAAGAATACAATCAAAGTGATCTTAAAGTAGATGTAGTAACTGATAGTGGTTTAAATAATCTTAATAGTTATTCAAAAAGTGATATAAACGATAGAAATGAGTGTGTATCCGATGGTAGACATTCTGTTGCTGTAAACAAAGGTGGTAGTGGAACTAAGTGTGATGGTAGGAGAGAGAAAGCGACAGACAGTAATGCAGCTAGCGTTGATCTTAGTACAGCAATACCTCTTATTAATAGGTGAGTTATATTTTACTTTTTTAATAAAATTGGCCGTCTGGTCCTGGCATAGAATAGGCCACCTCTTCCTTTCCCGTGGGTCTTGTAAGGGGCGACTAAAGGAGGGCGAGGGATGGGCAGTAGCGTCCCCTCTTAAAACATCCCTAAAGTCTAACTGCGGTTGCCAATCCGCCTGCCGAATGTGGCAACTACTGACAAAACTCCCCAAGGGGGAGGCTTATGTTCAGCAGTGGACAGTTAAAGGCTGGTATGATGATGCATTGGTATGTATATCATGTTATAGATACTGCGCGAAACTTCCGTCCGACACGTTCACAAGACTGGCGCCGCAGTGGTGGATGGAAGAGGTCCAGCTTCCGGTCCAGGGTGGCAAGGAAACCAGGCCGGCTTATATATGCACGCTGCGGTTGCCCTTGAACTGTCCCGTCAAATACAATATTGTTGTAAGTATATTTGTATGCAATTTAGAACGGCAAACAAGCTTTACCAGAGGGAAACTTTGTACAAAAGTCGATTGCTTGGATACCTCTGTCCCATTCGTGTTTCAACCGTGGAGCAGTTGTGTTTGCATGGCTGTGTTTCGGTTTGAAGGGTGGGATATGGCATGGATTTACTAGGGTACAGAGGAATAACATCTGAGTCCTCAGGAATGACAACGCATGTGGGGTATCATGGGCGAAACAGTATACTCTGTTATGTCCATGGTACTGCTCATGTCTATAGGCGACGGTTACCACTTTCCATCAGGTGGGCCGTCAGCTTGTTTGCCATTCTAAGTTGTATAAAAAAAAAGCTGACATGAATTCTATTGTATGGTTGCCGAGGGATGAGCTGTAGTGTCTCTGTTAAATTATTACCAAAGCCTAACTGCAGTTGCCAATTCGCCTGCCAAACGTGGCAACTACTGGCAAAGCCCCCAATAGGGAGAGGTCTATGTTCAGCAGTGAATAGTTAATAAGTAAGGTTTTGTCTTATGATATACAGGGCCACCCGATGCCGACCAGGGTACTGGCGCGGCGCATGGTGGCGCTGCAAGCGTGCAGGATACTCCACAAGTCCGGGGAACTGGACAACCAGTTGATGCCCATTGGTGAGATATAAAAGAATGACCTTCATACATACATATTTGTCGCGCCTGTCTTTTTTTTTGTTTTTTATACCACTGAGGTGGCAAACAAGCATTGAGTTCCTCACCACACTTGTGTATGTATGGACGCTTTTAACAAGGTAATAAATATTATAAGAGACTGAAGGTCAAGGTCATGGAAAGACGATGCGGTGACAAAAATCTAAAAAGGAATCTTGCGTTGGTTTTGCCATTTGGAGAGAATGGACGAAAGAAGAATTACGAAAGAGATTTATCCAGCATGAATGAATGGAGATGTCGGTAGGGGCCGCCCTAGACGGACGTATGTCGACCAAATAGGCGACGCGCTGAAGAAGGGCCAAATTAAAAGTACCCGTAACCGGCGAGCGTGTATGAAAAGATTGATGAATGTGGAGGAAGCGAAAGAAAGACAGTTTGGATTAGAGGATTTGACGTTCCATTTTTTCTGCCTACCCTACTGCGCGGTTTCAGAGATGTTTCCTCCCACGAACACTCAAGTTGTGGAATGAGCTCCCTGCCGAGGTTTTCCCAAGGGACTACAGCGTGGGGTTCTTCAAAAGGGGGGTAAAGAGGTTTCTTCAGGGTCGGCAACGGTCGCGTAATACCTCTGGTATTGCAAGTGTTCATAGGCTACGGTAACCGCTTACCATTAGGTGGGTCGTATGCTTGTTTTTTTTTACAACACGGTCCAAACGAGCATGTGGCTCACCTGATGATAAGTGACTACCGCCGCTCATGGTCATCCACAACACCAACGGCATTGCAGGTGTGCTACCGGCCTTTTAAAAAGGAATATGCTCTTTTCTTGAAGGTAATGATGTCGTATCGATTCGGATGCTACTAATTTTTTTTTTACAGGCAAAGAGAATTTCAAAGCGACAGAACTGGAGTCCACAGTGGGGTGTCTGAACGGCGATACTAACGACCCCAACGATGCAGCCCGACCCGGCACTACGAAGCGGAGGCAGTACTATTATAAACGGGTGAGTGATGCATCATATCACCATCAAATCATCATCATCATCACAATAAAACGTGATGAATGACGAATTTTTTTATGCAACTTAGAATGGCAAACAAGCTGACGGCCCACCTGATGGAAAGTGGTAACCGTCGCCTATAGACATGAGTAGTACCATGGACATAACAGAGTATACTGTTTCGCCCATGATATTGATATGTTGTTTTCCGCTACGTGTTGCCAGGGTAAAATATTAATCTCCAAAATTTTTAGTTCAGAAGACAGGAAAAAATCAATTGATATTTATCGTGATATATATCGGCGAACCCTGATCCTTACATATTTGCCTCTATCTTTACCAGAGGGAAACTTTGTACAAAAGCCGATTGCTTGGCCACCTCTGTCACATTCGTGTTTCAACCGTGAAGCAGTTGTGTTTGCATGGCTGTGTTTCGGTTTGAAGGGCGGGATATGGCGTGAATTTACTGGGTACAGAGGAATAACACCTGAGTCCTCAGGAATGGCAACGCATAGGGGGTATCATGGGCGAAACAGTATACTCTGTTATGTCCATGGTACTGTTCATGTCTATAGGCGACGGTTACCACTTTTCATCAGGTGGGCCGTCAGCTTGTTTGCCATTCTAAGTTGTATAAAAAAAAAATCCTTACGTACACGCCTCGATTGTTAATTTACACACATTTGTTTACAGACAGCGTGGGCATTCACGGATTGCCAGCCGGTGATCGACACGAGCGATTCGGAGATCGACTCGTCTGCTGCAACTAACGCGGGACCTGACAACCAGCCTGCCGACACGAAGGGGAATAAATGTATGTATTTAGAGATTAATTTATGTAAAATAAAATGGCAAACATGCTGACGGAGAGTGGTAACAGTCGACTATAGACAGAGCTGTGAGTCGCCTATGAACAGTATCGTGGACATATCAGAGTAGTGTTATGCCCAGGGGGAACTGCGTGAAGGTAGACCTGATATACCCTATATTGCTAGCAATGGGCGTCCGTATTACTAACAATACCTCCCTTTGTTAGTAATGCTGGCAGTACACCCTATCAAGTCGACCTCCACGCGGTTCTCTCTGGAAACCGTCGTAGTTAATTCTAGTGGAATTTGTCACGATGGGCTAACTGACCTGCTTTCATCATCACCTATCATCCCTCATTGGTGCCTCGCCAGCGTATTTTTTTTTATATAACTCACAGCGTCCCTCTTAACCCTTAAATACAAGGGGGGAAAGGGATTGTTAGTAATGGAGACTGAGAATCCCATTGCTAGCAATATACCCAACCAGGTCGACCTCCTCGCGGTTCTCCCTGGAAACTATCATGGTTAATTCCTGATGAATTCATCATGATGGGCTAACTGGCCTGTTTTCATTCTCGTCTATCACCCTTCACTGGAGCTCCGCCAGCGTATCCCGTTAGCGCAGGCGAGGTTACCATACCATTTTCACCCATAAAAAAGAACCCTTAAATACGTGAAGTTTCAAATTTGATATCGGGGTTATAAATCGCATTGGGCGCCTACAATCGATTTTATTTTAATATTTGGCTGTTTACATGTTACCAAATGTTTTTTTTTTTCAAAATAAATATATAAAAATATTGTTTTGATTTTTTTACTATTTTTCCCCATTAGTAAACACAGTAAAGGGTATATTTATATATTTTTTTATTTGATTTAAAAAATCAGACTTTTAAGGGTTAAAACATCTATAAAGCCTAACTGTGCCAAGCGTGACAACTACTGGCAAAGCCCCCCCAAGAGGGAGGTGTACGGTCAGCAGTGGACAGTTAAAGGCTGGTGATGGATGATGACGATCCATTGTTTTTTTTTCAGCGGGCAAAAGGAATATGCTATACGCAATAGTGTCGAAGCTGTGGTGCGCACTGCCCGAGAGGTACAACACACGTGGAAGACGGCTGCACGCTCCTCAGAATGCTGCACAGGCGCTCGGCATACTGATGGCCAGGGAGCACCCTGACAGGTACTCGGCTCGTGTGCCTCGCTTGAGTTTCTCAATCTGGAATTTGTTTTTTTTTTTTTATTTGAGGTATCTTTTTTATTTATTTACTAGCCATTCGACCCGGTTTCGCATGAGTAGAGAGAATTTTCGAAAATCATTACATATATAATAATAAAAAAGGTTTCAGCCAATTCAACTGATCGGTTATTTTGTAGCATTTTATATGTGATCCTTTAGATTGATATAACTTTGTTATTTATGAACCGATTGAAATAAAACAAACACAAAAATGTTAAGTGGAGCAAACCGCAACGCATTATTGAAAACCGCATTCAAATCGGTTAAGCCGTTTCTGAGATTAACGTACAGGTAGATACGTACAGACAAAATGATAAAAATTCTAAAAATGATTGTTTTGTGTTTTTTTTTTTTTATACAACTTAGAATGGCAAACAAGCTGACGGCCTACCCGATGGAAAGTGGTAACCGTCGCCTATAGACATGAGCAGCATGGACGTAACTGTTCCGCCCATGATACCCCCCATGCGTTGCCATTCCCGAGGACTCAGGTGTTATTCCTCCGTACCCAGTAAATTCACGCCATATTCCACCCATCAAACCGAAACACAGCCATGCAAACACAACTGCTTCACGGTAGAAACACGAATGGGACAGAGGTGCCCAAGCAATCGACTTTTGTACAAAGTCTCCCTCTGGTATTCTGTTCTATTGGGTTCATAAAGCCGCCCTGTAATAGTTTTTCTTATATATCTTCCATGTACAGACAGCGACCTGTTACGACTTTATGACTACGACAAACCCATGTTCAGCAGTGGACTGTTAAAGACTGGTATGATAAAGATACGTGTACAGGTTACTAACTGGACCTCTCCCCTTCCCTCTTCCCGCAGGCTGCAGATCCCCCCGTTCCCGGTGTACACGCGGTCTGGCGAGGTGCGCGTGTGGGTGGAATACGTGCCGGATGCTGACGTCAGGCTGTCGCCGCGCCGCGCCAAGCTCGTCCGCAGGTAGTTGCTATATCATTAGACAGTGGTACCTCGATATACGAGCGATATTGAGATACGATCCACCGAGCGAGCGATAATTTGTTTTGGAAAGAGAGCAAGATTTGAGATGCGAGGGATCGCCTACACCGCTGCACACGATTCCCACATGCGGGGTGGATGGTGGTGATCTACCTTAGTCTAACACTATTATATATATATATATATATATATATATATATATATATATATATATATATATATATATATATATATATATATATATATATATATATATATATATATATATGACGGCTGCCATCCGTCCGGGATTCCCCGGATTTGTCCTAGTTTGAAGGGCGTCAATTATATTAAATCTTAGTTACAAATTCATTCACAATAACCATGTTTTAATACAACAATCTTTTTATTTTTGTTTTTTTGTTACAAAAAATATTTTTTCAATAGTGTCCGGGGACAAAACCATATTTCGCTCAAATATCCGGGATTTTGCCGTGTTTATCCGGTGTCGATAGTTTAGGTGATGGCAGCCCTACATATGAAAAACAACCTTAGCATGCTTAATTTTAAGTTTTTTTCAATAAAATCTGTATTATTTTGGTGTATTATTACAGATTTATGCGGTTCGTTTTTGCTGAGGTGTTACGCGTGCAACGCCGCGGTATGCGGCTACAAGCGGACGGCGGGACCAGTAATAATTATTACATCGTGCCCACTATCAAATGTGAGTTACACGGCTGTTCATATAAGCAACTTTATATATATATTTATACCACTGAGGTGGCAAACAAGGATACGGCCCACTTGATGGTAAGCGGTTACCGTAGCCTATGAACACCTGCAATACCAGAGGTATTACGCGCGCGTTGCCGACCCTGAAGAAACCTCTTGTCCCCCCTTTTGAAGAACCCCACGCTGTAGTCTCTTGGGAAAAATATATTACTATATAAAGCAGACCTCTAGTCCGACGACGCGAGGCGGGTGTGTAATATAGTCGGATATAGATCATAACCCACCACCAGAGGGAGACTTTGTACAAAAGTCGACCCTCTCGTCGTACCTCTGTCCCATTCGTGTTTATACCGTGAAGCAGTTGTGTTTGCATGGCTGTGTTTCGGTTTGAAGGGTGGGATATGACGTGAATTTACTAGGTACAGAGGAATAACACCTGAGTCCTCAGGAATGGCAACGCATGGGGGGTATCATGGGCGAAACAATATACTCTGTTATGTCCACGGTACAGCTCATGTCTATAGGCGACGGTTGCCACTTCCCATCAGGTGGGCCGTCAGCTTGTTTGTCATTCTAAGTTGTATAAAAAAAACCCTTGTTTGCATAATGGTGGAAATTTCCATCATAACATTGAACGCCCAAAAATTATATAAAAGAACAAGTTCATTTTAAAATGATCGTGTATGGATGCCTTTTTAATGTCTATTGCCGAAAAAAAAAACATAGCTGTCAAATTTATTTCTTTAACCATTTTTCCTTTAATTTTGAACATGAATTATATCACCTTGATTTGTTTCACCAATAAAAAAATCATGAAGAAGGATTAATGTAAAGTTAAATCATGGTATGGTGATGATGATGAGAGAAATGGTTAGTCAATTAGCTCATTAATAAATCCAATATCGTTACAGCGACAAAAGAAGACGGCTCCGTTCACATAGACATCGACTGGTCATTCCTGGAGCTGATCTACCAGCACACGGAGCAGAAGGAGCACGCGGAAATAGAGAAGCCGCTGTTGTTCCCCGAGAAAGAGGGGGACGGCAAGAGCGGCGAGAAAGAGAGGGACGGCGAGAAAGGTGAGTTGTAAAGCGCTTTTATACAATGTGTAATGTAGCTATACACCTTCAGGTCGACCACCACGCGGATCCCCCTGGAAAACATCATGGTTAATTCTTGTCGAATTCATCGCGGTGGGCCAACTGACCTGCTTTCATTCTCACCTATTATCCGTCATTGGCCAGTGTATACCGATAGCGCAGGTGGGGTTACCATTCCATTATCACCCATTAAAAAAAATTGTGATATAAGAGAGAGAACGATTACTTGAATGACAAGCGTGCATGGTGTTAGTGGATCATGCACGGGCTTTTAACGACCATGTAATTTTAGACATAGTACATTTAAATAAATACACATAATGTTAACAGAGATTTGAAAGAGTAACTGTTGAGCTTCTAGCGGGCTCTTCTTGACAGATAACAACTTTACGAACCCTGCAGTAGATTAAAAAAAAAATAACGATTTAAAAGTATTTGTAAACAAGTATATTTTTTGAATTAAGATGATTTGAAAGATGCTAAGAGTGAGAAAGAGATGGCAGCAGAGAATGAATGTATCGAATGTTTATGCACTTTGTAATTGTAAGATAGACAGACTGCGAGATCTGTGAGAGAGAGAAGGACGAGGGGAAAGGTGAGTTTATCCAACTTGTAATGGTAAGAGAAAGACAGCGAGATCTGTGAGAGAGAGAAGGACGAGGGGAAAGGTGAGTTTATCCAACTTGTAATGGTAAGAGAAAAAGATGGCGAGATCTGTGAGAGAGAGAAGGACGAGGGGAAAGGTGAGTTTATCCAACTTGTAATGGTAAGAGAAAAAGATGGCGAGATCTGTGAGAGAGAGAGAAGAACGAGGGGAAAGGTGAGTTTATCCAACTTGTAATGGTAAGAGAAAAAGATGGCGAGATCTGTAAGAGAGAGAGAGAAGAACGAGGGGAAAGGTGAGTTTATCCAACTTGTAATGGTAAGAGAAAGAGATGGCGAGATCTGTGAGAGAAGGACGGGGAGAATATTGTGTTTGTGCAGCGTGTAACAAATATAAAGGAAATACAATTTAATTTAGAACGTCCTTTTTTTGAAATCTGTCGAAAAACCGTTTTATATATCTTTAAAAAGAGCTGATGGCCTCATATTACTTGAACAGATCATCATAGATTGCTAGCAACTATCTTTCAAACAAAAAAGGCATTATAATTGGTCTATTCGTTTAGGAGTTACGATGCCACAGACAGACACGGACATGTCAAACTGATAACACTCCTTTTTTGCGTCGGTGGTTAAAAGTTACTATTCGAAAAATGATTATCATTACGTTTACATGAATATAATTTTTTTTTTTATTTTTATTTTTAAAAGTCAAGAAGATGGACAATCCACTGCTGAAACCCGGCGAGGTGTTCCACTTCGACCCCGAGAAGTACAAGGAAGCCGTGGTGACACCGTGGTACAGGAATCAAGATCAGCCGCAGGTATGGCCAGCATACAACTATATATATTTTATACCACTGAGGTGGCAAACAAGCATACGGCCCACCTGATGGTAAGTGGTTACCGTAGTTTATGAACACCTGCAATATTAGAGGTATCACGCGCGCGTTGCCGACCCTGCAGAAACCTCTTTACCCCCTTTTGAAGAACCCCACGCTGTAGTCTCTTGGGAAAACCTCGGCAGGGAGCTCATTCCGTAACCTGAGTGTTCGTGGGAGAAAACATCTCTGCAAATATCCATTCAAATCTTGTAATGTATGGGTATTTTGATAACCACATAGGTATTATAGCGGACGATATTGTCAAATATTTTATATTTATATATATATATATATATATATATATATATATTTTTTTTTTTACATGTAAAATAATAGGATTCATGAGTGTATATTCGAAACAGTTCTTCCTGGTGGCAGAGATCTGCTGGAACTTGAACCCCGACTCGGCGTTCCCGTCGGCGACGCACGCCAGCTTCCGCGACTACTACAGCAGCAAATACGGCGTGACCTTGACCCAGAGCGACCAGCCGCTGCTCGACGTGGACCACACGAGCGCCAGGCTCAACCTTTTAACTCCTAGGTAGGTTTCAAATTATTATAAGGAGTACAAAAGTATGTAGTGACCTTGACCTTGACATTAGCTTTTCGTTGTCACGACCCGGAATAAAGGTGTGACCTGGACTTGGATTTATTAATTGTAATATAATGTGGGGACTAAATACAGTTTAACATTTGCATACCTCTACGGGGTGCTGCATGCTATGTACCTACGTATATATGTAACTTCTTTTTGTACCATGTAGCGAGCTAATAAATATGATTTGATTTGACTCCGCCGCGGGTTGTAGTTAATATAAAGTAAATTTTTCTCAAACATGCTTGGAAATGTGAGCATTATTTTGACAATCTTCTTACGAGATAAATCAAAATTGCCGTACTGACCAGATACACGCGGGCAGCGGCCGGCAAAAGTTGTATGAAAATCCATATCTGTCGTGTTTTGCGGCCAGATAAATTACTATGTAAACTCATATCTGTCTTGTAATTTAAAAATGGAATGACCTTTTACTTCGAAACATGACTACCAAGGAGGTGACTAATAAAAGATTTTATTTAAATTTCGAACTGGCTTGTAAATAGAAAGCTGTTTATTGAGAAAAAAAAAACAAAGGAACATTATGGCGCGTGAAAAATTATTATTGTTCGTTATTCGTCATTGAACTTAAAAAGTAAAATTGTGTTTTTGATTTCCGCGCATTGTTTGAGAAAAGTACTATACAAGCCTTGGCCACAATTAGGCATTGATGGATTCACGTATGTGTGCCTCGGCTACGCCTCGGCCCACATTTGCACGTTCGTCCATCAATGCCTCAGTTGCTGGCCGCTGCAGTAATGTACTCTAATTTCACTTATTTAAGTAATTTTATTGACCAATTTAAAATATGGTACAAAAGGCGGTCTTAATGCTAGTAGCATTCTCTACCAGTTAATTTTTGGGATGTATTTTATTATTGGAAAAGGTAAAGAAAATAATGGGTATATTTAAAAAATGCAACATAAAAATTGTAATAACATAAAATAATATATAGACAAGTCGTGTGGTCCCGGCATAGAATCGAGTCGTTTGCTTGGCTACCTCTGTCCCATTCGTGTTTCAACCGTAAAACAGTTGTATTCGCATGGCTGTGTTTCAGTTTGAAGGGTGGGATATGGCAGTGAATTTACTGGGTACAGAGGAATAATACCCGTATGACCTCAGGAATGGCAACGTATGGGGGCTATCATGGGTGAAACAGTATATTCTGTTATGTCCACGGTACTGCTCATGTCTGTAGGCGACGGTTGCCACTTGACGGTTCCACCAGGTGGGCCGTCAGCTTGTTTGCCATTGTGAGTTGTATAAAACAAAATGTTTGTCCCGTGATCAGGTACGTGAACCGCAAGGGCGTGGCGCTGCCGGTGTCGTCGGAGCGTACGCGGCGTGCCAAGCGCGACCGCCTCGACCAGAAGCAGATCCTCGTGCCGGAGCTCAGCCGCCGCCACCCCTTCGCCGCGCCGCTCTGGTTCGCCGCCGTCGCGCTGCCCTGCGTGCTATACAGGTGTGGCTTGACACGTTGCTAGCAATACCTGTCAGGTTCATCTCGACGTTAGCCCACCTGGACACCGTCGTGTTGTATTCCAGGTGTATTCGTCACGATGGACCAACTGACCTGGCTTTTCATCCTCACCTATCAACCCTCACTGGTAAAAAAAAAAACACTCACTAGTGTGTGTTGGGGGAAGGGATTGTTAGTTAGGGAGAGATTAGTCCCTATCAATATACCCGATCAGGTCGACCTCCACGTGGTTCCCCCTGGAAACCATTGTGACTAATTTATCATTGAACTTGTCACAATGAAATAGCGCAGGCGGAATTACCATTCCGTTATCATCCACCAAAAAATACCCTCACTGGTGGAAGGAAAGGGATTGTTAGTAATGAGATCTTATAGCTCTATTACTAGCAATATACCCTGTCAGGTCGACCTCCACGTGGTCCCCCCTGGAAACCATCGTGGCTAATTCTAGTTGAATTCGTCAGGATGAGCTAACTGACCTGCTTTCATCCTCATTAATCATCTATCACTGGTGGCCCGCCATTAACGCGGGTGGGGTTACCATACCATTATCACGCATTAAAAAAACTACCCAAAGGTTGTCTGGAAGAGATTGCTTAGCAATAAGACCGCCTTTTGTACTAAACTATACTTATTGAAATTCCTTCAACAAGTCCTGTAATATTGGCGTTATAAAGTGTTAAATAAATAAATAAATACTTAAGCAAACAACTTTCATACAAAATTGCATGGTGACACGGTATGGTGTATCTGGTCTCCAGGATCAACGCCCTCCTCATAGCGGACGAGATCAGACGCGCGGTGGCGATAGACGTGGGGCTTGGCATACCCAAGATAGATGACGACAAATACCCGGGCTTCCAGTGGCCACCGTTGGACTTCGGATGGAGTCTTGCTGAGGTGATGACACTATTTTTTTTTATACCACAACTAACTGCATACGGCGGCTTCGTTTATGATCGTATTGTGATTTTAAGTCCTAACTACTATTATAAATGTGAAAGTGAGTTTGTTTGTTACCTTATATCATACCTTATCACCAGAGGGAGATTTTGTACAAAAGTCGATTGCTTGGGTACCTCTGTCCCATTCGTGTTTCAACCGGGAAGCAGTTGTGTTTGCATGGCTGTGTTTCGGTTTGAAGGGTGGGATATGGCGGTGAATTTACTGGGTACAGAGGAATAACACCTGAGTCCTCAGGAATGGCAACGCATGGGGGGTATCATGGGCGAAACAGTATACTCTGTTATGTCCATGGTACTGCTCATGTCTATAGGCGACGGTTACCACTTTCCATCAGGTGGGCCGTGGGCTTGTTTGCTATTCTAAGTTGTATAAAAAAACAAAACACTATAATGGCTTAACCAATGACTATTTATTTATCTGTGTAAGTAGATAGTACCAGAGGGAGACTTTTGCGAATGGGACAGAGGTACCATTGTAAACAAATTTTGTACAAAGTCATTATAAACTGAAATTGTGTGTGTTCTAGGTACTAAATGCAGATTCAGAGAAGAGTGAAAAGAAGACAGATGAAGAAGATACAGCGCTGAAAGAAGAAACGAAAACAGAAGAATCAAAGTAAGTTTTTATCTAACTTCAAATTCAAAAAGTGTTGTTCCAAACTGATTTTTTTTATACAACTTAGAATGGCAAACAAGCTGACGGCCCACCTGATGGAAAGTGGTAACCGTCGCCTATAGACATGAGCAGTACCATGGACATAACAGAGTATACTGTTTCGCCCATGATACCCCCCATGCGTTGCCATTCCTGAGGACTCAGGTGTTATTCCTCTGTACCCAGTAAATTCACGCCATATCCCACCCTTCAAACCGAAACACAGCCATGCAAAAACAACTGCTTCACGGTTGAAACACGAATGTGACAGAGGTGGCCAAGCAAACGACTTTTGTACAAATTCTCCCTCTGGTAATTTTATTTATTAAGATTTTTGATGTTTTTAGATAAAAAAAAATATTGTAACTAAAGATACATTGCCATTATATCAGCCGTTAATTGCCCTCTGCTGAACATAGGCCTTTCCCCATAAACGGAGTGTTTGGAGTAGTTGCCACGCTTGGCAGGCGGTTTGACAACTGCAGTTTTTGCTTTGGTGATGTTTTAAGAGGGACGCTGCTGCCCATCCCTCGATGAGCATGGGTACCATTTAAATCGTCATATTATATCAATAAAATGTCGTTTATATTTTGCAGCGTAAAAGAAGAGAGGGAGAACAGTACAGAAGATCACAGCACAGAGGAGCCTAAAGAGAAGACAGCTAACGACATATTACAAGAGAAGGAAGACGCCGAGAATGTGAGTTGGTTTTGTTTTATTTTACAACTAGCTGTTGCCTGCGACTTCGTCCGCGTTTCCGTCATTTTTCGTAAAATAAGTAGCCTATGTCCTTCCTAACGGTTCAGTGGTTTTGATGTAACAGACAAATTTCCCTTCACTGCTCTGCTCCTATTGATCGTAGCGTGATGAAAAGTATACTATAACCTGCCCAGGAGTATGAAGAATAATTGTACCGAGTATCGTTAAAATCCGTCTAGTAGTTTTTGTTTCTATGACGAACATACAGACAGACAAAAATGTAACTGATTGCATTTTTGGCATCAGTATGGATCACTAATCACCCGCTGATAGTTATTTTTTCATGTACAGAATTGACCTCTCTACAGATTTATTATAAGTATAGATTTGTATTTACCCGCGCAAGTCGCGGGATAAATCAAAATTGCCGTACTGGCCAGATACATGCGGGCAGCGGCCGGCAAAAGTTGTATGAAAATCCATATCTGTCGTGTTTTGCGGCCAGATAAATTACTATGTAAACTCATATCTGTCCTGTAATTTAAAAATGGAATGACCTTTTACTTCGAAACATGGCTACCAAGGAGGTAACTAATAAAAGGTTTTATTTAAATTTCGAACTGGCTTGCAAATAGAAAGTTGTTTATTAAAAAAAAAAAAAACCAAGGAACATTATGGCGTGTGAAAAATTATTATTGTTCATTGAACTTAAAAAGTAAAATTGTGTATTTGATTTCCGCGCATTGTTTGAGAAAAGTACTATACAAGCCTTGGCCACAACTAGGCATTGATGGACTCACGTATGTGTGCCTCGGCTACGCCTCGGCCCACATTTGCACGTTCGTCCATCAATGCCTTAGTTGCTGGCCGCTGCAGTAATGTACTATTGTTTATTGTTAAAGTGTGTGGTCGAATTGGGAATAGATTAATATTGTTTGTCTTTGATATTATTTGTCTATAGTCTTACTGAATGTCTAACATATTATATATGTATAATATCAACATATCAGCCTTAAACTGTCCACTGCTGAACACAAACCTCCCCCCAAGGGGGCTTAATCAGTAATTACCACGCTTGACAGACGGTTTTTTTTTGATGAGTGAAAATGGTATGGTAGCCCCGTCTGCGCTAACGGAATACGCTGGTGGAGCACCAGTGAAGGGTGATAGATGAGAATGAAAACAGGCCGGTTAGCCCATCATGATGAATTCGTCAGGAATTAACCGTGATAGTTTCCAGGGAGAATCGCGTGGTTGAACTAGTTGGGTATATTGCTAGCAATGGGATTCTCAGTCTCCATTACTAACAATCCCTTTCCCCCCTGGCAGACGGGTTAGACCCGTAGTTAGGTTTTAAAGATGTTTTAAGAGGGACGCTGCTGTCCATCCCTCGTCCTCTCTTAGTCGATTCTTATAATTTAAATTAATTATAATCGATTTTGGACCACCTAATTTAAGTTTATTTTACGGGAAAAAGGAGGGGGGTGCTGGCTACTTAAAAAAAGGTTTTTTTTGTACAACTTAGAATGGCAAACAAGCTGACGGCCCACCTGATGGAAAGTGGTAACCGTCGCCTATAGACATGAGCAGTACCATGGAATGGCAACGCATATACCCCCCATGCGTTGCCATCCCTGAGGACTCGGGTGTTATTCCTCTGTACCCAGTAAATTCACGCCATATCCCACCCTTCAAACCGAAACACAGCCATGCAAACACATCATAATTATAGTCTCTAAGAGTTGTCTTTGTAAAGCTTCGCTCGCATTCTTTGGTGGGCGTGGTCCATTCGTCCCCTCTTCTAAATACGCCTGTGATAATTGCCCTTTAGACATTCGAGATCGGCATGTGGAGTAACGAGATGGCGTCCAACATCCAAACTACTGAGTACAACGAGTACCTGGAGCCTCTGCCTTCGAACCTGACGCTGTGCACCTCCGCATCTGGTGAGTACCAAAGGGAGACTTTGTACAGAAGTCGATTGTTTGGGTACCTCTGTCCCATTCGTGTTTCAACCGTAAAGCAGTTGTGTTTGCATGGCTGTGTTTCGGTTTGAAGGGTGCGATATGGCGTGAATTTACTGGGTACGGAGGAATAATATCTGAGTCCTCAGGAATGGCAACGCATGGGGGGTATCATGGGTGAAACAGTATACTCTGTTATGTCCATGGTACTGCTCATGTCTATAGGCGACGGTTACTACTTTCCATCAGGTGGGCCGTCAGCTTGTTTGCCATTCTAAGTTGTGTAAAAAAAAAGAGTACAAGATATGAGTGAGTAATATACAGGGTGTAAAGGACATTTTGACAAAAACTGAAACAGTGAATTCAGATCCATTATATTTGAACTGAAACCCAGTGGCATTTCTTTTCGGAAAATTTCAAATTTTTTTTTATATTTAAAATTATGTAATCTATGATATTATGTCATAATATAAAGAAATAATCATATTTTATAGTGAAATATGTACTAGGAAATAGCAAAAAACAGCAATGTAATATTCGTTTTAAAATGGTACAGCGACGCGCGGTATCAGCTGTGTAAGGTCAATGACACGAGCGCACGAAAACTACTTACGAAGAAGCGCCATTGACCGTGCGGTGTATCAATATATTGTAGCTACAATATCTATGTATTTGCCCATTGTCGGTTTGCCGTGTGATCTCGGCAGATAATAGGCCTCTATTTCTTTCCAGTTAGTGTCATAAGTGGTAAGTAAGGAAACTTAATGGTCGAGGGCAGCGCCAGCAGCGTCCCTCTAAAAACTTCAACAAAACTTAGTATAAACTTATGTTAAATTGTTGGATTGCAGGTGGCGTGGACTGGACCGAGAGGACCAAGAGGCAGTTCAACCCCACCCGTCCCCTGTCTGTGGCAGACAGCGATTGTTCCTACATGTCCAGGTAAAATTATTTTCAACCGACTTGAAAAAGAAGGCTATATTTTTTATGTATTATTATTAGTGATGATTATTTATTATTATTAATCAGGCTTCGCCGATATATATATCACGATAAATATCAATTGATTTTTTCCTGTCTTCTGAACTAAAAATTTTGGAGATTAATATTTTACCCTGGCAACACGTAGCGGAAAACTACAATTCAGAATAATCTAGATTGTTTCCCAAAATGGCGACCTCATAAAAATAATAATATTATTATAATAATAGGTACTTGTTTTTTTTTATTGTTCATTAATAAAATATTTCTCCAATAAACACTAAGTAATTCTTTTGTTAAAAGTTTTTTTTTTTTTTTTAAATAATAAATGGAGTAATAATTTGATACTTATTTTATTTTACAAATCCTTTTAACATTTTTAAGCGTGTAATCCCCTTACAGAACGAAATCCGCTTCTTTTTCTTAGCCGGGATATATATCTGATATATATATAAAAATCGGATTTTATCGAACTCTGTTATTAATGTTATTATACATGTCCTCTTGGTGTGCTTTAGTAAATAAATAAATAATTAAACTCAAGTTTAACTTTATTCAAATAACCTAGTGTATTTAAATCGGCTATACCCTTTTGGATGTAACAAATGGTATCTATATTTTTTCTTTCGCAGCGAATTCGACACGGACGAGACGGATTCTGACGTCAGCGATGAAAATGACGGATCTTACCTCAGTGAGTACACAGAGTTCAGACTGATCGATCTCTTACTGTGAAGTCAATTTGTTTATACATTTATAACTAGTGAATCGCCCCGGTTTTGCACGGGTACGTACATAGAAAGATTAATTGGTATTTTATGTTAGCTTTAATAGATACATTTTGTATATTTCTGTCTACATTATTGTAATTTTCATAAGGATCTCAAATTTCTTTAAAAATAATACCCAGTCCATGATACTCTATGTCCAACTATTTTTATTAGTTATGTCACAATGATCGCTTTTTAAAATGTTGTAAAAAAATGTCCACCCGTGCGAAGCCGGGACGAGCCGCTAGTATATACTGTACTATTGTTAATTTCTACATACTATTTTTCTTTTAAAATAATTATTCATTCATACCAGAGGGAGACTTTGTACAAAAGTCGATTGCTTGGGTACCTCTGTCCCATTCGTGTTTCTACCGTGAAACAGTTGTGTTTGCATGGCTGTGTTTCGGTTTGAAGGGTGGGATATGGCGTGAATTTACAGGGTTACAGAGGAATAACACCTGAGTCCTCAGGAATGGCAACGCATGGGGGGTATCATGGGCGAAACAGTACACTCTGTTATGTCCACGGTACCGCTCATGTGTATAGGCGACGGTTACCACTTTACATCAGGTGGGCCGTCAGCTTGTTTGCCATTCTAAGTTGTATAAAAAAATAAAATATGAAAAAAAAAATTCATGAAATTTAATTATTTTAAATAAATACTAGTTTATGCAGCGTGAACTTTTTGTTTGAACATAGTAACACGTTATACTCGCTTTTATTGCAAATTTACGGACAATATTGAACACGTGTCTATCGAAAATTAAACTTTTTTTTACGGTAAGATGGACAGACAATGTTTTAAATATAGTAAATATATAAATAAATAATAAATATGTTTATTATTCGATTTTAGGTCCAATGAGCTACCGGATAGAGTACAAAACGGCCCACGAGGCGGAAGCGTTCGACGTGGAACGTAAGAAGGTGAACCCCGCACCGCTCCCTGATGCAGAGGACGACGCGGCCGACAGGGAGGCTCACGATGCACTGGTGCGGGTCGGGAATGCACCGAAGGAGGTAAGTGGCGAGTTGTGATGAGTTGTGATGTCGGTGGTGAGTTGTGAAGTTAGTGGTAACTTCACTAGTGAGTTGTGATGTCGGTGGTGAGTTGTGAAGTTAGTGGTAATTTTACTAGTGAGTTGTGATGTTGGTGGTGAGTTGTGAAGTTTGTGATGACTTCACTGGTTAGTTGTAATTTTGATAGTAAGTTGTGAAATTTGTGGTGACTTCACTGGTGAGTTGTGATGTTGTGATACTACAAAAATAAAATAAATAAATGTGAATACGCTAATCAGACACAAATTACAAATTGACGTCTTGCTCAGATAGAAGTCTGAATAAACATAAAATCATCTATCTATCTCTCTCGCTCCCATTACAATACCTGAAAGGTGCATATGTGTTAATTTGTACTATATTTGACTGTGTAGTATGAATTCAAATCAAAGTAATGTAATAAATAAATAAAATAAATATATTTTTGTCCGCAGTACATAGAAAAGTTCCATCGAGCAGTCGCTTCCCACGAAAAGGAGATAGTGGACAGAGGGTACCTAATAAAACACGACGAGCCAATAAAAACTATACTGCCAGAGAACAACACGCAAAAAGTCGCAACCGCCGACGAGAAGGACGCGTCGAAACTTCTAGAAATGTTCCCTTACAGCAGCGACAAGATTGAATTCACCGATGGACAGATAAACGTCGAGAGCGTCGAAAAAAATAAGAGATTCCTATTGGCCGAATTGAAAAAGAGCTTGTCTACGGACGAGGTTAAAAAGTTGAAGTGTTTCTCTATGGTCGACGTTGATATAGACTCGGAGGATTACGTCAACGAGAAGGTGGTGAACGTAGGCTTCGATACGAAGGAGAGTTACGTGGAGAGGATCAGCAAATGGGACAGTGTGAAGGAGTTCAAGCCTTATTTCGAAGAGGGCAGGGCGCAAAGTGGGAAGCCGTTCGATTTTGACTACCAGCCCGAGTTGGAAGGACATCCGGGTCCAAGTCCTAGCGTTATTCTGCAGGTTAGTATTTTTGAATATTACTAGCGATCTACCCGGGTTCGCACGGGTGTCTACCCGTCTATTTAGATAGAAATATAAATTATTTATTTACTTTTTATTGCACCATATATGTATAAGGTTGTCAAATATCTCCTTTTGCTTTTTGGCTCTTTGTTCAATGCTTTATAAAAAGTGTTATAGTGATAGGATTTAGTTTAAATATGCGCCGTTTTGTTCGATAATCTGTTTTCATGTAGACGGTAACTTCATAATACCCCCCTCGTAGAAGCCCTCCTCCTTATTTGCGAAGAACTCGGACAGCCACTTTTCACAAGCTTCTTTTGAGTTCAACTTTACACCACCAAGGGCGTTCGCCATGGACAGGAACAGGTGGTAATCACTTGGCACTATGTCCGGGCTATATGGTGGATGCGATAAAACCTATCCGAGCTTCCGTAGCTTCTGACGAGTCATCAACGAAGTGTGTGGTCTGGCGTTGTCCTGGTGGAACACTATACCCTTCCTGTTGGCCAATTCTGGACGCTTCTGGTTGATCGCCTGCTTCAAGCGGTCCAGTTGTTCGCAGTAAATGGTAGAATTAAGTATCTGGCCATATGGGAGCAGCTCACATAGTGAATGATTCCCTTCTAATCCTAATATTTAGTCATTAGTCATTTATCTATATTTGTTTCGATCAGACGGTTTTTTCGATATTATAAATTAGATAATTATAAGTTAATATATTCATTATTGGGCCAATCCATAGATACTGTATTTATTTATTTATAAAAGATACAGCAACAGTATGTTCACAATAATTAAACAGACTAGGTGCAATGTTATAAGTAAGTAAGTAATGAAAAAAAAATAACTATTCAAAAATGCTTAAATCTAAGTCTACTTGAATAAAAATATACTATATACCTACTGTAACTAATATCGTTATTATAAAACTGTAATTGTAATATTGTTATATATTACTTAGGCATACGGAGGGTAGGGTAATACGGATACCGATCCGATAACTATATATTGGGTTTCCTCTGGACATTGATGGCGGAAGGGCATCACCCATTCTAATATCGCCCATATCGGTCGGATATCTATTTTCGAATATGTTAAAAGTCTGTTATCCAATATTATTTTTTGGATAACAGACTTTTAACATATTCGTTATTGGATCAATATATATATATATTGTAACTGAAATATATAGTTATCGCTGTATATCACTTAGACCGTTAATTTTGCATTACCAGGCATTGACAATGTCGAATGCGAATGACGGCATCAACCTGGAACGTCTGGAGACCATCGGAGACAGCTTCTTGAAGTTTGCCATCACGGCATACCTATACTGTGCCCACCCCACAGTGCACGAGGGGAAGCTCAGCCATATGAGAAGTAAGCAGGTGCGTTACATACTATTTTTATGCACTTGATTGTAGTTTTTTAACAAAGGGAGACTGTAAAAGTCGTTTGCTTGGGTACTTATGTCCCATTCGTGTTTCTACCGTGAAGCAGTTGTGTTTGCATGGCTGTGTTTCGGTTTGAAGGGTGGGATATCGCAGTGAATTTACAGGGTACAGAGGAATAACACCTGAGTCCTCTGGAATGGCAACGCATGGGTGGTATCATGGATGAAACAGTATACCCTGTTATGTCCATGGCACTGCACATGTCTATAGGTGACGGTTACCACTTTCCATCAGGTGGGCCGTCAGCTATATATATATATAACTCTCGTTGCAGGTGTCGAATTTGAACCTGTACCGGCTGGGTCGCTGCCGGCGGCTGGGTGCTCGCATGATCGCGAGCAAGTTCGAGCCGCACGACAACTGGCTGCCGCCCTGCCACCGCCCGCCGCCCACGCTGCATCACCACCATCACCAACAGGCAAGCTGTTCTTTGAACCACTTAATACGAGGGGTTTTCTGTGAAATGAGCTCAACTGGCACACTGATGCATGCACTGAATTCGAATATGTATACAATAAATATACATTGGGGGGAAAGGGATTGTTAGTAATGGAGACTGAGAATCCTATTGCTAGCAATATACCCAACCAGGTCGACCTCCTCGCGGTTCCCCCTGGAAACTATCATGGTTAATTCCTGATGAATTCATCATGATGGGCTAACTGGCCTGTTTTCGTTCTCATCTATCACCCTTCACTGGTACTTCGGCAGCGTATCCCGTTAGCGCAGGCGGGGTTACCATACAATTTTCATCTATTAAAAAAATACTATCTTGTAACGAACTAAGAAGAATTTGTACTATGCGTCCTATCCTATAACCATTTTGTTAAAAAGTTCGGCAACCAAACTGCACATTAGGGTCCGACAAGAAATCCAATAATTTGTCTGAAGATGCCTCGTTTAAAGGCGAAACATGTGTCGCAAAACGTGCGCGAACAAAATGCCAATCGGAGATTGATGGGTAATATTGAAGGCGGTGTTAGCTATCAATATCTGACCGCCATTTCGTTCACGCACGTTGTGTGACACGTGTTTTAAAGAAGGTTGGAATGTTGTGGTACTTCTGATAGTAATAGTGGTGGTCAGTCTTCGAGTGTTGGCAGTCACACACATACTAACGGTAGCGGAATTAAACAAAATAATTCTAAACAAGTAACCAGTGATATGGACTACCTCAAGTTAGCACCTAGTTCAGTAAAACGTTTTAAAAACATAGTATTTCCTAAGAAATTAAAAGTACCCGTAACCGGCGAGCGTGTATGACAAGATTGATGAATGTGCAAGAAGCGAAAGAGGTCTGTTTGAATCGAAGCATTTGGCGTTCCATTGTTTCTGCCTACCCTAATGGGAGACAGGCGTGACAGATATGTATGTATGTATGTATGTATGTATTTCCTAAGAAACTTATTAGGTAAAATTTCGGTGTCGTCATAAGGAGGATTTATGTTTACAGGGCGATTCACAGGAGCAAGCTGCCCCGGAGCAACCGTCCGACGCGTCCGGTTGCTTCATACCGTACAACCTGATCACTCAGCACAGTATACCAGGTATGCAACCAAGATGTGTCACAGTATATCGCTAACAATCATATAGTTTATAATATTAAAGTTTTGCCTAGTACTTCCAGCATAGACTGGGTCACTCATTCCATTCCTGTATGTGCCATAAGAGTATTGTGTTTGCATGGGTGGGATATGGCAGTGAATTTACATGGTACAGAGGAATAACACCTGAGTCCTCAGGCATGGCAACGCATGGGGGGTATCATGGGCGATACAGTATACTCTGTTGTGTCCATGGTACTGCTCATGTCTATAGGCGACGGTTACCATTTTCCATCAGGTGGGCCGTCAGCTTGTTTGCCATTCTAAGTTGTATGAAAAAAAAGAGGGGATTAAGGGAATGGTTGAGGGATGGCCAGCAGCGTGCCTCTTAAAATATTACGAAAGCCTGGCTGTGATTGCCAATCCAATAGCGTGATAAGTGTGATAGCTCCTGGAAAAAATACTCCAATAAGAGGAGGCTTATGTTCAACAGTGGAAAGTTAATTAATGATATTGTGATAATGTTTTTTTTTATACCACTGAAGTGGCAAACAAGCATACGGCCCACCTGATGGTAAGCGGTTAACGTAGCCTATGAACGCCTGCAATACCAGAGGTATTACGCGCGCGTTGCCGACCCTGAAGAACCCTCTTTACCCCCCTTTTGAAGAACCCCATGCTGTGGTAGGTAAAACCTCGGCAGGGAGCCCATTCCATAACCTGATTGCTAGCAATTTGGCTACTAACCTCCATTACTAACAATCCCTCCTTCTTTCTCTCCTTTGTAAGCGTGGATACCAACTTTTTGTCATACATAATAATTGGAGATTGTTTACCACAAAAAAAAACTACTTCAGTTGTGGCAAAACCAATTTTTACAAAATCTAGATTAATTGAAAAAAAGTTAACAAAATTTCTGTAAGACCCATCTGTAAGTATGTCCTTTCCTATAGTCTGTGCCCTCTTCCATCCCATATAATACAATGCATGTATTACAAATTTCATAGCGATCGGTAAGGCCGTTAAGTTGTTTTAAAGTAACAGACACACTTTCACATTTATTAGCAAAGATTTCCAAAAAACCGCTGTCCATTTGCAGATAAATCTATTGCGGACTGCGTGGAAGCGCTAATAGGTGCTTACTTGCTGGAGTGCGGCCCCCGGGGGGCGCTGCTGTTCATGTCGTGGCTGGGCATCCGCGTGCTGCCCCGCCACGACATACCGCTGCCGGAAGGCCATCCCTACTGCACTCCTCGACCAGAGGGCGCCACCGCGCAGGTAACCATTTAATCTGGATCATACAGGGTGGAAAGGGATTGTTAGCAATGGAGTTTAATAGTCCCATTGCTAGCAATATGCCCTATTAAGTCGATCTCCACGTGGCTCTGGAAACCATCGTGAACAATTCTTGTTGAATCCGTCACGATGGGCTAACTGACCTGCTTCATCCTCACCTATCATTCTTCACTGGTGCCCCGCCGGTGTATACTGATAGCGCGGGTGGGGTTACCATTCCATTATCACCCATTAAAAAAACTGGATTATACACAGTTAAGCTAATTTCATAATAATTGTCTATATTCTATACTAGTTGTATCCCGCGGCTTCTTCCGTGTGAATCAACAAAGTATCCCTAACATAAATATCATTAAAATTCCTTCAGTAGTTTTTGTGTGAAAGAGTAACAAACATTGTTTTTATTATATCAATTTATTACATTCATTAGACACATAAAAATTGCCGCGTGGTCCCGGCATAGAATGGGCCACCTGTTCCTTTCCCGTGGGTGTCGTAAGAGGCGACTAAGGGAGCTTAATGCTTGAGGGATGGGAAACAGCATCCATCATCTTTTTTTTTCGTTTTGTTGCTTTTTTATTTTCATTCTTTTATCTCTTTTACTGTGTATTATGTGTATGATTGTATTGTAATTTGTGTGCTGTAAGTAATGTAAATAAATTATCTATCTATCTTTTTTTTTTTATAAAACTTAGAATGGCAAACAAGCTGACGGCCCACCTGATGGAAAGTGGTAACCGTCGCCTATAGACATGAGCAGTGCCATGGACATAACAGAGTATACTGTTTCGCACATGATACCCTCCTGCGTTGCCATTTCTAAAGACTCAGGTGTTATTCCTCTGTACCCAGTAAATTCACGCCATATCCCACCCTTCAAACCGAAACACAGCCATGCAAACACAACTGCTTCACGGTTGAAACACGAACGGGACAGAGGTACCCAAGCAATCGACTTTTGTACAAAGTCTCCCTCTGGTATCTATCATCCCTTTTAAAATATCCTCAAAAACCACACTGCGGTAGTCGACTCGTCTACCATGCGTGGCAACCACTGTTAAAACCCTCCTTTATGGGGGAGACTATTTCCAGTTATTTTAAATTGCGACTTGACCTTTTAATATCGTCATAGTCGTAGAATAGTTGTATTGTTATTGTATTATTATTGTACATATCTATATGGGTATATCTTGTCTGTTAAGTGTATGTATGTATGTGTGTGTATGTGTATGTATGTGTGTGTGTATCTGTGTATATGTATGTATGTGTGTGTATATATATATATGCGTATGTTTGCTGTCGTCGTTCGTGATGTCACGTATGGGCACCACAGAATATCAGCGCTGTAGCAATTAAATCGCTGCAGCACATGCTGAGTGGTGACCACGTTGGCAATAATAAATGTAATGTTTTTTTTTTTAATTCATAATTTATGTAACTTTTTGTTGTTGTCAATAAAAGTTTTCTTTCTTCCTTTCTTTCAATACTGACGGATCTTTATATGTAATCTTTGTCAGATCCGTCAGTATTCTACGACTGTGACGATATGATGTTTGTTACAGAAACCCCAACCGCGGCCTTCCCCCAAACAGTGCTACGACTCCTCAGAGTCCGACACGGAGTTCTCGTCAGACGAGGAGTGTGAGCAGCAGCAGGAACAGGAGCTGGTGCCGGAGGACTGGAGCTGGCCGGGACGACCGGTGGGCTCGCTCAGGCCTTACAAGGACGAGCAGGGCAGGTGGATGCAGGTACGGTACTGGACGAGGATCGTGAGCGGCAGCAGCCCTCCGCGTGAGCGAGATAAAAACAGTCTATGTCCTTTTCCATCCCATAATCCAACTTTTAACTTTCACTCCAGTCCAGTTTCAAAATTAATTAAAAAAAAAATCTTAATTGAGAAGTATAAGTTAGATGTTCCAGCAAGTTACCTCTCTGTTCCTTTTGTCTGCTAGATAGACTGTCATATCTGTCTGTTTACTGTATGGATAATCTGGTAGTATTGTTTCATTGTTACCCTATTCCCTTTGGTCGCAACAGAATATCAGCGCTCTGCTCTTTTGAGGGCGAAGCAATAAACTGAGTTGTGGCCATTTTGCATTGTTATGGCACACGCAGAAAAGGAAAAATTGTACTTGACTTTATGTATTTATTTTTTTCAAATAATTTATGTTATCTCGCTTTTTATGTATATCTGTATATGTTGTAATTCGTGTGCTGTAAGTAATGCAAATACATTATCTATCTATCTTATCTGTCTGTATAGTAAAATTCATCAAAATTGGTGCAGCGATTTAGATGTGAAAGGTAACAGAGTTACTTTTACATTTATAATATTAGTATAAGCTTTCTCCCGGAGACCTTCAAGTTCCTGGAATGAGATCCCTGTTGAGGTTTTCCTCTAGAGACTACAGTATGGGGGTTCTTCAAAACGGGTGTAATAAGGTTTCTTCAAGGTCGGCGACGCGCACGTGACACGCCTAGTGTCGCAGGCGTCCATAGGCTACAGTGACCGTTTACCATCACACGGGCTGTATGCTTGTTTACCAACTTTGCGGTATAAAATAATTAAAGATTGTGTCCCACAAACAAAAACTGATGGTCTGTATTACTAACAATCTCTTCCCCCCCCCCTTCTAAATCGGTTTACAACTGAAGGAGTTATAAGATAATAAACATAAAAAAAACATACAATCGAATTGAAAACCTTTTTTTTTGGAGTCGGTTAAGAAAAGAGGAAGAGAAATGTTGAAGGTATTTTGTTTCAGCCAATATTCGGCGAGCTGAAGGCGCCGCCGTCGCCTCTGCTGCGCTACATTGAAGATCCCGAGGGAGAACTGGAACAAATGCTCTCCGGTAAGCTCTTTACACAGGATGTAGTCAAAGTTGATGGCATCTTTTAAGTGGTCTACCAGTGAAACTGAACAATTTCGCTAAAATAACACTGGTTGATATGATATACAACAAAGAAATTGCATTAAAATCGGTCTATCCCTTAGAGAGCTATGATGTCACAGATACGCACATAGACACGTTACACTTCTAATTATAACACTCCACTTGTTGACAGATACTTTCTTCTTGGTAGATCACTTCTCGTTGACAGTTCCCTTCTCTTTTTTGACAGATCCCCACTCTTTCATGATAGATCTCTCCTTCTTGATAGATCTCTCCTTCTTCTTGACAGATCCCTACTCCTTTTTGATAGATCTCTCCTCTTTCTTCATAGATCTCTACTCCTTCTTGACAGATCTCTCCTCCTTAACAGATCTCTACTCCTTCTTGACAGATCTCCCCTCCTTCTTGACAGATCTCTCCTTCTTGATAGATCCTTACTCCTTTTTGGCAGATCCCTCCTTGAAAGTTCCCTCCTTTTTGACAGATCCCCTGCTTGACGGATCTCCTTCTTGATAGATCCCCTCCTTTTTGACAAATTCCCTCCCCTTTGACAGATCTTCTTGACAGATACCTTCTTTTTTGACAGATCCCTTGGTGGGTGGGGTGGGGCCTTTTGGGGAGATCTCTCCTCCTTTATGACAAATTCCTCTTCCTCTACAGAGTCATCCCTGTTGACAGATAAATCCACCCTTATTATAACAACACTTTGTTAAATGAAAATTGTAAATCCTCTTAAATGTTGGAATCGACTAATGTATATGAAATGAGCTATGAAAATACACAAAGCGAAAGATGTATGTATGAAGGCATTGAAGAACATCCAGTTTTCTCTGCCTACCCCGCATGAGACTCGGCGTGAAGATAGACCATGTTTGTCCAGGATACGACGCCCTGGAGAGGACCCTCCAGTACCGCTTCAAGGACCGCTCGCTGCTGCTGCAAGCGCTGACCCACGCCTCCCACAACAGTAACAGGCTCACGGATTGCTACCAGCGGCTCGAGTTCCTCGGCGACGCCATATTGGGTGAGTCCTCCGCTTTGTATTTAAACTTTATTGACCAAAAGAGAATATGGTACAACAGGCGGACTCGATGCTAGTAGCGTTCTCTACCAGTCGACCTTTGTGGTGAACAGTGGATCACGGACGCGGTACTACATTACTAGGATAGGTGAAGAGAATAACAACAAATATATATATATATATATATATATATATATATATATATATATATATATATATATATATATATATATATATATATATATATATATAATAACGCCAAGAATGTACGTAAAATAATGAAATAGGAGGCCCACTTAAGTGTCAATTGAAGAGGGACTTTTTTGGTCCATGTTTATAAACAAGTGCTGTATAAAAAAAAATGTATTGGAACATAGGACATTTTATTTTTATTTTATCAAGTATATAATATTGTACAAAAATATATAATTTTACATGCAGCAAGGTCTTAGTTTTTTAATAATTGAAAAATAAAAGGTAATTTATAGGTGACCCCATTTTTATTTCTCATAGAACAGTTGCAATGCAATTCGAGTCGAGTGTAGTGTAAGAAATTACACAAGGAATCTAGTTGAAATATGAATCTAATCTGAATTTTGTATAATTCCAAATAGATTTCGGTAAAATCAGGTTTTTTAAACCTATACGCTAAATATACCTAGTCTGTGTGTAAAGTCCGCTCACGGGACGCCACAGATGTGGATTTTCCACCATTTTGCATGACATAGTTTATTTATTTATTTATTTAAGGAACACCAACAGCATATTGCATTATAACATATAGGTATAACAAACATTAAATATAATACAATATTAATGCACACGCCTATTATAGGTATTCACAGCATTCACTTTAACATAATTATACAGTGTAAGAAAATTAAGTAAATAACAAAAATAAACATGTAATCCAAGTTTTTTTTTTTTTATACAACTTAAAATAGCAAACAAGCTGACGGCCCACCTGATGGAAAGTGGTAACCGTCGCCTATAGACATGAGCTGTACCATGGACATAACAGAGTATACTGTTTTGCCCATGATACCCCCCATGCGTTGTCATTCCTGAGGACTCAGGTGTTATTCCTCTGTACCCAGTAAATTCACGCCATATCCCACCTTTCAAACCGAAACACAGCCATGCAAACACAACTGCTTCACGGTAGAAACATGAGTGGGACAGAGGTACCCAAGCAATCGACTTTTGTACAAAGTCTCCCTCTGGTAAAAGTTGTGAGCAATATCAGAAAATAAGATTATGAGTGAATTAAATTGAAAAAAAAAATATTAAAAAGATTGTTGAAAGTATATGTAATTGTTGTACATGTGTACGCAGACTACCTGATCACCCGGCACTTATACGAGGACGCCCGCCGCCATTCGCCGGGCGCGCTCACCGACCTGCGGTCAGCGCTTGTCAACAACACTATATTCGCCGCGCTCGCCGCCCGACACTCCTTCCACAAGTAACTTTCTTTTTTAGCTATCAATCACCTACTACCATTTCGTCCACGCACGTTGTGCGACACTTGTTTCAAAGAAGGTTATCAACACACTGACCGCCTTGTCAGTCACGGTGACTGACACTGCAATACTCCAATGTGGCTAGGCGACGTGTATTTCTTTTTCCGTTGGCGCTTTGTCAGTCGCATGTGACTGACAATAAAAATCCTTATAATTTTCCTCAAAAATGCATAAAAGTAAATTAAATAATCATATTTCTACATATTTTTTTTATACAACTTAGAATGGCAAACAAGCTGACGGCCCACCTGATAGAAAGTGGTAACCGTCGCCTATACACATGAGCAGTACCATGGACATAACAGAGTATACTGTTTCGCCCATGATACCCCCCATGCGTTGCCATTCCTGAGGACTCAGGTGTCATTCCTCTGTATAAAATAACACCCTATCAGGTTGACCTCCACCTGGTCCGCCCTGAAAACCATCGTGGTTAATTCTAGTGGAATTTGTCACGATGGGCTAACTGGCCTGCTTTCATCGTCGCCTATCATCCCGCACTGGTGATACGCCGGGCGGGGTTACCATTCTATTATCACCCAATAAAAAAAATCCCTTCTTTTCCCGTGGATGTTGTAAGAGCCGACTAAGGGAGAGCGAGTGATGGGCATCAGCGTCCTTCTTAAAACATCTCTAAAAGCCTAACTGTGGTTGCCAATCCGCCTGCCAAGCGTGACAATTACTGGCAAACCCCCCCAAGGGGGAGGCTTATGTTCAGCAGTGGACAGTTAAAGGCTGACATGATGATGAATGAAGTATCTGTTATAGATTTACATATTATTTAAAAAATCTACTTTTGTAGGTATTTCCGTCACATGTCGCCGGGACTGAACGAAGTGCTCACGAAATATGTCAAAATACAAGAGGAGAATGGTCATTCTATTAGTGAAGAGGTATGTTCATCAATGTATAGCTTAATTTATTACGAAGCGGTGAACTGTAATAAGGTGATGAAATGATGTAGACACGGAATTTAGTAGCGAAGAATAGTACATTACTGCAGCGGCCAGCAACTGAGGCGTTGATGGACGAACGTGCAAATGTGGGCCGAGGCCTAGCCGAGGCACACATACGTGAGTCCATCAATGACTAGTCGTGGTCAAGGCTTGTATAGTACTTTTCTCAAACAATGCGCGGAAATCAAAAACACAATTTTACTTTTTTAGTTCAATGACTAATAACAAACAATAATAATTTTTCATGCGTCATAATATTCCTTTGTTTTTTTTTTCAATAAACAGCTTTGTATTTGCAAGTCAGTTCGAAATGTAAATAAAACCTTTTATTAGTTACCTCCTTTGTAGCCATGTTCCGAAGTAAAAGGTCATTCCATTTTTAAATTACAGGACAGATATGTATAATTATTTCAGTATTTTGCTATATTTATGTCACATATTTTTCACCACATCTGCCCTTCATGCGCTTTTTGTTTCCACCTAATGGTTATCTGTTACAGAATGCCATATGGCATTAAGCTCGCCACTTGTACAAAGTTTTATTGTGCAATAAAGAATAAATAAATGACCATAGACAAACATAGACGTATATACTAAATGTTAGTCCGGTACATTAATGAAACTCGTTCGACCACTCCAGCATTACCTGATACAAGAGGACGAGATGGAGCAGGCCGAGGACGTGGAGGTGCCCAAAGCGCTGGGTGACCTGTTCGAGTCCGTTGCGGGAGCAATATTTTTGGATTCCGGTAAATATATCTGAATTAATTAATTATAATTATTAATTATTAAATTTAAACAATATGACTGGGATGTTGTTTTGATTTTTTTATGGGGGGGGGGGGGGGGAAGGGATTGTTAGTATATACTGCTTTTTTTATGGGTGAAAATGGCATAATACCTCGCCCGCGCTATCGGGTATACACCGGTGGGGCACCAGTGGAAGATGATAGGTGAGGATGAATGCAGGTCAGTTGGCCCGCCATGATGAATTCGACAAGAATTAACCATAATGATTTCCAGGGGGAACCGCCTGGAGTTCGACCTGAGAGGGTATATTGCTGGCAATGAAACTATTAGACCTCATTCCTAACAATCCCTTTCCCCCCATTACTATAGTATTGTAATATTGATCCATGTCGCTGATCCCCATGGGTGCCCATGCCTATTGGTGTGAACGTATCTGCCCCCGCAGGCATGTCGCTGGGCGCGGTGTGGAAGTCGTACGTGAACCTGATGGGTGCGGAGTTGGAGGCCTTCAGCGCGGCCGCGCCCAAGTCTCCGGTCAGGGAGCTGCTCGAGGCTGAGCCGGATACAGCCAAGTTTGGGTAAGTCAATTCCACCAGAGGGAGACTTTGTACAAAAGTCGATTGCTCGGGTACCTCTGTACCATTCGTGTTTCTACCGTGAAGCAGTTGTGTTTGCATGGCTGTGTTTCGGTTTGAAGGGTGGGATGTGGCGTGAATTTACAGGGTACAGAGGAATAACACCCGAGTCCTCAGGAATGGCAACGCATGGGGGGTATCATGGGCGGAACAGTATACTCTGTTATGTCCATGGTACTGCTCATGTCTATAGGCGACTGTCAACGTCAACATCAATATTGGTTATATAAGTTTACTATTGTAATCTTTTGGAGGAAACAGAGAGTATCTATCTATCTATCCTTTCCATATTCCAGCAAACCGGAGCGCTTGGCGGACGGCCGCCGCGTCAGAGTCTGCGTGGAGGTATTCGGGCGCGGCGTGTTCAAAGGCGTCGGTCGCAACTACCGCATCGCGAAGGGTACAGCCGCGCGGTGTGCCCTGCGGCATCTCCGAGCCTCCGCCACCGCTAGCAATAGGCCGAGATGCTAGTACTTTTTTTTAATTGATGATAATGGAATGGTAACCCCGTCTGTGCTATGTGAATATGCTGGCGGGGTACCAGTGGTGGATGAAAGGGTAAAATAAAGCAGGTCAGTTAGCCCCTCCACCAGAATTAACCACGATGGTTTTCAGGGGGAATAACGTGGAGGTCGACTTGGTAGGATGTATTGATAGCTATGGGGACTAACCTCCCAATTACTAATAATAACTCTAACCCCCCCCCCCCCCCCCCCTCATTAGACCCCGTTACTAACATTATTTTTTGATAAAAACAAAAAACAAGGTTTTAATAGAATTGAAGCTGGGTTTTTTTAGAAACACAATTGTCATTGATTAGGGGCAAAAGAGATTGTTAGTAATGGAGACTGAGAATCCCATTGCTAGCAATATACCTAACCAGGTCGACCTCCTCGCGGTTCCCCCTGGAAACTATCACGGTTAATTCCTGATGAATTCATCATGTTGGGCTAACGGGCCTGTTTTCATTCTCATCTATCACCCTTCACTGGTGCTCCGCCAGCGTATCCCGTTAGCGCAGGCGGGGTTACCATACCATTTTCACCCATCAAAAAAAATTTGTCATTGATTTCCGTTCAAATAGATTTTCTTTTATATATTTATTATTGTTCCAATTAATATATAAATATGGAAGTTTGTATGTTTGTCTTTATGTTTTACTCTAGGGCTGTCCAAACTAGATAAGATCTGGGGCTAATAATAATAACTAAATTCATTTGGGCTAAAATATTATAATTATTTTGTTATTGTCAACTTTACCCGAGTCCTCAGGAATGGCAACGCATGGGGGGTATCGTGGGCGAAACAGTATACTCTGTTATGTACATGGTACTGCTCATGTCTATAGGCGACGGTTACCACTTTCCATCAAGTGGGCCGTCAGCTTGTTTGCCATTCTAAGTTGCATAAATTTTTTTTTATTAATATATCTTTTACAATTCTGTCAATATAGACATCAATATTGGTAGTAGCTTGAAAAGATACGGCTGGCCGCATCAGTTCAAGCCGCGGGCCATGGTTTGGACAGCTCTGTTCTATTCAATGTCGCTTAAAAAGCTAAACAGGTTTGAATTAAAATTTGTTAAACAAATAAGTCACGTTCTAAGTCAACACATAGATTATTGTATATATTGATTCATGCAAGCGAAACCGCGGGAGACAGCTAGTAGACTAATATACCAATTGTTTGAACGTATTGTATGATGTTAAACCTAAGAACAAGGAATTACATAGAAGGAATGATAAAATAAAAACTGTAAATCATATGGGTGTCTCCTTTCTTCTTATGCAAATATAATTAGTAAAAAGAGGACGAAAGATACACCGTCAGTTGCTATTTTTCTCAATTCATAGCAGGCTAGTGTATAGAAAATGTTTGATATGTCAATTATTTGTCAATGACAAATGTTACATTACTAGATTATATATTCGACACAGTTTATGTAGAAAGTATGCGAGCGGGTTGTATCTGAACTTGGTAGGGTTTTTTTTAATGGGTAATAATGGTATGGTAACCCCGTTTGTGCTATCGGTATACAATGGCGGGGCACCAGTGATAGATGTCTGATGAGGATGAAAGCAGGTTAGTTAGCCCATCCTGACGAATTCAACTAAATTTAGCCACGACGGTTTCCAGGGGGAACCACGTGGAGGTAGACCTGACAGGATATATTGCTAGTAACGGGGCTATTTGACCCCATTACTAACAATCCCTTTCCCCCCAATTTGGTAGGGTTATACGGCCGTATAACATTTTATATACACTGGCCTGCTATGAATTGTTAATTTTATCACTCCTATGTAATTCTTATGCTTATGTAATGTAGCTCCATTCCGGCCCCGGAGTCGAAGTAATACCGATATCTATATATTTCAGTTGCAATATATATATACTGGTCTAATAATGAATATGTTTAAGATCTGTTATCCAAAATGTAATATTGGAAAACAGACTTTTACATAGTCGTAAATAGATATCTGGCTGATATAGGCGAAGTCCAAATGGGTGATGCCCTTCCGCCATCAATGTACAGAGGAAACCCAATATATAGTTATCGGATCGGTATCCATATTGCCCATGTTTACAGACTATACTTAAACTAAACAACAGGCCAATGGCCTCACTACAAGGGAATAGCTCGTAAGTGATACAGGAATTATCGAAATATTTACAGGGTACAGAGGAATAACACCTCACACCTGAGTCCTCAGGAATGGCAACGCATGGGGGGTATCATGGGCGAAACAGTATACTCTGGTATGTCCACGGTACTGCTCATGTCTATAGGCAACGGTTACCACTTTCCATCAGGTGGTCCGTCAGGTGTTTGCCATTCTAAGTTGTATAAAAAAAAAAAATTAATCTTTCCTAAAAAGAGGTGTTTCGCGACGCAAAACATGCGACAGCTACCATACTATAATGCGGGGATTCCCAGAACGGTCGACATCGGTCCTTTGGCGTCGACATTGATTTCTCGTAATGTAAACGATAGCCGTAATCGATTTCGACCTCAAGGGACCGATGTCGACCGTTCTGGGAATCCCCGCATAAGTGTATGGTAGCTGTCGCGTGTTTGAGAGGGGGTGAGGTTAAATCGCAGCGGGCGGCGGGCGGCAGGGAGCGTCCCTGCTGTCCTTTAGCAGTGTCGCTTATACTGTGCTAGTTGGATGTTAGATATTCCGATATTACCTGTATATTTTAATTTTTAAATCAATTCTAATAAGTCGTGATGTATGCAATTTTTAATACAATTAGATATACATTTTATAATTATATTAATGCCATGTATTTCGTAAATAAAATGTAATAATATATAAAATGTTTGTTTTATATGCAAAACACCATCATCATCATCACCAACACCTCCATCATCACCAACACATCCATCATCACCAACACCTCCGACATCACCAACACCATCACCAGCACCTCCATCATCACCAACACCTCCGACATCACCAACACCATCACCATCACCTCCATCATCACCAACACATCCATCATCACCAACACATCCATCATCACCAACACCACCGTCATCACCAACACCTCCACCATCACCAACACCACCGTCATCACCAACACCATCATCACCACCATCATCATCACCAACACAATCACCAGCACCTCCATCATCACCAACCCCTCCCTCGTCACCATCTCCATCATTATCAACACCTCTATCATCACCGACACCTCCCTCATCACCGACACCTCCCTTATCAACAACAAGTCCATGTACACCGCCATCACTGTCACAGTTATCATCATTATAATCCTCATCATCATATCAGCCGTTGCCTGTCCACTGCTGAACATAGGCCTCCCCCATAGACTGCCATAAGGAACGGTCCTAAGCCACCTGCACCCACTGCCGCATGGAGTGACGACCTGAAATCCATTGAAGGGCCAATGCATGTGAGGTCCTCATTTCATGCGTTTGCCTTTACAGGGCCACTCAAGAACCTTCTTTCACAACAGCTGTCGATTCTTCGAACTATGGGACCAGCCCCCATTATTATTCCCTTTGTAATAAAAAAATGTCCTACATTCATTAACCCATTTTCAACCTTATATTATAAAGTATAAAGTACATTATAGGTTTTTAACCGATTTAAAAAGTAGGTTCTTGAATCAGCTATATTTTTTATGTTTCTCAGTTGTAAACCGATTTGGACAAGTCTTTTTTTTATCCAAAAGGATATACCTACAGGTTGGTCTCACAGAATGTTAAGCGAAATCGATTGAGTAGTTAAGTTTTTAGATCGAAACTGGTTTTGTCATTGTTTAAAACTTTTTTTGTTGTGGTACATTTTTTTTATACCACTGAGGTGGCAAACAAGCATACGGCCTCATGGTAAGCGGTTACCGTAGCCTATGAACGCCTGTAATATCAGAGGTATTACGCGAGCGTTGCCGACTCTGAAGAAACCTCTTTAGCCCCCTTTTGAAGAACCCCACGCTGTAGTCTCTTGGAAAAACCTTGGCTGCAACTCACTCCATAACCTGAGTGTTCGTGAGAAAAAACATCTCTGAAACCGCGTTGTATGCATCTTAGAATGACAAACAAGCTGTCGATCCACCTGATGGAAAGTGGTAACCGTCGCCTATAGACATGAGCAGTACCGTGGACATAACAGAGTATACTGTTTCGCCCATGATACCCCCCATGCGTTGCCATTTCTGAGAACTGTATTTCGGTTTGAAGGGTGGGATATGGCGTGAATTTACAGGCTACAGAGGAATAACACCTGAGTCCTCAGGAATTGCAACGCATGGACGGTATCATGGGCGAAACAGTATACTCTGTCATGTCCATGGCACTGCTCATGTCTATAGGCGACGGTTACCACTTTCCATCAGGTGGGCCGTCAGCTTGTTTGCCATTCTATGTCGTATAAAAAAAAAAACAAAAAAATTGTGTACAAATAGAAAGCAATTAAATTAAATTTAGTTCAATTAAAGTCTAAATTGAAAAAAGAAGGCTGCAGCTTAAAATCAGTGCTTTGCTTTCAAGCAAAACTATCACTGAGCTGTAGTCTATTCGGGTCATTGCAACAAACATGGCGGAAATATATTTTCGTATTTTTTTTTGATGGATGAAAATGGTATGGTAACCCCGCCTGCGCTAACAGGATGCGCTGACGGAGCACCAGTGAAGGATGATAGATGAGAATGAAAACAGGCCAGTTAGCCCATCATGATGAATTAATCAGGAATTAACCATGATAGTTTCCAGGGGGAACCGCGAGGAGGTCGCCCTGGTTGGGTATATTGCTAGCAATGGGATTCTCAGTCTCCATTACTAACAATCCCTTTCCCCCCGGCGGAAATATATTTTCGTATTTTATCTTTTGTTTTATATTAAAAAAAAAGTGTAAATAATCTGACTGTATAAACTCATTTGTTAATTTACGTGTGTCATAAATGGCTCAAATAAAGATTTAATCTATTAGTTACACAAACGGAATAATAAATATACCAAGTGTAAAAGATATAAACTTCTCGATTAGTGTGCTTGTAGCGTAACTAGGGTTGCCATCCGTCCGGAATTCCCCGGATTTGTCCTAGTTTGAAGGGCGTCCGGGGGCCGTCCGGCAGGGGTTTTTGAAAAGGGTGTAACCCGAACACTTTTTTTGTCAGGAAAAATCAATTTTTTTTATAGCTAGTCGTTCAATTGAAATAAATCTTAGTTACAAATTCATTTCACACTAACTTTGTTTTTATATAACAATTTTTTTTGACTTATTTTGGATATTATAAAAAAAAAACATTTACACACCGAAATGGTAAATATTGCTGAACAATTACTTAACAATAACTTAAGATCTGCTACTGGCAATCACCAATATTTTGTAAATAAATGATTATTATTATTATTATTATTATTATACAAAAAAGTGTTTCGGTGTCGGCAATTTAGGTGGTGGCAGCCCTAAGCATAACATACTGTTAGGAGTATCGAGCAAAACTTCGCGTTGTATTATTGGACGAAGCCACTCCAATGCGGTGGTGGTGGAAAATGGGCGGGAGGTGTGGTCGGGCCGCTTTGTATTCGGATAAACAATCAAGTGAAGTGAGCTGCTAAAACGACCTCTAGTGACTTAGAATAGAATAGAAGTGATATTTATTCATATTTTTAGAGTGATCATACACAATATACATAGAATAACACACTTCTTGTCTTTATAGTAATATATTGAACACTACCATTCGCTTAGACGTGTCGAACACGACTGCCATTTCCGAAAGCATATAGCCATTTTTATATTAATTCATTATTACCACCGAGTCGTTGAATAATTTATTTTTTAAATTATTTACTATTATGAAAATGATTGTGTTCGCGACATTATTTGTATATATCGTAATTTATAGTTGTTAAGTCCCTAGTTAATCGTTTCTGTATTCTGTTATTTTATATAGATTTACATAGATTTAAGATAGTGTAAGTTAAATAAAGTATTCCTTTGCGTGTTGTCGTTATTACCTACGAATAGAAATTGTAACAATAAATAGAATTAAGAAATTGTAAATTGAAATAAAATAAATAAATAGACGCTATAGAGTACCGATCTGAAGAGACACGCGTCTCGTTCATTTTCGCCCCGTCCCGCTCGCACAGATCGCTATCGCGAGTTGGAAACATTATCGTGCGAGCGGGCGGGTATAAAGATAGGCCGCCTCCCGTCGAGCGGCATTCGCTTCCGGGCAGCGACACACTACACTCGAGAAGAAATAGGACAAGAAGAAAAAATACTCTCTTCAGACGGTACCGGAGGCTTCAGAATAGTAATCCCTGTGTTTCACTCCAGCCTGAACCAACGCCCCTACAGTCCACGCTCACCGAACGGCAGTCCACACCGTTCATCGTGGTCCTTCGAGAAGCCGGATTGCTGGAGGAACACCGTTGGTACATCGAGAAGCCGGATCGCTGGAGGAAGACCATTCTGAAGCCGGATCGCTGAAATGCCGACTACGAGAAACATGAAGTCGTCGCAACAAAAAATCGCCGTCACCGAAGCCACAACGTCCGCCGCCACCACGTCGACTACGGCCGCCGGAACGCTGTCCGTCGCTGCCACGCCGTCCGTTGCTGCCACCACGTCGTCTGCGGCTGTCAGAATGCCTTCTGTCGCTGCCACGTCGTCTACCGCCGCCACCACATCGACTACGAACACGTCCGGCGATACGACGACCACAGGAGCCACGGAGACTACCGAAGCCACAGGAACGACAGAGGAGACAGCAAGGAAGAAGGAACCGAAGCACGGCACGGCACGCACGGTTCGCACCACGGCCTCGCAGAAGAAGAAGGCTCTGGCCAAGGCACGGGAGGAGCTACTTCGAAAGGAGGTGGAATTGGCCGCCGCACGTGTCGCCGCCCTGGAAGCCGAATCAGAGGACGACGAGGAAGTAGAAGACGACGACGCTACCGTCAGAAGAGAACGAACGTCGGATTGGGTTCATCGAAGCACGCTAGCACTCACGATGGAGCCGCATGTACCAGAGATAGAAGAAGTCACCGGCAAGCGTCAGGGGTTCGTCCCATCGAGACCCGTTGAAGAGGATTCGAGAGCGCCGCCGCCACAGCCGAGCAGCGACGCACTTCACCGGGACCACGCACGCCACGTTGACCCACATGCCGCCATGCCTACGATAGCAGCAGCGATGCAGTCGATGAAGAAGGAAGAACCGGTGCTGAAAGTGGGCATCGATTGTAATGAGTTTGCGATCGCCATGCAGATGGCCGCTCGCAACATATTGCCCTCCACAGCGTCAAGAGTCACCGAGTTGCCAGTCTTCAATGGATCGTCGAGCGAGTGGTTACCATGGAAGATGGCCTATGAAGAGAGCGCAAGTCAACTCACAGAACAAGAGAACCTAGCAAGACTGCGCAGAAGCTTGAAGGGGGCCGCAAAGGACGCGGCACGCTCCCTATTCGTCGGGTCTACGACCGCAGAAGAAGTAATGAAGATGTTAGCCGCGAGGTTCGGCCGCCCTGGAGCACTCGTCACAGCCGAACTGAACAAACTCCGCGCGCTACCACGACTCTCGGACAACGCAAGAGACGTCTGCCTCTTCGCAAGCAAGGTGCAGAACGTCGTCGCCACGATACGAGCGCTGAACAAGAGTCACTACCTATACAACGAAGAAATAGTGAGAAACGTCACAGAGAAGATGCCGTCGGTACTACGCTTCAAGTACTACGATTTCGCCAACGACCAACCGGAGGGACAACCGGACCTCATAACACTCTCTCAGTTCCTGCAAAGGACCGCCGCACGATGTGGAAACTTCGCCCCCGCCGAGGAGATACCGTCCGAAGACCGGCGGGAGTCCGCTCCTAGGAAGACGGCGAAGACATACACGACGCAGGAGAAACCCGCTACACCACCGTGCCCGATGTGTCGACGAGAGGGACACGCTCCATCGGACTGCAAGACGATGAAGGAAGCAGACACATCGGCGAGATGGGAGTTAGCGAAGACTCATAGGCTGTGTTTCCGTTGCCTCAAAGTAAGAAGATTTCGCCACGCCTGCAAGAACAAGAGATGTGGAGTAGATGAGTGCACGCAGACTCATCACCCTCTGCTGCACACCACGCGACAACAGCCGGAGAATGAAGTAACAACACACGTCGTCGAGGACAAGTCCGCCGCAGTCACCGCATCGGCAAGGGAAAACGACAAGATCGCGTTCCTGAAGATCCTGCCGATACGAGTCACCGGTCCCACGGGAACGTGCGACACCTACGCGCTACTGGACGACGGGTCGACTTGCACCATCATCGAGACGACGGTGGCGGAGCGAATCGGTGCTACGGGTCCCCCCGCACCATTCTACATGGAAGGTGTGGCCGGGGCGCGGATCAACGCAGCTCAATCGACGCGTGTTCACTTCAAGATCCGCGGGCGGAATTCACAAGAATACACAGTGGGGGCACGGACGATGGACAGACTGCAGTTATCACCGCAGTCGGTACCACGCAGCGTCATCAAGGGCTGTCCACATCTGCGGGACATAGAGAGGGAATTGGTCTACGAAGAGGGCAAACCGACGGTACTGCTGGGGCAAGACAACTGGCACCTACTGCTGGCCCACGAAGTCAGAAGAGGATCCGACACGCAGCCGGTCGCATCACTCACCGACCTGGGATGGGTACTGCACGGTACGAGTCGCGGCAGGACAAGACAGCAGGTGCACAGAATCAGCCACATAGTGACGACACATGAAGAGGAACAATCGATGGAAGAAATGATGAAGCAACATTTCGCGCTCGAATCGCTGGGAATCGCACCGAAGAGGTCTTACAATGAAGAGGAACGTCGCGCCCTACGCATTTTAGAGGAGAAAACTCGTCCGTTACCGGCGGGAGGATACGAGACGGGGTTATTATGGAAGAAGGACGACCCTGTGCCGCCGGACAACTACGAATCGGCAATGCAACGTCTCCAACCGGTCGAAAGGAATTTCGACAAAAACGAAGAACAGTGGCCGCGTGAAGATAGTACGAGCGACGATAGTCAAGCGGAAACGGGAGAAGAACGCGTACACAAGCTACAGAACGCGACGCAGTTGTCTATAGCATTACCCGATCCGTCACGTTTTGCTAATTGGTTGAAACTTGTTCGCAGTTCAGCACGGGTGTTGCAGTTCATCGACCTCCTGCGACCGACCAGTCAACGCTGCACCGCCATCCGAAAGAGAAACAAGAAGAAAGAGAGCGCCGACCCCACTTGGACCCGCACGAAGAAAGTCGATAGAGAGAAGACGAAGATGAAAATCAAGAACAGCAATAGTTCATCTGTGTGTTTCATCCCCATAGACACACACTACCTAGATCGCGCGCGACGGCTATGGATTCGCGCGATACAACAAGAGGCGTTCGGCAACGAAATCGCAGTATTGAAACAAGGGAAACAGCTGCCGTCATCCAGTCGACTCATACAGCTGTCAGTCGTCATAGACAACGACGACATTCTGCGACTTCGATCGAGAATAGCGGCCGCCGCCGATTTGTCAGCCGAGCAACGAGAGCCCCCATCGTCGACGGAAACCACGCCTGGGTGCGCCTATACATCGCATGGGTGCATCGGAAACTTCACCACGGCGGCTTCGAGATCACCACGAACGAGGTGCGACAACACTTGTGGGTGTTGCGCCTACGACACGCCGTCCGCAGTGAACTGAAGAGGTGTCAGCTGTGCCGCCTACGAAGAGCAAGACCGGCGCAGCCGTCAACGGGCAACCATCCACAGAGCAGGCTGGCGCATCATCAACGACCGTTCACGTTCACCGGCCTAGACTACTTCGGGCCTATGACCGTGACAGTGGGCCGCACTCACCAGAAACGATACGGAGTGCTCTTCACCTGCCTAACGACGCGCGCAGTCCACCTAGAAATCGCCGGCAGCCTCAGCACGGACTCCGCCATAATGGCCCTGCGGCGCTTCATAAGCCGCAGAGGGTGTCCCACTGAGCTATGGTCCGACCAAGGCACCAACCTCAAAGGTGCTGACGTCGAACTGAAGAAAGCAGCCGAGGAAGCCATCCAAGAAGAGTCATCAGTCCATTTCATCCGGTGGCGCTACATTCCCCCGAGCGCACCCTTCATGGGAGGTGCGTGGGAACGGCTGGTGCGTAGCGTGAAGACCGCACTAGCCGCCACGTTGAACGAGCGGGCCCCCAAGGAAGAGGTCCTCCACACTCTGCTGGTCGAGGTCGAGCACACCCTCAATAGTCGACCGCTAACCCACGTGTCAACATCGGCAGACGACGACAGCGCCCTAACCCCCAATCACTTCATATTGGGCGGTCCATCGCGCGTCCCACTGCCAGGCAGCTTCACAGAGAGCGACGCGGCGGGACACAAGGAGTGGCGTGCCAGCCAGAGGCTAGCTGATTGCTTCTGGAACCGGTGGGTGAAGGAGTACCTACCCGAGTTGCAACACCGGCGGGAGCCCCGAGCTACACACGGAGCCATCAAAATGGACGACCTGGTCCTGATAGCTGATGGGACCTTGCCTCGCAACACGTGGCCGCGAGGCGTGGTGGTGGCGACCTACCCTGGACCAGACGGCGAGATCCGAGCAGTCGACGTGCGGACGAACAAGGGCATCCTACGGCGACCCACTAAGAAGCTGATCATACTGCCCACATCGACATCGAGCGACGCGAACACGAGTTAACTCCAGCTACGAGAGCTGCGGCGGGAGATTATGTTCGCGACATTATTTGTATATATCGTAATTTATAGTTGTTAAGTCCCTAGTTAATCGTTTCTGTATTCTGTTATTTTATATAGATTTACATAGATTTAAGATAGTGTAAGTTAAATAAAGTATTCCTTTGCGTGTTGTCGTTATTACCTACGAATAGAAATTGTAACAATAAATAGAATTAAGAAATTGTAAATTGAAATAAAATAAATAAATAGACGCTATAGAGTACCGATCTGAAGAGACACGCGTCTCGTTCATTTTCGCCCCGTCCCGCTCGCACAGATCGCTATCGCGAGTTGGAAACATTATCGTGCGAGCGGGCGGGTATAAAGATAGGCCGCCTCCCGTCGAGCGGCATTCGCTTCCGGGCAGCGACACACTACACTCGAGAAGAAATAGGACAAGAAGAAAAAATACTCTCTTCAGACGGTACCGGAGGCTTCAGAATAGTAATCCCTGTGTTTCACTCCAGCCTGAACCAACGCCCCTACAGTCCACGCTCACCGAACGGCAGTCCACACCGTTCAGATTGCAATATGATTTTTGGATAACAGACTTTGAACACAATAGTTATACAAACACACAGTTATACAGTACACAGTCGACAAACGCCCCTGACTACTTTATCAGGGATTTTAGTCGTAAGAATATTTACGAGTATTTTAAACATATTTATCAATACAATTCCGCGACATAATGTACATGCGAGCGCAAAGCTGCAGACAAACTGCAGTGCAGTTTCGCAGCACTAAGTATATATACTGTCTATGTAACTGTTTACTTGAAATAAATAAATAAATTGGCATTTGTAAATTTTAAACTAATGAAATAAATTTAATAGGTTTATTTGTCTACCTACTCTTACACGATAGAATCTAAATGGTCACGTACAGTGCGGTTTCAGAGGGTTTCCTCTTGCGAACGCTCAGGCTGTAGAATGAGCTCCCTGCCGAGGTTCATCCTTGAGACTACACAATGAGGTTTTTCAAAAAGACCGTATTAAGGTTCAAGGTGGGCGACGTGCACGTTACACCTCTAGTGTTACAGACGTTCATACACTATAGTGACCGTTTAAATTGAATAACAAATGAAATTACAAACATTTATACCAAAAACTCATAGGTTATTATTTATCATAATTACTTTAGTATTATATCTGTGCCTAATACATGCGAGCAGGGGGGAAAGGGATTGTTAGTAATGGACACTGGGAATCCCATTGCTAGCAATATAGCCAATCAGGTCGACCTCCTCGCGGTTCCCCCTGTAAACTATCATGGTTAATTCCTGATGAATTCATCATGATGGGCTAACTGGCCTGTTTTCATTCTCATCAATCACTCTTCACTGGTACTCAGCCAATGTATCCCGTTAGCGCAGGCGGGGTTACCATTCCATTTACACTCATAAAAAAAAATACATGCGAGCAAAACCACAGGATGTATTAAGTCTAAGTTAATTTTGTAGACGTTAGAATTTTTTACAGTACCAAATTAGAATTTATGTCTGTACCTTTAAAGTTCAATTCAGATAAAAACCGTTCTTACGCTGTATCGATTCGGATTCACAAGTCCCTCCTATCCCCAAACTCCACCCATATTGTGAAGGAATCATCTCTGACATCTGATCTTTAAACATCCACAGTATTCCACAGTTCAGTGTCAAAAGGTCGCACTGGGATGCGGTTCGCGCGCTTTTTAACTGTTTGTCGTATTTGACAGTTCGAATATACGAAAAAAAAACAGTTTACTTTTTAAATAAAAAAATAATTTGATGTGGTACAGATTAGTGAAAAGTGAAAATAGAAAAAGAAAAAATAGTGCAATCTTTTTTTTTAATGTTTGTGTTGCAAAAAGAAACTTAGTGCAAAAAATAAATATTAATTTAATGTGATTTATGTTTTATTTGTGTTTGCAATCGAGAACTGTTAGTCTGTTATTATTTTTTAATAATATTTAATCATTAATAGGTACTTTTCCTATATACTTACTTAGATGTTTAAAAAAAAGTAAAGAAATATTTTATAAAAAAAGTTTTCTACGTAAAAAAAAAAGATTAAAGGAAAAATAGTGATGTGACGATATTGAAGTGTCTATCGACTTGCGACTCAATAAAGAGAAAATTTAAAATTACATTTTAATATTTAATTAGGTGAGTTTTGTTAGTTTATTGCTTAATATTTATTTTAAATTCACTTAAAGAAGAGAAGGCGGTTGTTAATTCGATTGTATTTTTTATGTTTATAAGATTATAACTCTGTCATTTAACTATAAACCCATATGGAAAATTCTTTTTTTATATGAAATGATATAGGTACTATCAGATTCTAAAAGGATAGGATATACTTACAGATTTGTCCAATTGAAATTTTATCAAAATCCGTACAGTAATTTAGTTTTTAAATAAAAATAACTGGTTTTATTCGATTGAAGTCCGTTGTCTTTTGTGGAATACATCCTTAAATTATGAACCAGTATTTAATGTTGCTTAGAATGGCAAACAAGCTGACGGCCCACCTGATGGTAAGTCGTAACCGTCGCCTATAGACATGAACAGTATCGTAGACATAACAGAATCTGTAATATCCACGGTACCATTCATGTGTTGCCATTCTTAAAGACTAAGATGATATGTCTCTGTAGAAATATTAATTGACCTTATAACAAATTAATTAAATAAACAGAGAAGTAATAGCTCTACTTAAAGTTCCTATAGGTATGTACCTACCTACTAATCAACAAGACAAACTACAAACAGAAATTAAGAAACGATGGAATTTTCCAGAGATATTCATGGACTTCGTCATTCGTTAGTTTTTCTGTCCAGCTTATCCTTTCCATTCTCCTCCATGTCCACAACAACATTTACATTTATACTTTATTGTACACAAAAATTACATTTTTATAATTTATATTAAATGAAGATGTCCGACAGGCGAGCTTAATGCTTAATGATAATTAAATAAATAATAAAAAAAAGAAACCTCTGTAAGAGTTCTCTACCAGCAAACCCTGAGTGGAGAGGAGCATTACTTACACTAAATTGTAAATATTTGAATTTAGAACGCCATTATAAAGCTACATAGATTTTTGCATGGTTACATCAAATAGATTTCGCTTTGAAACTAGCAGTTCCGCAAACAAAAACCGCAGTTTCTATCGTTACAGACGTTTATTAAGAGCGTCCATAACAAAATGTAGAAATATCGCAGTAAACTTTAAATTTACAAAAACAATTAAACATTTTTCATTGTTTCTGATTGATTATTTAAAAAGTGATTTGCTAACGAACTAAAATATTAATCGTGTGATATTTTTTGTTTCTTTGAATGGATGATAATGGAATGGTAACCTAGCCTGCGCTATCGGTATACACTGGCGAGATACTAGTGAAGGATGATAGGTGAGAATGAAAGCCAATTAGTCCATCGTGATGGATTCGACAAGAATTAACCACGATGGTTTCTAGGGCGAACCGCGTGGAGGTAGACCTGATAGGGCGTATTGCTAGCAATGGGACTGTTAGATCCCACTACTAACCATACCTTTCCCTCCATAATATTCATATTGAGTCACTGGAAATTTGGATAGAATAAATTTATTGTGAGCTGTATGTTACAATTTTTCGTAAGATGTTATTAACGTCTCAAAGGAAAACAGCCTACCCATACATCGGGCATACAATACGATTAATTACAAAACATTAATTATTTTACAGTCATACATTAAAATTGTCAGTAAAATTGAAAATAAAATAAAACATGTCAATCAACAGTCACAAACTAACTCATGGTCACCATTAGAACATATTAATTAAATTATTTATAATGTCAATGTAAAAAAAAAATATGTCAAAGAGCAAAGAATTCATTCATATTATAGAAAGCATTTGCAAGTAGCCATTTCTTTAATAATAATTTGAATTTTGTATTAGGCACTTCTTTTAGGTTATTTGGCAAATGATTATATATTTGGATTTTGATGGCAAAAAATAATATGAAAATTAAATGTTGAATATGAAGTAGACGCAAAATGTTTAATAGTAGATGTTTATCATCATCATCATCATCATCATATCAGTCTTTAACTGTCCACTGTTGAACTTGAACCTACTCTTGCGGGAGTTTGCCAGTGGTTACCACGCTTGGCGGGCAAATTAGCAACCGCAGTTGGGCTTTGGAGATGTTTTAAGAGGATGTTGCTCATCCCTTGACCATTAAGCTCTCTTAATTGCCTCTTACGATACCCACGGGAAAGGATGGAACACAATGCCCTATTCTATGCCGGGACCACACTATAGATATTTATGCAATTTAGATATTGTATGATTAACGCTTTAGTTAGCTAGCAGAGAATTTTTTTAAATAATAAATTAAAAACATTGAAAAATGTACAATTAGTTTTAAAAATTTACAAAGTATGTTACCATACTTTCGATAAGTTAAATTTTTTATCTTCTTTTGGTAAAGCTAAAGTAGTAAAAATAAGATAAACTTGAGAGTAAGCACTAGAGATTCCAAAAATAATTGCCAACATAATGGTAAAAAAAAAAATTAAACAAAATTGAGAACTTTCTTTTTTTGTAAGTTATTTAAAAATTACGTGTGAAGTGTACTGTTAATTAATAATAAAACTATGGTCTTTCTGTCTATGAACTTGTGATATAATAGAGCAACACGTGCGCTCCACGTTTGTCCATTAAAATCATGTTTCGAGACAAATTGTTTACAATATCTTGGGACAATATGTTACAATATTTGTTGAGATTGTTACCGTCGCGTCCGGGGCTCATATTAGATATTTATAAATATCTATATACATATATTAAAATTGTAACTATAAGATGTCTGTTTAGATTATATATTGTTATATAGTAACGTATTAGGGCACAGGCGACGCAGTATACACTGTTATATCCAATTCAGGCTTATAAACGACGGGTATCACATTTCATCAGATGGGACGTCAGCTTATTTGTCATTCTAGGTTGCATATAAAAATATCTCGTGGCCAGATCGTAGGAATGATAACATCAAGATGTTGCTGACCATTTTATGAAATTGAAAATGCCCGCAGCTTATATTATGTGATTTGGATCAATGAATGAATATATGTATAAATATATTTCATTCAATGATTATTCATTAATAATGAAGATATAAATATTAATTTATTGAATAGAGCACATTATAAATTGTATAACACTATGCATATATCAATTTCTTTTAACTTATGGATACTTTTAGGTTATTGCATAGATTTATATTCCAATTTTGTTAATATTAGGACAGTGCCGACTCTTTAATAATGTAGTGATTATTTTCTTTTAAATTTTAAATACAGAATAATGTGTTCCTACTAATCAATATTAATTTTGGCGCGATTGTGGTCACTTTTTTTTTTAAGCAAAGAAACTGTGAATCAAACTATTGATATAGACAAAGTAAATATAAATTATTTTTGTTTTATCTATGTGACTGCAACCACTAAATCACAGCTTTCTTTGCCCGACAAGATAGTTCATGAAGATATAACTCAATGTATGTAAAAAATGTTCCCGGCGCCGTAACCGAGCTATATTTAGTAAGTCGAGTGTTGCCACTTGAGAATTGGATATAATGCCCTACTGTTCGAACCCTAATATGTTAGGTATGGATGTATTTAACAACAATTATAGTCTCGTTTAACAGCACTTTTTTATAATGCACCTTAAAATGCGAAATAAACTCGGCCCACCTGATGTAACCGTCGCCTTTAGACATGAATGGTTATATGTTCTATGGTATACATTGGCGGGGCATCAGTGAGGAATGATAGGTGAGGATAAAAGCAAGTCATTTGGCCGGGTGGGGGGGGGGGGGGAGGGATTGTTAGTAATGCGGAATACCAGTTTAGCAAAGTACTCTGTCAGGTTGACCTCTACGTGCTTCCCCCCTGGAAACTATCGTGCTGAATTCAGGTGTATTCATCACGATAGGCTAACTGACCTGCCTTTTCATTCTCACCTATTATCCCTCACTGGTGCCCCGCCAGCGTATACCGTTAGCGCAGGCGGGGTTACCATTCCATTATTATCCATTAAAAGAAAGTCAGTTGGCCCAACGTGATAATTTCGACAAGAATTAGTCACGACGGTTTCCAGAAGAAACTGCAGAGAGGTAAACGTATATACGGGGCATATTGCTAGTAACTTAGGTGGGGTTTTTTTTTTAATGGAATGGTAACCCCGCCTGCGCTATCGGTATACACTGGCAGAGCACCAGGGAGAGATGATAGGTGAGGATGAAAAGGCAGGCCAGTTAGTCCATTATGACGAATTCCGCTAGAATTAAGCACGATGGTTTCCAAGGAGATACGCGTGGAGGTCGACCTGATAGGATATATATAGTAATGGTTGACTCATTGCTATATATGAAATCCATTACTAATAATCCCTTTCCCCCACTTTAAATAGTTATTTTCTCCAGGTCTACAAATGTCCAGTTACGGGAGCATGTCTCCATCCGACGAGGGCTTCGACCGCTATGAACCTCCATTCTACTGCCAGCCAAATCACCAAGGTAAGGATAAATTTTTTGACACTGCGAAATACAGGACTCCGCCATAAGATGGGGTTTTGTTAGTAGTTACCATGCTTGGCAGGTGGGTTGGAGACCGCAATTAGTCTTTGGTGATGGTTTAAGAGGGACGCTGCTGCCCACCCCTCGCCATCCCTTAGTCGCCTCTTACGACACCCACGGGAAAGGAAAGGGTGGCTCATTCTATGACGAGACCACGCGACATATATTTTTAATGGATGATAACGGAATGGTAACCCTGCCTGCGCTAACAGTATACACTGGCGGTGCACCAGTGAGGGGTGATAGGTGACGATGAAAGCAGGTCAGGTGGCGCATCATGACGAATGTGCCAGGAATTATCCATGATGGTTTCTAGGGGGAACCACGTGGAGCTACTAATATATTATGACAGAAAATCATGTGGGACAGGGGGGGAAAGGGATTATTAGCAGTGGTATCTAATATATAGCAATGGTTCAACCAATAATACATACATCCTATCAGGTCGACCTTCACGCGTAACCCCTTGGAAATCATCGTACTTAATAAAAGTGGAATTCGTCATAATGGGCTAATTGACCTGCTTTTATCCTCACCTATCATCTCTCCCTGGTGCTCTGCCATTGTATACTGATAGCGCAGGCGGGGTTACCATTCCATTAAAAAAAACCCCACCCAAGTTATCGGTATACATTGGCGGGACACCAGTGAGTAAGGATAGGTGAGAGTGAAATCAGGTCAGTTAGCCCGTCATGACGAATATACCAGGAATTATCCATGATGGTTTCTAGGGGGAATCACGCGGAGCTACTGATTGATATGTTATGACAGGAATACATGTGGGACAGAAGTGCCCAAGTAGGCGACTTTTGTACAAACCATTCCTCTGATAGATGCTAATTCATTTATCTAATACAGGTAGCCCCATGGACGGCGGAGTGTACTGGCCGGCTTCGACCGGCGAGGGTCACGAGTTCGATGCCCCGGAGATGTATCAAGAGACACACTATATCGGACGAAGTTATGGTATAATATTATTATTATAATTCTTTTTAATATAAACAAACGAATAATCTTCTAATGTAAGCAAAAGCTGGACTAGTTTTGGAATCAATCCGTGATCCTTAGTCGTGAGCGGCTGTGACTATTATTAGAGATTTTTCAATCTAATTACAAGTAAGTTAAACCGGTTGTTAGTGCACTAAAATATAATGTGTGCTTATGAAATTTTAAACAAAGTACAACTAGGGGGGAAAGGGATTGTTAGTAATGGAGACTGAGAATCCCATTGCTAGCAATATGACCCAATCAGGTCGAGCTCCTCGCGGTTCCCCCTGGAAACTATCATTGTTAATTCCTGATGAATTCATCATGATGGGCTAACTGGCCTGTTTTCATTCTCGTCTATCACCCTTCACTGGAGCTCCGCCAGCGTATCCCGTTAGCGCAGGCGAGGTTACCATACCATTTTCACTCATTAAAAAAAAACACCGTACAACTCGTCATAAACTAAAGTTTCATCCCAACCATCTGGACGAGTGGCGGTCCTCCACCGTGCATTTTTCAAAGCACCTTCTCCCACGCACAACCACTCTTTGGAATCAACCGAACCGATACGACAACATAACCTTAAAGAAAAGAGCATATTCCTTTTTAAAAGGCCGGCAGCACACCTGCAATGCCGCTGGTGTTGTGGGTGACCATGGGCGGCGGTAGTCACTTACCATCAGGCGAACCGCATATTCGTTTGCTTCCTAAATTTGCAAAAAGAATAGAAAAATAATTTTAAATATCCAGTTGGGCACTCCAATGAAAGTTTTGTTCATCCTAATATTGTTTCAGGGTATGAAGATATGCAGATGAATGGAAACGAGCCATACGACGCGTACCATCACCCCATGCATCACGGCTACACGCAGAACAATCCAGGTGATTTGTTGGCCCTTTTTTCCTAATCTATATGTTTGTTTGTTTGTAATTGATAAATTCAAAAACTACTCAATTTTAAAAAAAAATATTTCACCTATAAAGCAATTTTTTTTAATGGGTGATAATGGAATGGTAACCCCACCCGCGCTATCGGTATACACCGGCGGGGCACTAGTGAAGGATGATAGGTGAGGATGAAGTAGGTCAGTTAGCCCATCGTGACGAATTCAACAAGAATTGTTCACGATGGTTTCCAGGGGGAACCACGTGGAGGTCGACCTAATAGGGCATATTGCTAGCAATGTCGAACTCCATTGCTAACAATCCCTTTCCCCCCAGAAAAGCTATAATACCAGAGAGTGACATAAGCTATAAACTTGGATTATATAGATAGAGCATCGAATCTAAAAAACGGGTCAACTTTTTGTCAGCTAATTGTCAAATTAGTTGACTCGTTTCTTTTATCAGTGTTCTATATACTTACGCATACAATGTACCTATCTTGACGTGTCTATATTTAATTATTTAATAAATAAAATGAGTGTTTACGCACTAAAAATATGCAAAAATTATAAAACAAAATAAATATGGAAGTTATAAAGGAATCACTCGTAACTATTTATCACGCAAAATTGTATGAAAAAGTTGATCCGCTTTTCTCGAAGCATTTGTATGGAGACACTCTATCTACATAATCTAAAGCTATATATTATTTCAAAAAATCAGAGTTCCTTATGAAAATTACAATAATATAACCCAAGGACATTTTTTTTATGCAACTTAAAACGGCAAACAAGCTGACGGCCTGATGGAAAGTGCTAACCGTCGCCTATATAGACATCCCGTCCGTCTGCCCATATGTATGGTTAGATCTTTAAAACTACACAACAGATTATAAAGCAGTTTTTATTAATAGGTAGAGTGATTCAAGAGGAAGCTTTATATGTATAATACATGCATAATATTGTAGAGGAACACTGATAAATTTAGAGGTTTCTAATGTGATGTGATGTAATGTGCACCCGTGCGAAGCCGGGGCGGGTCGCTAGTAGAGAATAAAATAAAATAGAAATTTTACCATTCATTGGTCGTTACAAACTTTTGCATTTATTATATGAATAGGCTTCTTCACCAGGTATGGACTGCGACATGCAGCCACTGCCCCTCCGGTACGACCGACCAGCCCCGCCCTCTTTCGTCAGGGTCGTGAAACGAAGGACCACCGCCAACAAAAAGGAACGGAGACGCACGCAGAGTATCAACACAGCCTTTTCAGACTTGAGGGAGTGCATACCCAATGTTCCACCTGATACTAAATTGTCCAAGGTATTTACAATTTACGACAATTTTTTTATACCACGAAGGTGATAAACAAACATACAACTCCTCTTATGAGGGGGGAAGGGATTGTTAATAATGGATTCTAATAGTCCCTTTACTACCAATATATCAAGTCGACCTCCACGCGGTTCCCCCTGAAAACTATAGATAGATAGATACTCATTATTGTTTCCTCCAAAAGATTACAATAGTAAACTTATTATAAATATAAACAATTACAAGAAATATTCACTTATTTGTCGTGGTTAAATCTTGTTGAACTTTTCACGATGGGCCAACTGACCTATCATCCTTCACTGGTGCCCCGCCAGTGTATACCATTAGCCCAGGCGGGTTTACTATTCCATTTTCACTCATTAAAAAAAAAGCTCCTCTAATGTAACTTTACAGTACATATATGCAGGCTTTTTGTATATACGCAGGAATCTTTTTTTTTTATACAACTTAGAATGACAAACAAGCTGACGGCCCACTTGATGGTAAGTGGTAACCGTCGCCTATAGACATGAGCAGTACCATGGACATAACAGAGTATACTGTTTTGCCCATGATACCCCCTATGCGTTGCCATTCCTGAGGACTCAGGTGTTATTCCTCTGTACCCAGTAAATTCACGCCATATCCCACCCTTCGAACCGAAACAGCCATGCAAACACAACTGCTTCACGGTAGAAACACGAATGGGACAGAGGTACTCAAGCAATCGACTTTTGTACAAAGTCTCCCTCTGGTACATTTACTTTGTTCTACTTCTGAAATCCTGTCATACGAAGTAACGTGTGAATAGCTTGGAATACATATATTTTATTACAAGCTATTCGCATATAGGCCTCCCCATTGGAAGATTTTGCCAGTATTTACCACGCTTAGTAAGCGAATTGGCAACCGCAGTTTTTTTTAAATGGATGATAATGGAATGGTAACCCCACCCGCGCTATCGGTATACACCGGCGGGGCACCAGTCAAGAATGATAGGTGAGGATGAAGTAGGTCAGTTAGCCCATCGTGACGAATTCAACAAGAATTATTCATGATGGTTTCCAGGGGGAACCACATGGAGGTCGACCTAATAAGGTATATTGCTAGCAATGGGGCTGTCAAACTCCATTGCTAACAATTCTTTTCCCTCTTGGCAACCGCAGTTGGGTTTTGGTAAAGTTTTAAGAGGGACGCTGCTGGCCATCCCTCGAGCATTACGTTCCCTTAATTTCCCTTAACTGGGCACCGTGATTAATGATAAAATCAGAAATTCTGAAATAAGAAGAAAAACTAAAGTTACAGATATAATAACTCATATAGAGCATTTAAAATGGGGTTGGACAGGACATATGCTACGTTGCAAAATTGACAAATGGAGTAAACAAGCAACTTTATGGTATCCAAGAGAAGACACTAGAAGAAAGGGGCGTCCGAAAATAAGATGGATAGACGACATCCGTCAAACCTTAGGGCCTTACTGGAGTAGAGTGGCGGAGGATAGAGTTCAGTGGAGAGAGCTGGAGGAGGCCTATGCCAGGAGGCACACCGAATTGAGAGATATATTATAATAAATAGAAAGGGAAAATATGTCTTACTAGGGTTGTAGAGAATTCGGAGTAAAAGACCTTATATATAATTGCCACTTACGACATTTACAGGAAAGGAAGGGATGGTCCTTTCTGTACCGGGATCATACGGCATTTACAGGGCCGTAGCTAGACCCAAGTTTAAGATAGGGCAAAAGAACTTTTTGATAGGGCAGAAGCCATAATTAATTGACTTCGAAAAAGCGAATCTGTCTAGTTTTCTTGAGGCCTTTCATTTTAAGGCATTGGACCTTTCAAGGTAGGGTATAGCCCCTCAATGCCCATCCACCCCCTAGCTCGCCCATAGGCACTTATTAAGACCCCTGATATTTTTTCCCCTTAAATATCTCCATGTTCAGATATCGTATTGTTACAATTTTCTTATGTTAGTAAAATATTCACTTGACTTTCTTAAGTGATAGAGCTAAAGTACTTTATCTACCGGTAGATGGCGAGAAAGAGATCGCAGAGCATCAACACTGCGTTCTCGAGCCTCAGGCAGCGAATACCCAATGTCCTGCCAGATACTAAGATGACCAAGGTTGGTTTAGGAATCTTACTGAATTAGCAGTAACTTTTGTTCGAAATACTATTTGATTTAGACTAATTTTACCGTTATTTGATAGATTCTAATATAAAAAAGTTTGATTTAGGCGGGGGGAAAGGGATTGTTAGCAATTTTGACAAGTTTGACAGCCCCATTGCTACCAATTATTAGGTCGAATTCCACGTGGTTCCCCCTGGAAACCATCGTGAACAATTCTTGTTGAATTCGACACGATGGGCTAACTGACCTGCTTCATCCTCACCTATCATCCCTCACTGGTACCCCGCCTGTGTATAACGATTGCGTGGGTGGGGTTACCATTCCATTGTCATCCATTAAAAAAAAGTTTGGTTTAGGCAATTGATGTTTTACCTAGTCATTCATTTCAACCATTATCCGTCCACTGTTGGACATAGGCCTCCCCCATAGACTGCCATAAAGAACGGTCCTGAGCCACCTGCATCCACTGACTCCCTGCAATGCATTTGAGGTAGTCATTCTATCTAGTCAGGGGCCGTTTTACACTGCATTTGCCCGTACGGTCTCGCCACTCAAGAACCTTTCTTCCCCATCGGTTGTCGGTACTTCGAGCTATGTGACCAGCCCATTGCTACTTTAGCTTGCTTATCCTTTGGGCTATGTCGGTTACGTTGGTTCTTTTGCGGATTTCCTCGTTTCTAGTTTAAAGTGTAGCACAAAAGGCGGTCTTACCGCTAAGCAATCTCTTCCAGACAACTTATATATATTAAGTTACTAGCTGCAAACTCGGCAAACGTTGTTTTACCATATACATTATTTCTAGAACTATACATGAAAAAATATCGTACTACAATTATTATATTCGCTGGCCATCTTGCAAGCCTATTGCGGAATATAAAAATCGCGATTAAAAAACAGGCGTTGATCGTAAAAGCGTGAAAATTTTAATTTGTATGTATTTTTCAATGCTAAATCATAATAAAATATAAACAAAAAATTTTGTCAAAAAAGAATATTTAGAGGCAGGTCACGCTTATTATTGAGGGGTATGAAAAATAGATGTTGGCCGATTCTCAGACCTACCCAATATGCGCACAAAATTTCATAAAAATCGGTAAAACCGTTTCGGAGGAGTTTGGTAACAAACACCGCGACACGAGAATTTTATATATTAGATAGAAAATTGTGATAAGATTTAAGCATTTTGTAATAGTAGTTTTTCTCTTTCACTTACTAATAACATTGTACATTGTCTGCTTAATTATTGTGAGCATATTGTTGGTGTGTCTTTTATAAATAAATAAATCAACCTTCCATGCTCTTTGTCCGTAGATCAAAACCCTTCGCCTGGCCACCTCATACATCTCGTACCTCCTTAAAGTCCTGGAGACTGACGGTGAACCAGCGGGAGGGTTCAGGGCTGAGCTGCATCATACACCACCGAGGCGAAGAACGGCCGAAACGAATGCTCAGGTAATTTAAATGTTTTGCTTACATCATTAACAACTGGCCTGTTTTTTGATGACGAGGCACCAGTGACGGATGAAAGCGGAACGGTTGGCATATCGTGATGAATTCAACAGGAGTTAAACAGGATGGTTTCCAGGGGGGACCGCGTGGAGGTCGACCAGACAGGGCATATTTTTAACAATAGAACTGGTAGTCCGCATTACTAACAATTCTAAATCCTCTCCTCCGGGGGGAAAGGGATTGTTACTAAGGCGGGGTTACCATACCATTTTCACCCATCAAAAAAAAAACCCGCCTGCGCTAACGGGATACGCTGGCGGAGCACCAGTGAAGGGTGATAGATGAGAATGAAAACAGGTCAGTTAGCCCATCATGATGAATTCATCAGGAATTAACCATGATAGTTTCCAGGGGGAACTGCGAGGAGCTCGACCTGGTTGGGTATATTGCTAGCAATGGGATTCTCAGTCTCCATTACTAACAATCCATTTCCCCCCAAAAGGTCAAGGCGTATTCATCTCAATGGTTTAACTGGCCTGCCTTTTCGTCCTCACCTATCATCCCTCACTGGTGCCCCGTCAGCGTATACCGTTAGCGCAAGCGGGGTTACCATTACATTATTATTCACTAGTGACACGCCCCTGCTTCGCACGGATGCACATTACCGCACATTACATTAGAAACCTGTAAATTTATCAGTGTTCCTCTACAATATTATGCATGTATTATACATATAAACATTCCTCTTGAATCGCTCTATCTATTAAAAAAAACCGCTTCAAAATCCGTTGCGTAGTTTTAAAGATTTAAGCATACATAGGGACGGACAGACAGCGACAGCGACGTTGTTTTATACTTTGTCAATCTATCTATCTATCCTATTTAAGAGCTGCGCTCTTGTCGGTGGAGCTCTTGCCACTCACTACGATTTGCAGCGAGTCCCTTCACCTCTTGATACGACACGACACCAACTCCTTCCTTGATCTGCCTGATGTAACTGTCTCGGTCTCCCTCTCCCCCTCCTTCCTTCTTACCTTCTATTATACTATGTAGTGATTATAAAAGGTCTTTTATAACAAACATTGTTTGGTCACAATTTTATTAATACGTATAAATGGTTTTAACTGAGACTTGGCGCCGCTGAGTGCACGGTAGTTTAAAGTCAAGTTATCTACACGTGGTCGGGAGATACAGCTCGCTTATACAAGATAAACTCACTTTCCCTTGAGAACGAGCTCAAGTGCTTTATAAAAATAGAGTTATTTGTTTTAAACCGACTTTGAAAAGGGCAAGTTATGTGTATAGTATTATTAGGTATTAATCTTAGATTATATATAATAGATAGAGCATCGAGATCATTATCATCATCATTATAGCATCATTTACCAGAGGGAGACTTTGTACAAAAGTCGATTGCTTGGGTACCTCTGTCCCATTCGTGTTTCAACCGTGAAGCAGTTGTGTTTGCATGGCTGTGTTCGCATGCATCGGTTTGAAGGGTGGGATATGGCGTGAATTTACTGGGTACAGAGGAATAACACCTGAGTCCTCAGGAATGGCAACGCATGGGGGTATCATGGGCGAAACAGTATACTCTGTTATGTCCATGGTTACAGCTCATGTCTATAGGCGACGGTTACCACTTTCCATCAGGTGGGCCGTCAGCTTGTTTGCCATTCTAAGTTGTATAAAAAAAAAAATCGAGTCAAAAACGGGTTACCTTTTTGTTAGCTAATTGTCACATTAGCTGACTCGTTTTTTTTTATTAATGTTCTATATACTTACGCACATATTTTGACGTACCTATATTTAATCTACACTAATATTATAAAGAGGAAAGGTTTGTATTTTTATGTGTATGTTTGTAATGAATAAATTCAAAAACTACTTTGCCGATTTAAAAAATTCTTTCACCATTAGAAAGCTACATTCACTCTGAGTAACATAGGCTATATTTATTACTAGAAAAGATTAGGGATCCTTACTAAAACTTTAGTAACGTAACTCAAGGTGTAAAAATATGCTCTAAAATATCTTTGGTCGCGTGCGCTGCGGAAACTATTGGTGATAGAACAAAAGTATGTTCTACAATATTGAAGAAAATATCAATAACTACAAAAAACTTCGCGATACTATATGTCCAACTATTATCGTTATGTCACAGTAACCGCTTTTTAAAATGTTGTAAAAATGTCCACCGGTGCGAAGCTACGGGGGGGGACACTAGTTATTTATTAAATAAAATAAGTGTTTACGTATTAAAAAGATGCAAAAATTATGGGACAAAATAAATATAGAAGTTATAAAGGAATCACTCGTAACTATTTATCACGCAAAATTGTATGAAAAAGTTGAGCCGTTTTTCACGAAGCATTTGTATGGAGACACTCTATCTATATAATTTAAAGTACTAATATAATCGTCAACCGACTTCAGAAGGGCGGGAGAAGGGATTGTTAGTAATGGAGATTAGTAGCCTCATCGCTAGCAATATACCCTGTCAGGTCGACCTCCTCGTGGTTCCCCCTGGAAACCATCGTGCTGAAATCCAGATGTATTCATCATGTTGGGCTAACTGACCTGCTTCATCCTCACCTATCATCCCTCACTGGTGCCCCGCCGGTGTATACCGATAGCGCGGGTGGGGTTACCATTACATAACAAAGGAGAGCAAAAAGAGGTTTCTTCAGGGTCAGCAACGCGCGCGTAATACCTCTGGTATTGCAGGCTACGGTAACCACTTACCATCAGGTGGGCCGTATGCTTGTTTGCCACTTTAGTGGTATAAAAAAAGGGTGTAATTAATATTTCTTCAGGGTCGGCGACGCGCACGTGACGCCCCTAGTGTCGCAGGCGTCCATAGGCTACAGTGACCGTTTACCATCAGACGGGCTGTGTTTACCACCTTTGTAGTATCAAAAAGAAAATCTTGCTCAAATAAGTTTGAGAAACATAGATGTACATAGATGTAATATAAATTTGTGTATAGATATAACTAGATTAACTAGAAAGTATTATTAACGCGAATAAATTTCCGTGCTGGGCCATGTGGTTTCAGTTTATCAGATTAGCCCGCGGTCCAATTTAAAAGAGATAGCGGAAAATTTATTTTTAAACCCGTGTTCCGTTTTCGTTGCTTGCATCACGTTTGTAGCGGATGTTTTATTTTTAATATATTTACAAAATTTTTACACGTTATAAAAGATTGACTCTTCTGAATTATAATTTGATATTGTAGTAATGTGGCGGCGGGTTAGAAACTTTGTTAATAACATTAAATGCACTCTCTATTTATTTAAATACTTCTCATTTTCTATTAAAACTATGTTTCCAGAGTCGTAGCGCAGCAGAGAGAGAGAGACCATAGAGTAGATTACATAGTATAGCTAACAACCACAGATTATTACATCTCTCTGTTTCACAGATAATAAATATATCAGGTACTTAACATAATTGACGTTTAAAAATTGACAGAAGCATTTATGTTATTACATATTAAAGAATTATTTTTCCATAACTTTGTAATGACTGTTGCACGTCAGTAATGATAAAATGCGTGGAAACCATTGTAATATTACCATATGACTTTATTGTACCGCATTTTTAGCAATAAGATTCATTCATTTATTCATGAACAGTAAAAAAATTTAAAAGTGGGCATAACCAAGTATGGCAATATCGTTACCATCTGCCAAGCATCGCAATTACGGGCAAAACCTTATTTATTTATTTATTTATAAATTGCTCACCACACTTACAGTCTCTCAAAACGTGTAGTGAGCCATAGGTTTATTTTACAAACTTAAAAATTTTGTACAACATTTTAAAAATATATCTATTTTGTCATTAAATATATCAATATCTGGCTGCTGAGCAATCAGAGAATTGAGCAGAGAAATAGCCTGATAAGTGGGAGCGAACTGAGCAGTACAGGTGCGAACCGACGGTGCCGATAGTAATCGACAAGTACGCAATCGCATGCAGCGTTGGGGTGCGTACAAAGAACAACGGCTAACAGTTGCAAAATTGTCTATTCTGCCGTTATTGAGTTGGCCTATGTTTTTTTAATGGCTGATATTGGAATGATAACCCCACTCGTGTTATCGGTATACGTTGACGTGGCACCAGTAAGGGATGATAGGTGACGATGAAAGCAGGTCAGTTAGCCCATTGTGACGAACTCCACTAGAATTAACCACGATGGTTTCCAGGGGGAATCACCTGAAAGTCGACCTAATAGGGTGTATTGCTAGCAATGGGTCAGTTTATTTCCATTACTAACCATCCCTTTCCCCACTGGCTTATGTTTAGCAGTGGACAGTTGCCGGGTCATATTACAATTAAATTTACCAGGTAACCTGGTCGAAACGTCTAGTTAGTCAATAATTATAAATAAATAAATAATAATTTATATTCAAGTAAACCTAATAATAAGCATTTTTGAATAGTATTTTTTTTTATAAATCTATCGCCCAGTTCGGAATGCAATTTCAGCTGAGAAGAACGGTCAAGAAACACAGCTGTTGCTTTTTTTTTTACAAATAAAAGTCAAGTTTACAACAAAAACCAATATGAATGGGCAAAATGACTATCACAATAAAGTGTGCAATAAAGTGTAAAATAAATAAATAAATACAATAAAAATAAAATTTGCAAGTTTGCAACAGTATTCTTGAACAGACCGGTTCCTACTAGAAATCGCCAATCTCTCTTCACTTGTACCACTCATTAATATAATTACGTAAAACCAGATGGCTGGACCGCTTGTGTATTGCTTTCGTAAAATTCCAGATATAATTCCATTCATTTGCTGCAGTGGGTTTAAATTTTACTGGATTTTTTTTAATGAGTGATAATGGAATGGTAACCCCGCCTGCGCTAACGGGATACGCTGGCGGAGCACCAGTGAAGGGTGATAGATGAAAATGAAAAGAGGCCAGTTAGCCCATCATGATGAATTCATCAGGAAGTAACCATGATAGTTTCCAGGGAGAACCGCGAGGAGGTCGACCTGGTTGGTATACGCTGGCGGGGCACCAGTGCGAGATGATAGGTGAGAAAGAAAGCAGGTCAGTTAGCCCATCGTGAAGAATTCCACGAGAATTAACCACGATGGTTTCCAGGGGGAACCGCGTGGAGGACGACCTGCTAGGGTACATTGCCAGCAACGGAGCTGTTAGACCCCATTACTAACAATCCCTTTCCCCCTCATTTTACTTGTATTATACTCGTAAACTAGCTTTTTGTCCATTACTTTGTTCTCGTGGATTTCAGATAAAGGAACACCCATTAATTAAACCACTTCTTCACCAGATGGAGACTTTGTACATATTCGTTTGCTCGGGCCCCTCTGTCCCATTCGTGTTTCTACCGTGAAGCAGTTGTTTGCATGGCTGTGTTTCGGTTTGAAGGGTGCGATATGGTGTGAATTTACAGGGTACAGAGGAATAACACCTGAGTCCTCAGGAATGGCAACGCATGGGAGGTAACATGGGCGAAACAGTATACTCTGTTATGTCCATGGTACTGCTCATGTGCAGCAGTGAGAGATGATTGGTAAGGATCGAAAGGCAGGTCAGTTAGCCCATCGTGACATGAATTTAACGATAATTTAGTCACGATGTTTTCCAGCTACAACCGCGTGGAGATCGACCTGATAAGGTAAATTGATAGGAATGGGGACTAACCTCCCCATTACTAACAATCCCTTCCCCCATCTAGAAGCATTTGTATGGAGACACTCTATCTATATAATCTAAGACTGCTACCTGCTTGAAAGGGGGAAAGGGATTGTTAGTGATGGCGACTGAGAATCCCATTGCTAGCAATATACCCAACCAGGTCGACCTCCTCGTAGTCCTCCCTGGAAACTATCATGGTTAATTCCTGATGAATTCATCATGATGGGCTAACTGGCCTGTTTTCATTCACATCTATCACCCTTCACTGGTGCTCCGCCAGCGTATCCCGTTAGCGCAGGCGGGGTTACCATACCATTTTCACCCATCAAAAAAACCTACTTGGAAATTACCTATATAAGTTAAAAATGTATACTTTTTAAAATATAAACTTCCGCCGCGCGAAAAAAAGTTCATGATAATATAAAAATGTTGTGTAAACAATTGAAAACAGACATGGGATGTTGTTAAACGGATAATAAACAGGAACGCGTGTCTGGAAAAGTTATTTATAGCGTCCAAGTGTGTATATTATGAGTGCTCAGGTGCCTGCTGGCGATACGAGCACCTGTATCACGGATTATCCAAAGATTTCTCCACACCATTACATTTTACTACCAGAGGGAGACTTTGTACAAAAGTCGATTGCTTGGGTACCTCTGTCCTATTCGTGTTTCAACCGTGAAGCAGTTGTGTTTGCATGGCTGTGTTTCGGTTTTAAAAGTGGCATATGGCGTGAATTTACAGGGTACAGAGGAATAACACCTGAGTGCTCAGGAATGGCAACGCATGGGGGGTATCGTGGGCGAAACAGTATACTCTGTTATGTCCATGGTACTGTTCATGTCTATAGGCGACGGTTACCACTTTCCATCAGGTGGGCCGTCAGCTTGTTTGCCATTCTAAGTTGTATAAAAAAAAATATAATATAATTGTTAATAAAAAAATTCTCATTGGTTTTTCTACTTCTGAAATCCACGCATACGAAGTAACGAACTAAAAACTAGTCTCAAATATTTGGTATCAATTACACGCCCCATAAACCGGCTTTGGGACAAAAAAAAGTAAAAAAAAAAAAAACATGTAAACTAAACCGTAAGCCACAAACAAGAGTTTATGAAAGAAAAAAGTTTTTTTTTTCAACAAAACAGCCATTGATCGTTAGCACGTGTCGGGTGCTCGCGTCTTGAAACAAGTCGAGTGCGAAAAAAAAATGTAAAAAACTTGTCTACGGTTAGTTGAAGGAATGTAAAAAAACTTCATTTTTAGGGAAAATTTAAAAGGAAAAAGACTTCACTTGATAATCTTTTTTTATTTTATAAAATTTATATATTAATTTATTTATACTTCTGCACGCATTAGAACATGTCTACAGGGCGGACTTAATGCCTGATGGCATTCTCTACCAGTCAACCGTTACGATAAACAGAGAGAGTAACTGGTGGTGCATAGATTTAAGAAAAAAAATGTAAACGTAAATAAATATTTTGAAATATAACAATTTATGATAAATAAACTTAAAAACATATAAAATAATATACTTACAAAAAATATACACACATAAATCACATATAATACATATATTAAATTTAATAATTAAATAATGACTAATAATAATAATAATAAGAAAATACGTACCTATCGTGATACAATTTCAATGACTGGATAATATTGTAACAGATCCTTAGACTATTTCTAAAGTGAAAAAAGTGTTGTCCTCCTCTCTCGTGCTTACTGTGCCCAACAGGGTACATAGTGGGGGGAAAGGGATTGTTAGTAATGGGGTCTAATAGCCCCATTACTAGCAATATACCCTTTCAGGTTGACCTCGACGCGGTTCCCCCTGGAAACCATCACGTTTAATTCTTGTCGAATTCATCACGGTGGGCCTAATAACCTGTATTCATTCTCATCTATCATCTTCCACTGGTGCCTCGTCAGTGTATATCGATAGCGCGGGTGGGGTTACCATTCCATTATCACTCATTAAAAAAAAAGCCCCTTTGCCACTTCAGCTTGGTCAAGCGACAAATCCAACTCGGCTGAGCAGTCGTCATCCAAAATACCTCAAAGTTTTAAAGACGAAGCTCTTTAATCAGTATGTGTTGCCAGTGATGACGTATGGAACCGAAACATGGTCCTACATGGTTGCAACGGCCCGTAATCAAAAGCTACAAGTTACTCAGCGGGCTATGGAAAGGGCTATGCTTGTTGACAGACATACCAAATATATATATATATGCGCAGTTAGCCCATTGTGATGAATTCCACTAGAATTAACCACGATGGTTTCCAGGGGGAACCGGGTGAAGGTCGACCTGATGGGGTGTATTGCTAGCAATGGGACAGTTAGACCTAATTACCAACAATTCCTTTCCCCTAATCAGTAGTATTAGTAATATTTATGTCATTATTTTTTTGTCACCAGGCCCAGAACTCCGCAGCGGAGAAGAAGAGTAAAGGTCGGACTGGTTGGCCGCAGCACGTGTGGGCGCTAGAACTGAAGACGGAGCAAAATGTTCAAACATAACTGTACCTTATACATATACATATTTAAAATTGTTTATTGTATAAATAGTAATAAATTTGTGTATTATATTATTTTTAAATAATTATTACCATAATATTCATATAGTAAATATGTTATTTCTCAAACATGCTTGGAAATGTGAGCATTATTTTGACAATCTTCTTAAGAGATAAATCAAAATTGCCGTACTGGCCAGATGCATGCGGGCAGCGGCCGGCAAAAGATGTATGAAAATCCATATCTGTCGTGTTTTGCGGCCAGATAAATTACTATGTAAACTCATATCTGTCCTGTAATTTAAAAATGGAATGACCTTTTACTTCGAAACATGACTACCAAGGAGGTGACTAATAAAAGATTTTATTTAAATTTCGAACTGGCTTGTAAATAGAAAGCTGTTTATTGAGAAAAAAAAAACAAAGGAACATTATGGCGCGTGAAAAATTATTATTGTTCGTTATTCGTCATTGAACTTAAAAAGTAAAATTGTGTTTTTGATTTCCGCGCATTGTTTGAGAAAAGTACTATACAAGCCTTGGCCACAACTAGGCATTGATGGACTCACGTATGTGTGCCTCGGCTACACCTCGGCTCACATTTGCACGTTCGTCCATCAATGCCTTAGTTGCTGGCCGCTGCAGCAATGTACTATTATTGTTACATCCTTAAATTGGTCTGAGGTGGCAAACAAGCATACGGCCCACCTGAAGTTAAGCGGTTACCATAGCCTACGAACGCCTGCAATACCAGCAGTATTACACGCGCATTGCTGACCCTGAAGAAACTTCTCTACCCCATTTTGAAGTACCCCAACTGTAGTCCCTTAGGAAAACCTCGGCAGGAAGCTCATTCCATAACCTGAGTGTTCGTGGGAGAAAACTTCTCTGGGTTACAAGAACTGTTGGCAATCCCGAGCTCACAGGCAGTATCGAGCCCTTAAGCGTAAGGCGAGACTTTGCCTCCTTTTGTGTGTTCTACCACTTGTATAACGGATTGAAATGATGCCCACAGCCACCTTTTATCATCGCACTACTCGGTATCGACAGGGAATCCATCCTCATACGCTTGAACCTAAATGGTCAGATACAGAGCAGTTACAAAGAAATTTTCTCCCACAAACGCTCAGGCTGTGGGATAAGCTCCCTGCCGAGGATTTCCCTAGAGACTACAGTATGGGGTTCTCCAAAAAGGGTGTATTAAGGTTTCTTCAGGGTCGGTGATGCGCTCGTGACGCCCCTAGTGTCGCAGGCGTCCATAGGCTACAGTGACCGTTTACCATCAGACGGGTTGTATGCTTGTTTTCCATTTTTGTGGTATAAAAAAAACATTATAGGTCGTGTTTCTGCCGCCAAGAAACTATGTTTACATGGTTATGTTAAAGTTTGAAGGGTGGGATATGGCAGTGAATTTATAGGGTACAGAGAAATAACACCTGAGTCCTCAGGAATGGCAACGCATGGGGGGTATCATGGGCGAAACAGTATACTCTGTTATGTCCATGGTACTGCTCATGTCTATAGGCGACGGTTGCCACTTTCCATCAGGCGGGCCGTCAGCTTGTTATTATAAAAAAATAGTCACAAATTTTGACATTTATTAATTTTATAAAACTATCATAAGAATTATTGATACCAAAGACTTTTAGAAATATACTTAATTATTTGTCTCTATTTGTTTTTATTTCACCTAAATACCTTTCATCATCATCCTCATATCTTTAATGGGTGATATTTTTTTTGATGGGCGAAAATGGTATGGTAACCCCGCCTGCGCTAACGGGATACGCTGGCGGAGCACCAGTGAAGGGTGATCGATGAGAATGAAAACAGGCCAGTTAGCCCATCATGATGAATTCATCAGGAATTAACCATGATAGTTTCCAGGGAGAATCGCGAGGAGATCGACCTGGTTGGGTATATTGCTAGCAATAGGATTCTTAATCTCCATCACTAACAATCCCTTTCCCCCTAATGGGTGATATTGAAATGGTAACCCTGCCTGTGCTAACGGTATACGCTGGCGGGGCACCAGTGAGGGATGATAGGTGAGGATGAAAGAGCAGGTCAGCTAGTCCATAGTCACGAATATACCCGGAATTCGGCACATTAGTTTTCAGGGAGGACCACGTGTAGGTCGACCTGACAAGGTGACTGACATTGCTGGCAATGAGATTGGTAGTCCGCATTGCTAACAATTACTCCCCCCTTCATAATCATATTAGCTGTTAACCGTCCACTGCTGGACGTAGGCCTCCTCCATAAGGGGATTTCCGCTATTAGTCGCCACGATTGGCAGGAGGGTTGGCAACTGCAGTTAAGTTTCTAGTGATGTTTTAAGAGGGACGCCGCTGCCCATCCCTCGACAGTTGAGTTTCCTTAGTCGCCTCTTTCAAAACTCGCTTATTTGGCAATATCTGTTTTATTAATTTTATTTTATTTCAAAAGGTACACATTACAGAGAATTAATAACAGAGAAATATCAATCAATACATATAATAAAATCGTAATTGGTTGCTTTTTGTACATGGAAGATATATAAGGGAAACTATTATGGGGGATCTTTTTTTTTTTAATGGATGATAATGGAATGGTAACTCCACCCGTGCTATCGGTGTGCACCGGCGGGGCACCAGTGAAGGATGATAGGTGAGGATGAAGCAGGTCAATTAGCCCACCGTGACGAATTCAACAAGAATTGTTCACGACGGTTTCCAGGGGGAACCACGTGGAGGTCGACTTAATTGCATACAAGCTATTAAATTGCTATATAATGCTTTTGTTCGTAGTAAATTAGAAAATAACGCAATTATTTGGAACCCACATGAGTCTAAATATATACTTATGGTGGAAAAAATCCAAAAGAAATTTGTAAGATGGCTGTACCAAAAACAGTATGGTTTCAAGGTGTCTTATCCCCATATATACCCGAGTATGTTTTTGTTGGGTATGGTAGGCTATAATACACTTGAAGTGAGACGAAAACTAAATTTAATTGAATATGTGGTAAAATTAGTGCGGGGGGAAAAGTGTAACCAAACTGTACTGGAATCAAATTCAATAGGAGCGCCCAGTAACTACGTGCGAGCACGTCGACGGCACTTATTCGATGTTCCATTACGAAGAACAGAGTTCGCTAAGCAGGCTCCCCTATCTCTTGCATTGAAACTACTCAATGATATTTTGAGCCAGTATCCGCAATTGGATGTATTTGCCTCCAACTTGCTGGAGTTTCGCCGGGTGACCACAGAGTATTTGTGTTCAGACGTTTTTGTTTAAGTCTTTTTATATTATTCTTGTTGTATATATGTAATATTCCTTTTTTTTATATGTTGTTGTATTCATGCTTTCCTGGGTGGGCGTATTGGGAGACTGTAAGGCTCACCCAGTGGATGTAATAAATAAATAAATAAATAAATAAATAAGGCATATTGCTAGCAATGGGACTGTCAAATATGGGGGGACTATGAAATAGAACACAGAACAATTACTTTGCTTGGGTACCTCTATCTCATTCGTGTTTCTACCGTGAAGCAGTTGTGTTTGCATGGCTGTGTTTCGGTTTAAAGGGTGGGATATGGCGTGAATTTACTGGGTACGGAGGAATAACACCTGAGTCCTCGGGAATGGCAACGCATGGAAGGTATCATGGGCGAAACAGTATACTCTGTTATGTCCATGGCACTGCTCATGTATGTAGGCGACGGTTACCACTTTCCATCAGGTGGGCCGTCAGCTTGTTTGTCATTCTAAGTTGCATAAAACAAAGTTTACTATTGTAATCTTTTGGAGGTAATAATAAAGAGTATCTATCTATCTATCTATATTCTTGATTTCCCGCGGAGCACCTATGTAATATAAACGAAGCTATTTCCGTCCGTCCGTCCGTCCGTGTAGGTTGTATATATAATTTTGTTACATTTTACTGCGCGCTTCCCTCGGAGGCCATGTGTTTTAGCGTGTGCCGACTACTGCCCGCATAATTTGGTAGTGTTTCAGGATTCTTTTTTTTATGTAAATTGTATTTATTTATAATTTAAAATAATTACATTACAATTTCCATTATTTATATTATGTTATTATTCATATTGTTAATATTTTTTACTTATTTAATGACATTTAATAATTTAATTCTATTTTAATGTTTGTCAAACACAAGGCACGCTGTGGTCGCCTATAAATGTAAGAACAGTTAGATCTAATCTGCCAGTGTATTGTATTGAAATGTTTAGCTGTATCTTATGTTGGTAATCCTATAAATAAATAAAAAAAAGACAACCAAAGGGAATTGTTTTTGTGTGTGTTTTCTTCACTGTTTTGTAAAATGGGATTTTTATTCGCCTCTGTTTTTATATATCTGTAATAATATTATAATCTCTAATAATAATTCTCGTGTCGCGGTGTTTGTTACCAAACTCCTCCGAAACGGCTTTACCGATTTTCATGAAATTTTGTGTGCATATTCGGTAGGTCTGAGAATCAGCCAACATCTATTTTTTAAACCCCTCAACGATAAGGGTGACCCACCCCTAAAAAATTATTTTTTTATTTTTTTGACATTTTTTTTTATTTTTATTTAAATATGATTTAGCATTGAAAAATACATACAAATTCTAATTTTCACGCTTTTGTGATCAACTTCTGTTTTTTTTAATCGCGATTGTTATATATCGCAATAGGCTTGCAAGATGACAATCGAATATAATAATTGTAGTACGATAAATTTTCATGTACAGTTTTTTAATAACATATATGGTATATATATATATATATATATATATATATATATATATATATATATATATACATATATATATGTATATATATATACATACAGTGGTCATTATTCGTCCATTGCTAAACATAGGCCTCTTTCATAGACTTTTTATATATATAAATTAATAATAATAATTTACTAACACGGTTTTACTTTTAAAATTTCAATAGGTACTCTACTGATTGGCGACTAAGGGAACTTATGATAGAAGGATTGGCAGCAGCGCACCTTTTAAGACATCACCAAACGCCAATCTGCGGTTGCCAACCCGCCTACGTCAAGCGTGGCAACTACTAACCCCCCTTGCCCCCTCCTTATGTTGGAGGCTATGTTCAATAGTGGACGGTTTTTTTAATGGGTGATAATGGAATAGTAACCCCACCCGCGCTATCGATACACACCGGCGGGGCACCAGTGAAGGACGACAGGTGAGGATGAAGCAGGTCAGTTAGCCCATCGTGACGAATTCAACAAGAATTGTTCACGATGGTTTCCAGGCGGAACCACGTAGAGGTCGACCTAATAGGGCATATTGCTAGCAATGGGGCTGTCAAACTCCATTGCTAACAATCCCTTTCCTCCCCTGAATAAGGATTTGCTCAATCATTATTCCAGGAATGTCTCCTTTACGTAAAACAACATGGTCACCCTACACCACAAAAATACTATGCACTATCTAATTTGTTTTATAGTCCAGACGCTGAGCAATACTCAGCTTTGATGTTCGCTTTAAATCGATTGATTCGTAGTATTTATTTATGGAGATTGATGGTTTTTTAAATTTCGAATCCGGCCCATACATTCTTTTATACAACTTAGAATGGCAAACAAGCTGACGGCCCACCTGGTGGTAAGTGGTAACCGTCGCCTATAGACATGAGCAGTACCATGAACACAACAGAGTATACTGTTTCGCCCATGATACCCCCCATGCGTTGCCATTCCTGAGGAATCAGGTATTATTCCTCTGTATCATATTCTGCGTACAGTATGCTAACATATTTTTTTTAAATTATGCATAAAAATACATTAAATCAATAAAAAAAAAAACATTACACACACTAACATGTATTCGACGCACACACGCATATATAATCTTTTGTTTATTGTTAAAGTCTGTGGTCGAATTGAGAACGGATTAATATAGGGTAAATTGCTAGCAATGCGGCTGTGATAACCTATTTACTAACAAACCCTTTCCCCCCTCACAAATAGTACTTGTAATAGATATCAATTTTAGCGAACACAGACAGTAAACAGTTTCGTGAGCAAACCTTATGTAGTTACAGGTCAATTATGGGGGGAAAAGGGGTTGTTATTAGACCTCCACGTGGTCCCATAACCGTCGTGGAATCGTGGAAACCGTCGCGCTGAATTCCAGGTATATTCATTACGATGGGCTAACTGACCTGCCTTTACATCCTCACCTATCATCCCTCACTGGTGCCCCGCCAGCGTATACCGTTAGCGCAGGCGGGGTAACCATTCCATTATCGTCATAAGAAAAACTTCGGATCATGGGGTTAATGTCGACTACCAGTCCCATTGCTAGCAATAGGGTATATCAGGTGGACCTCCCCGCAGCCCCCCAGGAAACCATCATTCCGAATTCCAGGTGTATTCACCACGAATGGCTAACTGACCTGCCTATTCACTCTCACCTATCATCCCTCACTGGTGCCTTGCTAGCGTATACCGTTAGCGCAGATGGGGTTACAATACCATCATTACCATAGCGTACACGTGTTTAAAAATTATAACCTAATAATACCTACTTATAATTAATTCATTACCATTTGTTTGTATACAACAATACGTAAAATTTAATTTAAAATGCAATCCTTAAATATATTTAAATACGTTTAAATAGCTATAAATTCACTAGTTAATGTC